TCTTATTGTGTGCAGATTTTTTTTAAATTCTCATTTCTATCATACAAATAGAGCAAATCTTATATGAACCCGATCACTAGGGCGTTTAATAGCAGAGTCCTCAAAAGTAGGGTTAGAAATCTGAAATTCTTGCAAAATATGCTAAACATATCTGACTACGTCTCCCCAAAATTTCATAAGTTTTCATTGGAAAATAAATTTCCTATACACCACTTCAAATTGAGGAAATCGGGAAACCAGTTTTTGTAAGTCCAAAAATTTGAGTGACAACGACTCGAAGTAGACTTGACTGTATTTCAACGGAGAAGGGGGTGGGCTTGAAAAAATTGAGACATACATAAAAAAGTATGCAGAATCCGAAAATGTCAACCTAAAATACGCACCATGAGAAAAAACCACCATATAAGCCCTTCGAAAGTTAATAACGATTGAATCATTTTTTGAAAATTATTCTGCCACGTCCGTGCCTGATACCGCCATGAAGTCAAAGATTAATACAAACTATTTGTATCATATTAAAGCCCATAAATTGCGGGTCAAAGCGTATTCAAAGAAATCTCCAGCAAAACATACGGAACGTCAAGAAAAAATGGTAAACGCAAGACCTACCAAGCCATTCAACAAAATGACACCAAAATAATTGGTCACTGACGACGAGTCCTACGTCCTTAAAAACGTGACAGAAACTTCGGCAAGGGAATTTTTCATGGGAAATATATCTCTCAACTGAAAACCGAACAGAAATTAAAATGTTTTTCGAAATTTCTCAAAAAATCTCAGGTTTGGCTGGCGTTCGGTCAATTTGGGCATGTTTCGGACCCCTCAGTTCATATAGGCTATGAGGACGCACAGGTTTGTTTTCGGAAATGTGTGATAGACCGTCTGATTCCTTTCATCAAGGTGTATCATAAAATACAAAATGCAATTTTTTGGACCGACCTTGGGCTAATCCACAATGCAATAACTAGCAAGGAAAAAATCGAGAAAAAAAATCATTTTGATGCTGGAAAATTAAAATCCCACCTACATCCATTATCTTCGCTCAATTAAAAAAATTTGGGCTATATGTGAGAAGACATACTCCTAGCTTTGTGAAACAGTCAATACTTAAAGAAAATTTTGGTTACGGAGAGAGAAAATTAACAATCAAGTTCCAAAATCTTCCGGAAAAGAATTAATGGCAGGCGCGATGAAAAAGACTAAATACGAAGTGAGTAATTGATTAAGGTCTCCTTTCTTCGCGGATACCTAATGTCAGTAATGTTTATAATAACCACCAAAAATATGAGATTTTAAAAATCATTTTTGACCATTTTGAGGATAAATTTTCAAGTTTTCATATAAGATTTGCTATAAGTCTAAAAAAATCATTAAATAATAAAGCAAGTGAAATAAACGAATCACTTCACATAATCCATGCGTATATGTACCAAGGTTACCTACTATAAAATATCAATTTTTTATAAATTTTTATGTAAGGCAATTTTTTAGACATAAAAATCATGACGTTGAAAATGATGAGCGGAGTTTATACCGCAACTTCGTATAACATTAAGCTTGAGCGTACAACATTTCATATCCCAGCCGGAATTCGAGCCGAGCGGAGTTGATACCGCTACTTTGTGCACACAGCGTAGGAGAGAGAAGGAAGCGTTTTACTCTGCTAGGCTAAAGTGGTAATAATTTAGCCGAGCGGAAATTTGGTAGCGTTTTCTGAATTGAGCACAAAGAATACTTTCAAAATAAATTTTTCCACTTTATATGGTGTACATACTTACGTGCTAAGCTTGCATATTATGCGGGAAAATTTCCAAATTACAAAAATTCTCAAAAGGGTCAAAATTATTATCCCATTTAATGTGTGTACCTGCAAGTATAATGCAGTCATTAGCACTGCCAAGTTGACAAAATTTTCTTAATAACGATTTTTTCGGCTTTTTTGCTTAATTTAGACTCATTTATATTGCAGAATTAAATGAAATTTGGAAAAAAAGATCAATCTTACACGTACATATCTAATTCGACAAAATCAATACAAAACTGCAATATAAAACCAATATAAATATAAAACCATGGAAATGGTGACTCTTTGTATTATCTCATACTTGTATTTATACTTATTTACATGCGTTTTATTATGTTTAGTAAATACATATGTACCAAAAATTAAGGAATTATCTAACAAAACAATCAAAACAATTAAAAATTCGTACCATTGGTATTTGGTACTACTTTACCACGTGAATAGGTTCAAATAACTCAACCACACTGCGACCAGCGTCATTCAATCACAATAAATCTAAATAAGTGTAATTTTAAATTTAAGTTGTTCCTAGTTTCAAAAACTGAAAAAATATTAACCAATCTCTAATGAAATTTTGAAAAGTTCATCAGCCGAACGACTTTTAACACATGTAAATTGGCAAGCAAAATAAATGCATTATTGAAATGGTAAATATTGTCAAACTTAGTATATGTATGTACATATGCACATGCTTCCTTAGCTTTAGCTTCCTTAGCTCTGCAAGTGCGGAATTGCAGCCTAGCGGAGTTGATACCGCTACTATGCATCCATTAAGGTTGAGCCATGGAATATGAAATAAACTAGGGGAAGAATCGCATTTTCCCTGAGGTTGAGCGTACAACCACATTTGCTGCCCCGGAGTTGATACCCCAACTATATGCATATAACGTGAGAAGAGAAATTTTGCTCGGGTAGGATAAAGAGATGATAATTTAGTCAAGCGGAAATTTGAAATTGTTAAGATTTAAATTGTTAAATTGGGAAGACCCATACTTCTAAATGAATTTTTCCATTTTATATGGCGTACGTACATACGTGCTAAGCTAGTATATTTTGCAAGAAAATACCCAAATTGTTAAAATTCTCAAAAAAAGTCAAACATATTCTCCAATTTGAACATGTGTACTGGCCGAACTTTTGGACTATGACGCCACCCGGTTTCGCTACACGTATGAGAAGTTAACGGATCAAGACCTCCTAGACAAGTTCCACTGGTGATCGAAACTCGGAGCTTATACCGATTATGGGAACCATTCAGACAAAGTCGTGTTAAAGCACCCATCCATCATTCCCCCGAAAAGCGGGCAACGTCCGCTTCAACCCCAAGAAAAATTTCGGCACGCCGTGCAACCACCGGAACTCGGTTTTGTCAACATGTTCGGCTACGTCAGCTTGATCCCCTTGATTTTTGGCATTTTAAAACCCGACTCGCCCACCTTCACCGCCACGCTGGACAAGATCACCCTAAATTGCTCCGGACCCCGCACGGGCTTCGCTCCCTGGCCGCCAACACGCCCCTGGACAACAAGCGGAACACGGAGCACGACCCGCGCTACTGGCGAGGCCCCGTCTGGATTAACATCAACTTCTTCACGGTCAAAGCCTTGCACGACTATTCGAAAATGGAGAGGGTGGGGCGGTCTTGGCGGGGGAGAAGTATCACAAGTTACGGGAGAACGTGGTCAACAACGTGATCAGTCAGTACCACAAGACGGGCTACGTTTGGGAGCAGTACGACGACGCGACGGGGAAAGGGAAGGGTTGCCGACCCTTCACCGGCTGGTCGTCGCTCGTCGTTCTCATGATGGCGGAAGAATATTGAGGCTAATAATAGCTATTCTATGTGTAGCAGGATATGTAAATATATGGATAAAGATAGCCTATGAATATATTTACGCAGATAATTAATAATTATGTAGATATAATGTACCACGTACTTAGTTCCTAAATGATCCTCATGTCCAACAGGTTGCCACTACTTTCTTGTTGTCATTGGCTTGGCTATTTTTTCTACAATGAGGAAATTCACACCAATCTTTGTAAACTGTGTAAACCTTGTAAACCTTATCACATTTACAAAGTTGGTGTGAAGATAGCCTCCGCAATACTCTAGCAACAACAAGGTATGATTGATTTTGTACCCCAATATGAAAAAATATGTAACATAAATATTAACTTATTTTATAGATATTCCAATATTCCTCCTCTTCTTGTAATGTTTGCTGCTTTTTATTATTGTGATAATCTACAGTTTTATTGTTTGTATAAAATGATTAGCTGCTGTAATAATATATAAGTAACGTATTAAACTTGATAAATAAAGAAACCTACTCAATTATACAATAGTCTTTACACCTATTCAGTTTTTTAGGAATTTTAAGAGCAACAATCATTCATAATCATACATTGTTCATTATTTCTTCATTTTAAATAGGATGGCAATGCACCGAATAACAGAAGTAGTCGTATTTATAGCGTGTTTGATTTGACAGAGAATTTCAGTTCATTGGTATTTTATAATACATTAAGTAAAATACATACTTACATAACATACATACGGACTCATCATAATTTGGAAAGAAATCAGTATAAACTTTTTGGCAATAAATACAAACGCCATGATTTTACTTAATTAAACAATTAGGCATTTCACGTCAACCTTCATAAATCCGTAACCACGTAAGCTTACGAACTAAAAACATGATGATTATCTTCTATGAATAGCTTAATTGTTAGCAAAAATTACTTGAGAGATGTTCCCAGGTTTCGTCAAAAGTTTGTAAGGTTCGTAAGTTTAAAGGTGGTTACCAAGTTACGAAGGGTTTCGTGAAATGCCTCACTATGTAGTATAGTTAATAGACACACTAATTTAAATACTGTGGTAGTTTTTCATCCATAAATTATACATGTACAAACAGTTTATAAAATAAAGATCCAAAATCTAAATGTTTTTCGGTGAATAGCGCGTTGGCCTTCCTCTTCAAATTCCCTTTTCGAAACCCACATTTTCTTGAACGTGTCCAACGACGCCAATATCGAGCCACCGATCCAGGTCGAGTATAGACGTTCCTGACGTGCGGAAATCTGTGCATAATTTATGGTAACATTATTATATATGTAATTACTGATCATTGTTTATAACTAATCATGTACATATCTTATCTACCATAACATAAGTTCATACTGGTATACTTGCCTTGATTTTGATATCCTTTGGTGCTTGTTTTCTCACTTCAGACACCAAAACCCTGACAAACGGCATAATAATTATATATTAGAAACTTTGCGATATAAATAAGGCAAGAATTTTAATTGATAAATATTTGTTGACTGTTTAAACTGAATGTTTACTAATTATTTAAATTGAATATTTGTTAATTGACTAATCTGAATATTTGCTACTGTTTAAATTGAATATTTGTTGATTGATTTAATTGAATATTTAATAATTGATTAATTTTAATATGTATTTACTAATTACTACAATTGAATATTTGTTGATTATGAATTACTTTAAATAAAGTCGAGCCACCGGATAGCACGATATTTTGAAAGATAATTTTCCTCAAATCCATGTCCGACTTTTGTATGGAAAACAGCAAAACTTCATGCATAGCTTCACACTCTCCTCCGCTCAAATAAGGTCGAAATAGGACTTCCCGAGCTCGGAAACGAGCTTGACCAATCTGTTGTACATACGAACTCTAAATGCTATGATTTCATGGATTTTTGTATGGAAACTTATCCAAGTTTCTGGAAACTTTGAAATGTCTAGTTTCTGGTCAGTGGCGAATAAAGAGGAGACAGCGGTGATGATAATTTGTTAGGTTTCCAGCCTCTTCCTTCACCACCTCAAATATTTTGCCAAATTCTTACCATCGCACAAACTGCCTGAAGAAACGTTGGTTGTATTGACATGGACCACAAAATTTCGAAATTTCAACCAAATCGGAGGGTTACACTTCACACCATCGCATTGTCAGTTCTTCCCAGGGTTTGGATTACCGTGAATGTTACAAAAAGACGAGAATCTACGTGGAGAAGGCAGCAGTCGTACGAATATACCTGTTTATCTGGGTCGAAATATATTCTTTTCAAGATCTTCTAAAAAATACAGTCTTTTGACAATGATGAAATGTTCACAGCAAATCACAATTCGGATTCATTCAATTACAAACCACAATTCATTCAATATCAAACTTTCAATGTTGTTTTAAGAAATAGTAAACTGATAATAATCGCAGTGCTTTATAACATCCAGAAATATAAGCATCTGCATAAATTCATAGGTTTTTTAATCAATTTTACACATAACGAAACTTGTGTTACACAAGTTGTGTAGCAATGTTGCGAATCTTGTTTAAGTTAGAACCAGAATTGTTAATCATATTTACTTGGTTTAGTAGCCCCGTAATTTATGTTATGAATTTGAAACCAATTTGTACTAACTGATATTTGTGGACATATTAATAAGGGTTTACGCAGTGTTGTTGTAGTTAACTACATTTCGTAGTTAACTAGCAGTTAACTACAACTTTTTTTGCAAAAAGTAGTTGTAGTTAAGATTCAACTCCTTTGCCAAAGTAATGGATACAAAGTAGTTTAACTACTTTTTAGATGGTGTAGTGTAGTTGACCAACAATACCCTAACTAGATTTCAAATACTTCTTAACTACCTTTCTAAATGGATCATAGAAGGAAGGGGTATCTCATTTACATTAAATTAATCTCCCAGAAGTGGGGAATTGTTTGAAGCACTTAGAATTTTGAAGTGCAAATCGACATTGTCGAATGAATCTGTTGTAAATAATTTCATTATTTTTTCATGATTCTAATATTTGGTTAAAAAAGTAGTTATCTAAGAAGTAGTTGGTAAATAGTAGTTGGTTATTAGTTAAAATAGTTGAAAATGTAGTTAGAATTCAACTACATGGAATCAAAGTAGTTGTAGTTCAACTACTTTTATGAGTAGTTATACAACACTGGGTTTACTTGACTTGACTTAATCTCTTCACAAAACATGCATTTTCGTACGACTGTTGCCTTCTTCACGCAGATTATTATCTTTTTGTGAGTGCAACATCCCGGGAAATCCAAACCCAGGGAAGAATCTGAGCTCAAAATACTAACAAAGCATTTAGCCCACCCCGATAAAATATAAACATATCTAACTAATCAATTCATTAACTGACCGATAAGTGAAGGGCATCTCTCCCAGCTGGGTCTTATTCAGCCACTGGTACCAGGTCGATAAACGGGGCCACATTCGCTGCAAGGTGGCCTTATGATTGATCAGGAGCCATTCGCGGTGGCGTTGAATGAGGTCGAACAGCCCCATGATGAGCGTGGGAGGATTGGCGACGTCGTTCCGTTGGACGACAAACTCCACCGGGACTCGGGACAAGAATCTGTTCTCGGGGGATCCAGCCTTCCGTGAAGTTCCGTGTTCATCATGTCGAGCCAGTGGGAATTGATGTCGATGGAGATTTCAGGGTTCCACTTGTTGATGAGGAAGAGATGGAAGCCCTCGTCCCAGAGGAACCCGCGGGGGAAGAAGCTTCTCGAGGGGACGGCCGTGTACAGATTGGACGTCCAGTACGGCACGGGGGCAGAGTTGTAAGGCCGCTGGACTTTCGGATGGCCGTGGAAGTAACCAATCCCTCCGATGAGATTGCTAAGGGCAGCTTTGGCAAAGTGAATCGAGGTTTTCTTGAAGCCTTTCTTTTCCAGGTGAAAGGTAGTTTCGAACTTGTCGGAAAACCGGTCCCTGGAAGAGGAAGGATTTAGCGCCTAGTTAAAGTAATAATTTTAATAACAATGATATTTACAGTGTTTCGGGTGCAAGTAACAAGTTGTAAGCAATACTGGGGAGAAAGTGGTTTCTTGCAGGTAAATATTTTGACCTGCACGAAATGCATGGCGCAAGAAACGATGCCCCGCCGCGGTAAATAGTTCATACGTCGCGTGGCTGGACGGTGCATATTTCTCACACTTTCTCCCAGTTTCTTGTACCATAAATTTCGTGATAGTGCAAGAAATGTAGCAACCCCGAAAGAAAGGAAACCCTGAATATTAATTTAAATACCTGTACGATTGCAACATTTCGCTTTACATGTCCCCCGATAAAAGTTCCTTGGAAGGGACGACCCCGCTTTCAGACTCGTATACAATGTCCATACTAAAGTGACCCTTGACGTGAACCTGCAAGTCAAAGTCAACATATTGTTAGTCACTTCTTCACTCAGGGAATTTATTTTAAAATTCTGGACGACAAATTTGTAGAGCAGGGAATTGCCAATTTTGTAAAAATATGCCCTACAGATTTTGGCACTTTTTGAAGGAGGAGATCTCAAGTTGAAGAAGCCTTCAGAAAAATTGGAACTCGTCTTAACTAGCTTAAATAACACAGCGCCATTCCATTAATCAAATCATCGACTACAAATTTGTCGTCCAGAATTTTAAAATAAATTCTCAGAGACGCAAAATGTGGTACTTTTTACGATTTTAATAATTTATGTCTTACCGTAAACGCTGATGGCGGTTTCCTCCGACCCGAGACAGAGGGACTGATAATGCCCGTGACGGGCATCTAGTCCAAAGGGGATGGGGAATTGATTGAAAAATCTCCGATTGCAGGAAATGTAGTGCAATGCGGGGCGTGACGAAGGGCCACGTCGAGAACAACGTCTTGCGTCTGAACGAGAGGCTTCCCCATTTCCAGATCGAAGAAACTCGATGATCGAGCTGGTCAAGATTTGGCCGACCACTGTGAAATTAAGGATAAGAAGAAATTAGTGTTACATGGATTCAAATTGTGAAAGAAATTAAATTGGTAAAAAAAGTTGATGAAGATTTTGAGCTCTTCAAGTCATCAGTTTAGAATTAAGAGGATAAATCACCCTAAGTTTAGTATCAAATTGTAAAAAAGGAGTACCAATTTGGTAAACATTTTGGTAAAAATTAAGCTGGTCATCATCATGTCCTTACTTGAAAATTAAGAATTAGAAGAAATCGATTGTGCAACGGTACGAAATAGATTGCAATTTTGATTAACAAATAAGTTTGTAACTCTGCTAAAAATAATAAAACCTTTGACGAAACAATAAACAATTTAAGACCTCAATTTTTAATTGATTTGTGTTTTAAGAATTTTTAATTTGTGGTTACTTTTCATCTCGACCTTGAAACTCCTCATCCTCCTCTCATCAGGGTCGTCATCTCCATCTCCATTGTGACGGTGTAAGCATCCCCCTTCGGAAAATTACGTACGTCGTCCTGAATTTGAAACAAAATCATGCAAATTACGTCATAGTTTGTCAACCAATTTGTAATGAATTATTGTCACTGTCTATTGTCATTTGAATGAAAAATTAGCACATAAATAAACACACCTGCCGTGTAGGCATTTCTTTTCCCGTCGAGGGGCACCGTCAAGTTCAGCGTGGCCTTGTTCTAGTTGTTCTGCTTCTCGAACTCTTTCCAAATGGGGGGCAGAATCCGGGCTCAAAGTAGTAGATTCTCGTCTTTTTGTGGGTGTAACTGCCCTGGAAATGCAAAATTAACTGATCTTAAAACGCCGCATTTTCACAAATTATTTTGCCCACCTACAAAAAGACGAAAATCTACGTGGAGGAGGCAACAGTCAGTCGAAAATACAGATTTTGTGAAAAAATCAACTTTTTATCGCTGTCAAAATACTTTGAAAAACATGTCTTTTAACAGCGATAAAATGTTTATTCAAAAGAAACAACACGTGATTTTCGTTGTTTTCTCTACGTAAATTATCGTCTTCTTGTGGGTGTAACAGCTCCGGAAATGCAAACCCTGAGAAGAACAGGGCTCCAAATACATGTATTTTGACAGTATTTTCTCCACCCTTGTTAATTTACAACTTTTTTAACTATTACCTTGAACCGAATCGTCATCTTGTCTTATCAAATTCTTCCTCGTAATGAAACTCTTGGTCCTCTTCTCTGCCCCGTCGTTTCTTTGACCTCCTTCCATTCCAACCTTTCCCCTCCCCATTTATGAATTTATAAAATTTTCAAATTTTTATTACATCTTGAAATTAAAATAACTGTTTTTTCAATGTCAAAAAAAAACTTTGCTTTGCTGGAGATGATTTTTCTTGATTGAGAAATTTGAGTTTCCTGCGACTTGGGGTATTTTTGCGACCGTAAATCTGTAAATACAATCCCCTTAAATTTTACCATTTTTTATAAAAAGTAGAGCAAAAAATGGAAAATTTTTGTGTAATTATGATATCTAAAATCAGTTTGGATCAAGTAGCACAAAAATTTTGAAAGGAATTGCAGCAATGGGTGAGAAACGGAGTTTTATATCGTGGGAAAAAACGTAGCTTTTCTAAATAACTCCCTCCCCCTGAATTTCACTGTTTTTCCCCGATTTTATCGGAATTAGTGATAATTATTGGGAAACCCCGATAAAATCTGAAAGATATGATACTTTTACGTAATAAAATGTAAAAATTGGGAATATGAGGGCGATATTGGGTAAGAAACTGAGAAAAAAGTGGATTTTTACATGGGAAAAGTGAGATTTTTCATGTAACTGCATGGATGAGTATGTACTTATTAACCATTTAATCTCCTGACAGACCTTAATTTCTTAGCTATGGAAAAATATCCCTTTTAATTGCAATTAGTAATCTAAATACTATTGACACATGGTTATAAATTTTACCCGAATGGAAATTTGGTCGCATTTTGTTCACGCCTTTACATAATGTATAATTAGTGGTCAGGTAATTCGCAGTTTCGGATGCGAGTAACCACATGCAAGAAATAACGGAAAGAAATTTCTTTCTTGCAGGGATTATTTTATTATTTTATATTTCATATTTTGACCTGGAAGAAATCCGAGGCGCAAAAACCTACGTCGCTCCGCTATATCTCGTACTGCGTGTGGCTTAATGGGGCATGCACATTTTTTGCACTTTCTTACAGCTTCTGGCACCTCGAATATCTTATCTTATTTGCTTTGCAGTGCAAGACATGTAGCAAACACCCGCTTCATGTCTGTAATTTAATTTGTAATTTCGTCTTAAACGCATAATAATCAAGTGATTTTTCTTTAATTTTTCCACCATTCCATGAGAATGACTTTTGAGACAAAATTAAATGAACAGTTAAATTCTAGCTTACATATTTCAAAAAATGGAGGCGAGGTGGTTTATACTGAGGTCATCGCTACCCAAACCCCCAGTGGAAATGAAGTGGTCCAATCCAATCTCCAATGAAGTGGTCCAATCTGAATTACAGGCATATACGTATGCAAATAAAATGTGATTTTACTAATCATTATTGCATGAAACTCACTTGCGAAAGTCATACCCAGAGAGAGAATAAAAACATGAGGGCAAGATTGAACATTGTGTATGTATACTTACATTTGAATTTATTGGATATTTACATTAAATGGGTGAAATATGTGCATATTCTCATAATGAAAATCATAAAAGGTATCAAAAGTCAAAAACTGTATCATTACAATTGTATAATTAGTACTGCTGTATAAATTAAATAAGGAAATGTAATGGAGTTAAATTACATAAATCTCATCCCACACTCCATTATTCATTGGGCAACATCTCATTAACTAACTAATTGAATACAGATAAATGCATATCAATGAACAAAATTAGTTGCATAATTATTCATCTTCCCCTCCAGTCTGACCATCCATTCATTCCGAACATTTGGAAATATTCCCAGCAGTCGGGCAGCTTGACGATATCGCGTTTCAGGTTCTCAGAATCTCCAAATTTTGCAGCGTTTCGCACCTTTATCCGTTTTCCTTGGGAAGTAGACTATCAATCAGGTCGCTGTCCCAAAAAGCGTCACGGTCGTCACACCAACTCTCTGGCTTCACAATGATGGAACGAATCTAGGGAAGCTGGCTTCCATAATCGATGCAATTATTGACGTCCGTGGACCCAGAAACCGAGGAAATGCGAGGTTCAATCGTGCCACGTTTCTGACGAAACAACTGACAATGGAGGTCTCCCACGGTATGCTCACAGATTTGGACGAAATTAGTGTCAATCGATCACAAATATAATTAGTATGAAATTTGCAAATGGAACTATCTGCCAATGCGCAGGTTTGGCGGAGATATTTGCATAAAAAGAGGAGAAAACGCACCAAAAGGCTGGCATATTTTTCATTTTCCAAATTTCCTGCGCATTTTTCTGCTTTGAATGCAAATATCTCCGCCAAACCTACGTATTGGCAGATAGTTCCATTTTCAAATTTCATACTAATTGTAAAAACCAAGCTATCACCTACCCGGAGTATAGTGTCTTTACGTTATATTTAATTGTGCTTTGCTCGTTGGAATTAAGAAAGTAGGAAGAAAGAAAAACACAATTCCCCGTATTTTGATTAATAACAATAATCTACTGTGTGGTCGGGGTGGGTTCCTCTTATGCCAGTTTTTTTTCCTTTGTGGATCCAAGTAATTTGTCGGGTTTATCTGCTTCACACTTGAATTCAGCCGTCTCACCTTTCTCAACAACGTGAGAAACTTTATTGAAAAAGAAGAAGATGAGACGGCTCAAACTAATGGATGATGAAATGACAATAATTGACAACATGAAAAATCCTTCATTTAAATTGTGTCATGCGCTTTTTTTACACGTGATTTGCATATACATATTTCCTTGTCGGCCCGCACAGAATATAGATTCTCCCAGAAGAATCGATCTTATGTATTCGAGTGACGCTTATGGAAGAATGGGGAGAGCCAACCAAATAACTCGGTGTATATTTGGCCCACCTGGGGGATGGCACCTCCGCATCATCATCATCACCACATCTCCTGGCATCAAAAAATGATGATGAAAGCACATAGGTGGCGGTGGCACCCCCATTTGTGCACCAGAACACATCATTCTGATCTGCGTCTCCACAAATTTGATGCTCTACGAGGGTGTGTTCTGGTGCAGAAATGGGGCTGCCACCGCCACCTATGTGCTTTCATCATCATTTTTTGATGCCAGGAGATGTGGTGATGATGATGATGCGGAGGTGCCATCCCCCAGGTGGGCCAAATATACACCGAGTTATTTGGTTGGCTCTCCCCGTTCTTCCATAAGCGTCACTCGAATACATAAGATCGATTCTTCTGGGAGAATCTATATTCTGTGGTCGGCCCGCAACACTTCCCGAAATGAGCGTACTGACCCAGTCCGGTTTAATATATATAGGCAGGATAGCCAATATAGTGGGTCTCGTCACTGTCCATTTTTTATGCATGCAATTTTTACGCATCATCATCATCTGCAACGAACATGTATTTCACCATCACTCAAAAATTTTCAAAAATTTTCAAAATTTTTGAAATGTTTGAAAAATGCAACAAACGAAAATCGTAGAAAACCACTTCGTGCCCACAAATTTTCAGTTTAAACCAAATTATGATGGAATTTGTAATGGAGAATCTGTATTTTTCTCCCTTGCGAGAAAAATGTCACCGTGAAAATGGGAATTCTCGCTCACGGATTTCGTCATAATTTCGTTTAAGCTGAGCATTATGAAAAATCCTGAAGCATGTGTCCAATTATTTATCTAAGGCTACATAATTATCATCGTTTCGTCGAAATCGGAGCGAGACCGCTGGCGTCATCGCATTATCAGTGAGTTGATTAATGGACTGGCGGTGAGGTTTCATCTTACATCACATTTGTACGGCTTTAGTCCTGTGTGCGTCTGCTTGTGGTCTTGTAATCCTTTCAGTGTGGCGAGAGTTGCTCCCCTGCAATTATTAAGGGGTGAAACCCCTTTATAAGATTGATATGTCCGTCCGTCCGTCCGTCCGTCTGTCCGTCCGTCCGTCCGTCTGTCCGTCTGTCTGTCCGCGCGATAACTCAAGAACGGATTGACATATTGACTTGAAATTTTGAACATAAATACTTCATATAAAAACAAAGGTCAAGTTCGAAGATGGACCATGAAGGTCACCACCTTCAAGGTCAAAAGGTCACGAAATGTCATTTAAAGGTCAAGTTGCATATATATATCAATTCAATAGGAAATTTAACCCCGATTTCAATGGTCACATCCATTTTGACCTCAGAGGTCATCTAAAGGTCACTTAGAGGTCACTGAAGGGCACTAAACGTTATATCTGATACATATGTCAATTTTAACTGAAATTTAACCCCAAATTCAATGATGACATCCGTTTTGACCTCAAAGGTCACGAAAGGTCACTTAGAGGTCACTGAAAGGTCATTGAACGTTATATCTGATACATATGTCAATCTTAACTGAAATTTAGCCCCGAATTCAATTGTGACATCCGTTTTGACCTCAAAGGTAACTTAGAGGTGACTAAACGTTATATCTGATACATATGTAAATTTTAACTGAAATTTAACCTCGAATTCAATGGTGACATTCATTTTGACCTCAAGGAACATGAATTTGTTAAATGACTGTTTGTTAACTGTTAACTGACACCATATGTTAAATTTGATACATATGTCACCTCACAAATGTTATAAAGTTCTCGGTTTCACCCCTTCGTTACATGCGTTTAACGGTTTATTTAGAACGTTATTGCATCAGAAAGTTTTACTTAACATGGGTATGCAAACCATGTTCAGCCCAGATTATTTTTTAACAATCCCAGTTTAAGAGACCAGCCCTGCAGAATCAGTATTTGTGGCGAGGCGCTTAATTTTACAGACATGTAAAATTCAGAGCGTTATGGGCACCACAAGTTCGCGAATACGCTCGGTTTTCTGACTTGTGGCAGCAACTCAGACTTTTCTTTATCTTGTTTTGTGACTCATCTTGCCTCACTTTGTTCAGCTTATTTGCATACATCAACTAAAAAATCTCAAAACCTTGAAAAATTTGCTTTTCCTAAAAACCATTTTTCCAAATCTTTTTTCTTGAAATAACAATGGGTACGAAAACCATGCACCATGTTTAACCCAGATTATTGTTTGATAGTGTTAGCTTGAAGAAGCAACTCAACTCTTCAGAAACTTCATTTACTGAGGAACTTGTGCAAATGCGAAAAATTCTGCAAATTATGGGTGTCACAAATTCGTGAAAATGCTCGGTCTTCCAATCGAATCTGTTCTTGCAGTCATTGCGCTAACTTGGCGTTAAATTAGAAAAATCACAGGATTTTGAAAACATGCGGTTTTGGCAAGAAATCCGTTTAAAATTTGTGCCGCATTATGAAAAATAAAAAAATACAGGTACTCTCCATTCACACACAGTTGAACTTTTACAGAAATTTAGAATTCTGAGAAATTACGGCACTGTTAGTCTCAAATTACCTCAAATTATGCTGGCTGGGGACCTCGAGACTGACAGTGCCGTAGTTTCTCAAAATTATAAATTTCTGTGAAAGTTCAACGCGAATGGAGAGTAATATGCACAGTTTTTGTAGTAAACAAAATAAAATTTTCTCATAGAAATTTCTGTTTGACAAGTAAACGATCTGCATTTTAATTATGGATAATTTTCGAAGTCCATTCCAGTCTGGACGTGAGCGATGTTTCTGAGAAGCGTAGGGATGTTATAATAAAAAATTTTGTACGCATATTTTTTTTCATAATATGCATATATTTCTCCCCTAAAATCAGCCCGAATTTTGCATGCCCAAATTTCTCCATAAAATTACGATACACATTTCCCCCTACGAATTACAACCTCCCTCACAAACAATATCAGCCCGATCAGTTCCAGCATCAAGCAAAGCGTTATCATAGGCTTGATATGGTTCATATTTAGTCTCACAACTCCCCTACTTTTTTCCTTTCGCCTCCCCTTATTGATCGGATGCGCGGTCCATCTTGCCCAAAAATTCAAAAATCCCGCCTCCTTAATGGACCTAACGTAATACCCGAAAAACCCCGCTTCACTAAAGGATCTCAGCATCTTTCTCACTGCGGGACCGAGAAGATCGTCTCCCACGCCGATGTAGATCGGATGGATTAATTTGTCCGTAGAAATTTGGAAATCCTTTTGTGGTGCGACTTCCTCCGCCATCATTTTCATTTTTGGTAACTGTTCAACTTCGGAGATGAGGACGTCGGGCGTGGTTACGAGTCGGGTTAGCTGGGCGACGAAATGGGGGACAAACGTGGTTCCCTTGCAGGTCATGATTTTTGCCATGATTTTGGTGAAAGTGGGGTCCTTGTTGAATAAGGATTCCTTAGAAAGGGCGGTGAACACGTTGGAGAAGGGGCGAAAGGAACAGTTTTGGGTGGGATGTGTTGCCACGGGAATGTTGGCGTGGGTAGAATCGTTAACGGGGTAAGCGGTGCCAGGGATTATTATTGAGCGATGGGATGTGGCGAGCTGGCTGTAATGAAAAGAATTAAATATTTTGTACAGGGCTACAGAGCTGCAAATTACCGCTGGAAATTGGGCATGAATTTATACTTTTAGAATTCTGGAATAGTCAGGTAGGTATTGATTTCTGGGTATTAAAGAAGCTCCACTTCATATGAAAATTATACCGCTGGGTAAAAATTTGCTACCCACATGACAAAACTTTAATACGAGCTATTGACTTATCAATACCACTTTGATAGAATCATAAATATTTATAAGTATGAATACCGCTTGGTAGTGGATTTCTAAGAGTGTACCAGTTTTATAAACTTAACTTACCGAAACGTTTCTGGTCCATCCACAATTTCTGGTCGTACCAAATAGCTGACCAGTTCGCCTCGGTATGTTTCCGAAATTATGAGGCAGTAAAACAGCCAAGGAGCCAACGCTATCCGGAAGAAGTCGCTTTTTACCCCCAACTTTTCCTGGCATTGATCCAGCAACGGCCGTAACACGGTTTCCATCGAGAAGTAGACATTTAACGAAAACTCGGTCACAATAGATCCGAATTTTAAACTGGTATAGAAAAACAAGATCATAATCCCGGCAAAACCTAACGTCCAAATCGCCACGGGTAACCCGATCGGTCCCAAAATCCCGTTAAAATTGAAATCCAGTCCGGCCAAATGGACCGGAACTAGGAATCCAATCTCTAAATCTTCCCCCGTTAAGAAAAGGTCGCACGCCGAGTATGGTCGCAGTAGCAGACCGGTCTGGAAAGAAGGAAAGGGGTATCGTGGGACGGAAACTAGGGTAAGATTTTGGCGGGTAGATAGCTCACATAGGAGCAAAGTTCTCACTGACATGGAGCTATTCCATGGCGATAAATTACCGGGGTCGGCACAAAGGTTAAGATTTAAAGAATTTGAAATTAAAATGAAGTATGAACCGGGAAATTTGGAACGAGAATTATTGTTGCGGATCATTGTGCGGCTAACTTTCTTCCAGACGGAGGGAACTTTTAAAATGTGACTAGTAGTTACGGCGGGAGGGCTGGATTCGTACGGAAGTAGGGTGAATAATTTTTCACCCTGAATTAAATAGGCGTATTTTGGAAAAAAATTGGGATACCTTCCGTCTAAAATTGTGGTTAGCTCAACATTTGAAGCGGTCACGAGAATAAAAATGTCCCGAGAAATAATAAATGTCCGGGACGAGACGTGGTTAAGAAATGACGCGGCAGATTTACCGAAGATGACGAGAATTCTGGGAAATTTTGCGGATTGGAATTTCAGTTGTTTAAAATGTTCCCGGATAGATATGTACTTATCAATGAATAAATTTCCGGTAATTTTGAGTTGCAGCGGTACCCAAGAGATGGGTTGAGCCAACTCGGTTACAAAATTGTCAAAGGAATGATATATATCGGCGGAATTATCGGCTTGGATTATTGCCTGGATTTCTGTAAAGGGCTGGAACAATGAGATTGAATTGGACAGATGTGAATTAACCGGTATCGTTAAAACTGGTAAGATTCCTGACAAGATTAGCCACATTTTGTAATGACGTATTTAGCATGGGACACTTTTGCTTGGGAAAAATTTTGTATGCAAGTAATCGGAGATATTTGTAAGAGTTCGATGCGCAAAATATGCAGTAAATTGGTGACAATTTCTGATGCTTAAAAATACATACGCAAGTAATTTGCATATTGAAGTATGGGGCAGAACATAAATCATGTCGTTTGACGAAGTTGTAGGACCTTAATCCTTATTCAACCAAGGTGACTTGCGTAAAAATGAAAGAATGTGTTTCGAATTGATGCCACGCTTTATGCAGGATCCGCCTGTGTAACATTTATCAACTAAATTTTGCACTTGTATTGTAAGAATCTATTGTATATACTAACATACGTATGCATACGTATTTACATACATTAAAAATTTCTATTATCATAATCAGCAGAAATAGGAAGTATTTATATTTGTTTTGTACATACCTCGTTGCACTACAGATATATACTTAAAAACAGTCAACAGTATGAATACTGAATTGTTCACATTTTACATTTACAGTTACATATGTAACTACATAGTTTTTTCAATCAGAAAAGTAAACACAAAGGATAAATAAATTCCCGTGAATAGTGAGGTCATCTAAATTATGTACAAACATATGCAATGAAACTGGTTTTAGAAACTCTTCAGTGATCAATAATGCTGGATAAAAAGTCCACAATTTCTAGGACTGAATGGGGCCATTGATTGGAGGAAGTTTCCCCTTTCATATGATAAATACCTATATATGTATATCAACCTAAAATCTAAACGTTTCTGAAAATTAGGTATCGTTATTATTAAATATGTAGTGCATAAATATATAATTCTTAAACCATCACTGTAACATGTAACCATAAACCACATGATGATAGCAAGCAATTTTACACATAATGTTAAGACAAGTATATTTAAACAGGTTTATTTAACAAAAAATTAAATCATACGTACATACATACATAAAACATTTTTCTTACGTGAGCTAATACCAATGGAAGAAACACTTCATTAACCATTGCACAAAGAGACAAATGTAGGTATAAATGTGCAAATATGTATATTATTTTCAGGTTCTGTGAGTAAATAATTAATATAATTTTTGGAACTAATTTCTATACAATTTTACAAAACATGAATTTTTAGCCCGAGTATGGACCTGTGTATAAATTATCTTGTTCTACCGGGACGTGAAACGTGTCCCTCTTGGACCTCGGGAGCCTATTTTTTACCACGGCAACCTCAATACCGTGCTTCACCTTCAAATGCAGGGTTAACGCGGACTTGACGGCGAACCCCTTTCCACACTGATCGCAGGTGAAGGGACGCTCCCCCGTGTGGGCTTGGACGACATGGGTGTTCAGAACGTACGGGAACTGGAAGCCCTTTCCACACTGGTCGCATTTGTACGGAGTGGGGGCGACATAGCCGGGGGTGTGGATCCGCCTAATGTGTATTTGTAATTGGGCCTTCATTTTGAAGGCTCGCTCGCAGTGGGGGCAGGCGTGTGGTCGCTGGTCAGAGTGGGATTTTATGTGATTCCGAAGTAGTTGCTTTGAGGAGAATGCGGAGTCACATTGCTGAAAAAGTGCAACAATGTTCTTTATTAGAATGGTAACTTTTGCATACAATGTTTGCTAACTAAATAAAACTGGCCTAGAGAAATAAATTCTTTTCGGAGACAATCCTTGCAAAGTTTGCAAGCACCAAATAATTTCTCGTTTTCTTCAAATTCATTGAATGGTTGTCAGGAAAAGTTAATATTTCCGCTTACATCACATTTGTGCGGCTTTAGTCCTGTGTGCGTCCGCTTGTGGTCTTGTAATCCTTTCAGTGTGGCGAAAGTTGCTCCACTGCAATTATTTAGAACGTTACTCCGTGGGAAAGTTTAACTTATAATAGAGACCAGATTATTTTTTGACCAGCCAAGTAAATGTTTCAAACAACATTTACTGCTCAAATGCAAAATTCAGAGCGTTATGGCGCCCCTTCTCGGGTTTCGAGCGGACTCTGCAGCAGCAGATCAGACTTTTCTCGCTTCGACTCCTTGTGAAAAAGGAGCGTTTTCGCGAACTAGTGGCGCTCAGAATTCTCCGGATTTTGTAAAAGTATCGCAGTAAATGTAAATTCTGGTCTTTCATATTGCGTTGGTCAAAAAATAATCTGGGTTTAACATGGTTTGCGCTCGAGTTAAATTAGTATAAAAGTAGTTACCACTCATCGCAAACTAACGGATCAGCCCCGTGCACCTTAACTAGATGAGACTGGAGGGTACTTCCATGCAAAAACTTTTCTCCACAAGTCTCACACCGTGGACGCAACGATTCGTCATGAGTCCTCAGATGAGTTCGGAGAGTGAAGATAGTGTAGAAATTTCTTCCGCAAAGATGGCAGACATGTTCCTTCGCGCGGGTGTGGTCTCGAGCCACATGGCTGAAAAGGGCGGGCCGTGAGATGAATTTCTTCGGGCAGGAGGAACATTTAAAGGGGCGATAAGTTGGGGGAGGAGGACGTTCCGATTTTGGCAAGGGACCTGGGGGCTTTTTGAATTCTATGGTATCCTTATCCTTAAACATTTTCAGGTAACGGTACACACTGCTTCTTGGAATGTTTTGCTCCCGGCATAGTTTCATCGTCTTTCTAGGTTCTCGGTTGGCCTGATTTTTGTAGATATCAATCACCTGTTCCGCCATCTGGAGACTTTGGGCCCTAGTTTTAAAACCTTCGCCCCCCTCGTAGGCGGGGATCCGTGGATGGGCGACGCTTCGGTGGGAATTTCTCGCCTTAACTGAGCTAAATCCGAGGGTACAATGCGGATCTGTACAAGGAATGCAGTGCATACGGGCGATGTGATAGGACAGGGTGGACTCGGTGGTGAATGTTTTTCGGCAAGAGGGACAATTGTGGGGGCGAATGGGCTGGGTTTTCTTGCCGTAGGATTTCTGGTGTTCGAGATCATCGGAAGGAAGGTTATCTTGGTGGGAGGATGTGGTGTCTTCATTGTGGAATGGGGATGATGAGGGGGAAGAAATCGGACTGGATTTTGTAACTGGGGGGACGCTAATCCGCTCTAGCGACACGGTCAGCGTTTTATTGACACCTTTTGGAGGAAGAACTGTCTTTTTAGGACGAGTTGAGTGACGTGTTGCTTCACGAAGAGGTTTGTTTTCTGCTTTTATCCTCTTTGACAGGAGGTTTCCGAGTGAAGAATCGCTTTCAAGGTTTCGTTTAGTTTTAGGTCTATAAATAAGAAAAACTTACGAAGGGTAAAGCGAAAAAAGGTGTTGATTGTAGTTTAAATTTTATATAAGTAAAATTTGAAAAATGGCATAATTGGCCTTCAAAATATTATAATTTCATACCGCAATGGATTAGTTGTTACAGCAGATTTTGGGGGTCTTCCCCTTCTCTTTGGTGGATGTGGACTGATTAGTAAACTAGAAAAAAATGTTGCCGATGAATTGTAACTTGAGTTGTTGGCCTTAAATGCACTAGTCATGACATTTACTAGACTTTTACTTGACTATTTACTACATATTTAAAGTGCATATATAAACAACATTTTAAGCAGTGTTGCTGATGAGTTATAAATTATAACTTAATCACTGTTTAAAATTTTGTAGAAACTTGAATAACATTTAAAAAATGGTAAAATTAGCTTTAAAAATTTTATACCGTGGTGGATTAGCTGTTACGACTACAGTATCTTTACGAGGTCTGCCTCTTCCCCTCTTTTGTGGGTGTGGACTGATGCAGAAGGCTGATTCGTCAAAGTCGTCGTCATCTTCAATACCTTCATATTTTACTGGAAACGTGTCTTCCTCGTTATTCATGTCGGAAACGGCGGAGGATGAATTATAATCGTCAAAGCTTCCATCGTCCCCACCCAGAAACACATCTCCGTCATCCTGTTCGACTTTGATAAGCACTTCATCCAGTGCAAAATTGTCGTCTAGTTGGTCGTCATTATCTCCTGATCATGAATAAATCAAAGTAAATTTATGTTTAATAGTGGGTAGAAGAATATTAAAATTGCACTCAACCCATCATTTTAAGTAAACTTGTCCTCAATTTGTGAGCCTTGTCCCCACCATCGTCCCCATTTTCCCCAGAAGAAGCTTGCATAATTTCGCGAATTTCGGTAATTTTCGTCCCAATTTGTTCCTCCAGGGCGGACATTTGGTCACGGAATTGTCCCATCTCGCTTATCATGGGGGCACAAACGGGACAAAGTTCACAGGTCTCATCTTCTTCAAATTGTAGAGTAACTTTCCTGCGAGTATGAGTTGACGATAAGAGCACTTCACACAGGGTCGAGATTCGTATTTGTCTAGTTTCCTTATCATCGAAGGGCGGAGTGGTGGCGTCCACGACTTGGGAACAGAGCAAGCAGGCTCCGCTGGACATGATGACCTGTAATTACAGTTAGTTAATTTTTTTCTTGGATTGTTTATTATTAAATTATTAAATTATTTCATGTTTCCTCAGGAAGTAAATATTTTCTTTTTCTTACTCACCTCACCACTTTTACGATTCTAAATAAATAATTGAGTGGCCAAACGTCAGCTGATCTCGAATAATTAATTTAATTGAAATACAACTTGTAACAATTAAATGATTAGGTGAATTACAAGTTTAAATTTGGAATAATTTTGCGAAAATTGTGCCGAATGTTTTGTTGAGCAGCTGATATTAAATTCGTGCCAATGTGAAATTCGTCTCAAAAAATGGGACGAATGAGACTCGATTTGCTCTGCAAAACAAAGAGATTTCTCCATGAAATGAAAATATATATGCATGTATTTACATATTTACTAATGTACGCATATACCTATCTGCATATGAATGTAACAAGAAATTACATCAAAATTTACACCAACGTTGATGTAACGCAAAAATTTAGGCATAATCTACGGCAAAAATTTATGCAAAATTTGCCCCAAAAAATTATTAGATAAATTTACGGCGTAAGTTAATTACATTTAGTTTTTCCAATATTATTGTAAAAAACATGAAATGACTTTTAACCTATTAACATGAACTTCATTTAAGCCAGTAAATAAATATCCCCAGGAATCAAAAGTCGAAAAAAAGTATACTCCTTTAATTCTCTACAAAGGAGATAGCCAAACCACTCATTAAAAATTGACGAAGGAAGGAAAACCAATTTAACGATTTATATCTGAAGCCGGATGGGCAGATTTAATTCAAAAGTATATCCTTATTCTACCATTTCTTGAAAATAATCTAATTTCCATATTCGTGAAAGCCACAGGTTTTACTTTACCTTGGGGATCGCAGCTCATATAAAATAGAGATTAGATAAGTATCTTCTACATACAAATATATCGGGGTTCAACATACATACGTTAGCACGTATATTGCAGATGTATATTACATGTATACATATGCGTCCCAATATTTAAAACAGGTCGACATGTTTAAAATTGCATGATTTTTTCTCATATTCTCGAATATCGAAATGTCAAACAATACCGACTGGATTATAAAATTAAGTACTGCGGTCATGTTGTGGGATAAGAGAAGCCAATTGTCGTCGTCTTCTTTGCCGGTACAGAGCCGCACCACAAGAGAGTTTTCCCAGAACCGACACCGAAACAGCAATCGCTATTCGTGGGGGGTCATGCATGCAATCTTGATCAAAAAGTGAAAGTATTTTATAAAATCACATCAGGGGAGAGAAACAACTGCCAATTGAAAAAAAGTTTTTAAAATCAACTTTTTCGCCGCTAAAGTTCAAAAAAGGGGAAGTAAATGTGTTTTTTTTTAGTAAAACAATAATTTTATGTGACTAAAAGCATTGGCCTGTATTCTCCATCATTATTTATACATTTTTGATGTGTAAGTCAAAATTTTGAAAAATTTTGAAATTAGTGGTTGACCCTTCTCATAAGCCGAATTGGGTAAGTTATGCATGGTGCGGATGAGTTAGAAACCCTTACCTCCAGACCATAGAGTGAAGGAGGCCGCAAGTTTCTCATCATCTTGGCCTCAACCGCACCATGCATAACTTACTCAATCCGGCTTATGAGAAGGGTCAACCACTAATGTCAAAATTTTTCAAAATTTTGATTTACACATCAAAAATGTATAAATAATTAGGGGGAATACAGGTCAATGCTTTTCGCCACATAAAATTATGGTTTTACCACAAAAAAACACATTTACTTCCCCTTTTTGAACTTTAGCGGCGAAAAAGTTGATTTTAAAAACTTTTTTTCAATTGGTAGTTGTTTCTCTCCCCTGATGTGATTTTATAAAATACTTTCACTTTTTGATCAAGATTGCATGCATGACCCCCCACGAATAGCAATTGCTGTTTCGGTGTCGGTTCTGGGAAAATTCTCTTGTGGTGGGGCTCTGTACTTTCCCCGTTGTGGAAAATTTTTCTGCACGGAGACGGTGTTTTGTATCTGCTAAAATACAACCAACCGGGTTGTGGACTATGATACAAATTGGTCCTCGATAAAATTAATATTTCCTTGGAAAAGTTTCTGGTAACAATATTTTTTACTTGGTATCGTAAAAAATGACGGCAAAGAACAACGAATTGCTGAAAAACTTGCTCATCGTCGGGTCGGGTGGGGCTTTCGTCATCTCTACGTTTCTCGCTACGGTCGTGTTTGACAAAGTTAGTCCGAATACTACTCTGCCCGATCAGGAAATTGAAATGGTAAGATAAATACGCATGCCTATTTCGAAATAAAATTCCAGAAATCTTGAGAAATTTCTAAAATGCAGAATTTCCAAGTATTGATTTAAAATATTTTTTTAAAGTTCTTCATACATACATACAAAACTTTTGTGATTTGAATTTTTAGGGCACTGGCGTCCAACTGACGGACGGGCACATCGAAATCTTCATGGACGCCGTGCTCCTCACCCAGACCATCGTGGATATCAAGGACATCGTCAAAACTGACGAAAACGGAGAAAATGCAGAACCCGGATCGATCGGGGACCTGTTCCCCGTCGGAACTCCGGCGTATGGACGGGGCGTTGTGGAATTTCGGATCAAATCAATTTCACGCGATCAGATGCCAAATTTGGCAAATCGGAGCCAAATCTCGATACCGATGTTGTACGTAAGACAGGTACATATGTAAATTACCTAATTTTATTTAAAAAAAGAATCGTTCAGGGAATTCACAATGTCCTACGTAATTTTAGAAATATGTAAAATCCGTCAGGTTTACAAAATTATTTTACAAACTTTCACAAAATAAAAAGACGCCCTGGATCTGAGTAAGCTCACAAAAATGTGGAGGCTCATTTTCCTCAGAAATATTTGTAAAAGTTTGTAAGGTCATGGATTTTACAAAGTTCCCAAATACTGTGTGAATTTCAGTATGAATAAAAACATCGAATTGTCCTTTATTTTCAGGAGACATTCTCTGAACTGGTGAAGTCGACCGTGAAGCTGGCCTCAATTGGAATCAAGATGGCAGGATTGATGGCATGGATGGGCGTCCTGTTTGCGATCGGGTGCATCATCGCGGGTGCCGGATTGATCTACTTGGATAAGGCGAAAACCCCGGTGGAGGAGTTGGATGAAGATTAAATTTCAAGATGTGCATAACTTGTGAAAATATGTATGTAGTTATCATAATCGCTACTATTAAATAAAGCGTGGTAGAATTTTTTAAATAAATTTTCGTTTTTATTTGCGTAAGAAAATTTGTGCAGTGGTTACACTTGCTTGATCAATTTTCATTTCATAAAAACTAGGAAATTAAATACTAAAATTAGATATATCGTATTGCATATATACGTATTTCAAATAAATATGCAAATACATTATTTGCATATGTATGTCCGAAGATAATGAACGCACTTATATATGTACACATTTTTTAAGCATTCGTAATAAAACATGGCGTCATTCATTAACAAGTCTGATTTTTAAAAATGATTCATTTTAATTTAAAGTGCTCCATTGTTTAAAATAAAATCTGAAATGGGTATACTAAAAATTCAATTACGCAATTTTACCGACAATGAAAACAAATCGTCACGCGTCAGAAATATTTGTTCCATAATAAATTTCGTCTCCCAATCTCCCATTAAGAAAATTGGTTAAAGCGATGCTTAAAGCTCGTTAAAAGTACATAGGTCTTTATTTTTTTTAATTGACTAAAAACTCGGAAATATGATACGGATCCTAATTTATCTACTGTTTATTATTGTAACATTTGTACCTACCTTAATTTCCTCGTATGGTAAGTTTCTCAAAAATAATTACGCTAACTTTGCATTTAAAATAAACGATTTCAGAATTTGTAAGTTCGTGAAAATGATTTAATTTTTAAATCCTGATTTTATAAATTTGGTATTAATTATTAACAGAGATTACTTATACACAAATTGATATGTGTAGGTTGTCAAAACGCATTGAAATTCGAAATTTCTACTCCATTCAGAATTATAAATCTGTCGACCGAAACATTTCTATGCATAAAAATCCTTCGTTCAAAGATAAAAATTGCGTTCCAAATATTTTACGGTTACGTTTAGATGTATCCAAGTTGCGCACCTTACAAGTTATCAAGTAAATTATCTACATGATAGTGAATTTTTTAAATAATTTGAAAAATTCCAGTCTTAATTTAATTAAATTGCTTTAAGAATGTTCCTGTTTTATAATATACATATTTACATATATACCCACTTACATATGTCAATAGATAAAATTTTACGAATTGGCAAACTGTCTAAAATTTATGCAGTTTTAAGGTTTTGTGATTCGATGATTTGTAAAGCTGGCTAAATATGTACATGTAAATTTGTAGTAAAATTAAAAATCAGTCTTGTAAAAATGCAGCAATGAATATTTGTATAAGTAGTATTTCTTTTCGAACTTTCAGAAGAGGTTTGTTCCTGGACAAAATGCAACCACGTCACGTCCGACCTGCAACACAATTGTGATCAGGATCCCTTCAAGGGTCGCGTGTCAAAGAGTAAATCTCACGTCCCAGTACGCGTAAAACTATGTAAAATTTATTGCGATAAATTGGTAATATACGGATTATCCATCGGTATGATTTACATATTTATCCCAAATGATGTATTACATTATATTGTTGGAAATCTGGCATAGTCAGGCAGCTATTTGATTTCTCGGTAATACAAATAATATTGTTACCGCTTGGTATTAAAATTATTCATATAAGAAATACTTGACTAGTCTTGCTATTTTAAGTTTCTGCAGTATTCTAAATGTTCGGCACTAATTTTGGACACAGAAATAACGTTTTAAATTTTCAGTCTCGCCGTTATATGTCGTTAATCATAAGCATTTTCCGGTAGATGGCATTGTCTTACATATTTCTTGCATTTTCCACACAAAAATTGTGCCTTCAAAAACTATATCTTGCCCTTCAACACATTTCCAATCTTTGAATGAATTCTTTAAGGCCTCAAATCTCCGTGATAGAGCTTTTGGTCTCACTAAACCCTTGTTCAATGTCTTCAAATGTAAGTTATAAAATTGAAACAATTCCATGAGTTATGCAACTTTTGATATTTTAATCCAAAGCCCATTTTTGGTACTACTACAAAAATGAGCTACCTTACTTTAAAAATGAGCTATTTTTGGTACTACTACACTATGTAAGTCGATTTTTACATAAATATTTATGCTTTTATCTATGACAATAAGAATGTTGTTATGCTGATATAACAATTACATTTCTTGTCAAACCTAAACAACCTTACAAAGATTTGAGCAATTTAATCACTTTGGGCATAAAATAGGCATAGCTAATTTCCCCCAAAAGAAAAACAGCACTTACTATAAAACAACCCCCACAAATATAGAACGCCGTCACGATCTTAGAATTTAGATCAAGCTTTGCCACTTTAGGTAGGTTTGGGTGTGTCCAGTTTGCATAGTGATGAAAAAGTTTCTTCGGCCTTACTAATTTATACAAACCCTCCCAGTACCCATATATTCCTGAAGTTAACATCACACCGAGACGACGAAAAGTATAATCTCGCGCAACTGGAGAAGCTGGCCAACCCAGGAACTCTGTAAAGAAGTTATCCTCGCCTATCATGTATGTAATTCCATCACTATTATCGTTCAAAAAGGGTAGGACGGAAGCGACATTCTCCTTCTCATCCAAGAATCCAGTTCTATCACATGATGATAGATGCCTTACAAGATGTGCAGTTTCGTTGTACAAAATAGGTTGAATTGGTACCTTCCTCAGGTCAGTAACGTTCATCGGTTGATAATGTAGCTGATAATTTATGGGCATCAGATTAGCCAACATTTGTGCCATCTTAAAATAACTTTTCAAACATTTATTATGACTAAACCATTCTATAAAAGGTAGCGCCCTGTGCTGAATGGCTCCGAAGAAAAGCTCTACATACAAAAAGTGCGGTAAATCTCCTCTAACATTCGCAGTCATCAGTCTTAACGGCATGAGCACCTTCACCCCTTCAATATTTAGCAAACCATACCACGGTGCACCGTGCGTTATTGGGACAATCATTTCAATCGTGAAGGCTGTTTTATACCAATTCGTCAAAAGTGTTCCAGCCAAAATAATCCAAATTCCGACGACGAGAGAAATTTCGTATTTCTTGGGGAATTTTAATAAATAAAGAACAGAACTTTCCAACATAATTCCTACCGCGAGCCGAAACCCAGCTGACCCAAACTTCTTTTGTGATCCAGACAAGAAGATGGTCACTGCGAGAAAGCTGGTAATGAAACAAATCCATGCTAAATTGCCAAAAGGAGATGTTAAAGCGTACAGCAAGGAAGAATCTTGCCAGACTTTGTAGCATGATATGAAACAGTATTTGTGTACTTTACGAAGGTAGAAAGAGTCGCCAGGAAAGCCAAAAAATCCACTATAAGTTTGGCGTCTGATGGAAAAACAACCTTGAAAAGTATAGTGCAATGGGATGTCTTGCATTATCCAGAAGTCGATAAGGTCGTGGAGTGTTTCTACTCTAAGTACTGCGGCAATTGCTTTGGATTCTGGAATTTTATTATTTTTAAAAATTGATAGTAATTCTTGGTGGGACTTGCCAACTATCCAAAAATACTTGTTGAGGTTTGTCACGATAATACTGATTCGGGTGAGTTGTTCGAAGCAGAGGTGCTCTTCGTTAGCTTTGCAAGATATATTGAATGACTCCTTCCTTAGTGATTTCTCCATTCCTGGCAAAACTTGGTAAGGGAATACGTAAAATATGTTTAGGTGCTCCATCCTAATCACTTCCACCTTTCCGTTGACCCGCGTAGGGAAAATGTCGACCAGAATTACTTCCATTCTACTGTAGTATAAAGATAACCTGAATTGTGTTGAGTATGCTTTAACTATTTCCTTTCCACTGATACTACGGGTCCCGGAAACCAAGAGGAAGTAATGATTCTCTAAAGTTCGTACGTGGTAGAAATGGTCAAACCAATAGTAGTCGAATCGCCAAAAAATTTTGAACTAGTAAAAAATTTTGGTAGAATAAATAAGGTTGTCCAGCAGTGTCGCATTGTATTGCGTCTTCGTAGGAGAGAGAATCTCACTGGTATCAATTTTTCCCATCGAGGGCTTAATATTGGTTCTGTTACTAAGATGATTGGAGCCATGGTTAACGTGATGTTTGTAAGGGAGTCATTATTGGTCGATATTACTGTTGGTGTACAATGGGCGAATGGTTTTAGGGCCTTGTCAATTTCTAACTTTTGCTTAGTTGAACTTGTCCTAGTGACCAGGAGTACATTCTGAAGTAGGGCTAGGAATAGTTTCATGATTACGCCCAACTTATTTATAACGCTTTAGACTAATCACAGATCACAACCCGCTTCTGTAATAGGCGCAAACCTAATTTGACAAGGCTATCCCATCAAATAAAGGATGATTTATTTGATAATTAATACAGAATTAATTACCATAACTTTTTAGGGTGGAAGACAATATTGTAAATCATGCATGTATTTACATATGTATGTATGTGTAACATGTATTGTACAAATTGTTAACATGTACATTAATACGTACATATGTAAATATATATTTACGTAACCCTCAAATTGATTATTATTCTCCCCAATTCTAGCACAATGCATTATTCAAATGTAAATCGTCGAACGTATGTAGATATTCCTCTGAATACATATTTTCGGATGTGTAGCGTTACGCAAACGACGCAGTCAAAATGGACACTGAATGGATCGACTTCCCCAGCTATTTATTGGGACCATGGGATGGATATTCTGAACTTAAAACCCATATTATTCTTAAGCTTGTAAAATTGTAGGCATGGGGTAAAATTGTCCACCGGTAAATAGCTAAAGGATTTTCGAAACTTTTTGTCATGGGCAATGCCAAACAGTTTAAGAGTTAAATGCATTTGACAGTGTGCCAGCTCGTTAGTTGTCCTATTCAGGAAAATTACTGGTTTCCTGGTCTAACCCTTTTCCGTAGGTTATTATCATACGTCGGATATGAATGAAAAATGACTTTCTCCATTTATTGACCTACAGTGGCCAAACTTTCTGAAAATGTTTATGGTCACTAGCAGGTCACGTAGGTCAAAGCATATTTTCTCATATTTGTCATATTTTCGGGTTTTGGGACATACTCATATTCCCGATCATATTTCGGGCTTTTTTCGTTCATTTTATCATTTTTAACAAATTGACAGAAAATGACAAAAATTCAGTTTTCTCACAATGAATCATTGTGAGAAACTTTCAGAAATTTACGTTCACTTTCGCCTAAAGTGATTTAATTCATTGGGAATGAATTAAATCACCCTAGAACTTGTTTAATTGATAAAAATTTAGCATTACACGAAAATATTTCAAAAAATTTAGCCAAAAATTTAAAAAATAAACTCATTTTTATGGTCATATTTTGGGGATTTTTACGGTAATTTTTCATTCATATTTTGAGGTTTTATCGGTCATTCATATCCGACGTCTGGTTATTATCCACAACATCATTCGCAAACATTTAAACACATAGGTACATATATTTTCGTGAAAGTATTGGTTGCAAACCGTATGTATTTATGTGCATAGATTGAGTTAAATGTGTCATATTAAATTTTGGTCAAAGGTATGATTTACCCAATTACGTATTTATATCAGACGAGTTTCTTGTTTGAAAGTGTAAAACGATTCTTTCTTCGTACAATTTGGTTTGAAAATTATAGGATATCAGAAAAAGACGATTCGCATTCTTATTTCTTACTTGCATGAAAACCCACTTTGCACAGGTTTGGCTTCGTCGCATCGATTTGTAGTTAATACATAGATAACAATTCTGTACAGTAAATTCGTTATTCTCATACGTATATGTTGTCAGGTACATAGATATATTTATACACACATGCATATATTCAATCTTACCTAAGATTACTCCTATTTATCAGTGGAGTACCTAAAATCCTAAAAAATAATATTTAAAGGTGTTACTTGTTACCCATTGGTATTAAAATTCTATATCGTTCCGTAAAAATTTGTTACTGATATGGTAAACCTTTAATACCGAACTATTATCTACTACACGGTAATACTTAGCAATACCACTTAGGGTTAGTCATCTATGAATACCGCTTAGTATTACCTATTTTAATACTGAATTTCTAAGAGTTACTTAAAATATGTAAATCTGACATCTCTATTAATCTTCTAAATAGATTGCCATTGGACGAAGAACTGTTACGACGAGCACATGTCTGGAGACGTAAAATTAATTAAAATTTGCGAAAATGAATTTAAGGGTTACAAACCGAGTGGGTCCAAACAAAAAGCATTATCTGGAGCAACATGTAAGAAAAAAGGAATGCAACAATTCGAATGCTGCAAGTAGACTTAAAAAATCGATAAAATTTATAAAGTTGGATCTATCATAATTTAACTGAGATTTTGAAAATATTGTAACAATTTATTTACTACATAAAAAAATTGTATAAAAGGGGGGTACTCAATTTTCATGAAACTGTATTTTTGCTTCCAACTCTATTGCCAACAAACATTTCCAGTTTATAGTATTAAATGAAATTTGAAATTAAATGGTAACAAGTACATATGATAATTTTAATACACAGTTTTTAAAACTAATGAATAAAGCTATACTTGGAAAGTTTGCTGAGTAATGCTACCGACAAAATTTGAAAATGTATTTTGAAATTTATACATGTACACGTTATTTAAAGCATACATATGTATTGACACGTAATAGTCCAATTAATTAGTAATGTGGGATTAAATTAAAGTAGATTATTTTCATAATTGTAAAATTCTATGAAAATGAGTAAATTGCAATTTCTCATGAAGGTTTGACGTTGAAGTGCAAAATTTGAAATTTGAAATTGTTAATAAATAATTAATAATTGATAATCTAGATAAAACTGTATGGCCAAAAATTTAAAAGTATACACCTATATTTTGAATAGTTTGTGGGATATTATAAATACTTGCTGGTAAGTTTCAAATTTTCTGTTCAAGTTAAGTGAAAAATGAATTTGATAAAATTGCAGTATAGCGGCCTAGCTCGGATATGGCTGAAATTTTTTGTGTGAATACCCTAAGGTCCCCTGAGCATAAAAATATTTTTTTTTCGCGGCGGTCTCAAAAACTGAAATTTCTAGAAATTTTTGAAATTTTGTACAAAAATTATTTTTTTGTCTTAGATTTTCATGAAAATGACTTTCTAGACTAACTAAAGTATCCTGAACACGAATCTGAAGAAATTTTTGAAAAATATTCAATATTCAAAAAGTAATAATTATGCCCGTATTGGGGTATTGTTCGTATTTTAGCGAGCGAAGCGAGCAGGTTAGGTTAGGTAAACTAGGTAGGCGGAAAGCGTGGAATTTTTACCTACTAGTGCTACCTAGGAGAGCTAGGTAGTAGTGCTACCTAGGAGAGCTAGGTAGTAGTGCTACCTAGGAGAGCTAGGTAGTAGTGCTACCTAGGAGAGCTAGCTAGTAGTGCTACCTAGGATAGCCGGAAGCTAGAAATCTCATCTTACCCCGAAAATTTGATTTTACCACAAAAAATTCCTGTCAGAGGGAAAGTGAGACAAAGTCTTGGAATTCTCTGAAACATCGAATAACAATTTGTATACAAAATTTCAAAAATTTATAACTTTTTTGCTATTGAATGTTTTTTAAAAATTCCTTCAGATTCATATTCAGGATACTTTAGTTAGTCAAGAAAATCATTTTCATAAAAATCTAAGACCAACAAATTATTTTTATACAAAATTTCGAAAATTTCTAGAAATTTCAGTTTTTGAGACCTCCGCGAAAAAAAGGTATTTTTATGCTCAGCGGACCTTAGGAGGGGAGCTTGTGAGGTTGATAATAACAGATCTTGGTGCCCTTTGGATATGTGGTAGGGACCCATGAGTGTACTAAAACCCTGAAGTAGTTTGACTCCATGGCCACATTTGCGCCCGCCACACCCACTCAAAAATGTCCAAAAAACGCTTTCACCCCAGTTTTCACTCACTCAAATCCACGCCAAAAATCCAATTTTACTCGGATTTTGAAATTTCTTTCACCATTATACTCCCAGATAGTTGCTTTCTTCAATCCAATATCAAACTCAATTTTATTGATGATTATTTCGCAAACATAATTTGTTTTGTTGATGACTACGACAATGCTCATTCAGAATTTTAAATTTTAAAAATACTAAAAATTTCGAAAAAATTGAGTTTGATATTGGATTGAAGAAAGCAACTATCTGGGAGTATAATGGTGAAAGAAATTTCAAAATCCGAGTAAAATTGGATTTTGGCGTGGATTTGAGTGAGTGGAAACTGGGGTGAAAGCGTTTTTTGGACATTTTTGAGTGGGTGTGGCGGGCGCAAATGTGGCCATGGAGTCAAACTACTTCAGGGTTTTAGTACACTCATGGGTCCCTACCACATATCCAAAGGGCACCAAGATGTGTTATTATCAACCTCGCAAGCTCCCCTCCTTAGGGTGTTCACACAAAAGATTTCAGCCATATCCGAGCTAGGCCGCTATAGTGCAATTTTTCCATGAATTTCAATAACGATATTTGTACGGAAATTTGAAATTAGTTAACTTTGCTCGTTTTTTTCCAAAGTCAGATACTAAATCAGCGTGGTGAATCGATGAATAAATATTAATTTAAACCCATTTGTGCGCTTGCGTCGAGACGAAAGCGCCGTGGAAAACGGAATCCGTAAGATACAAATAACAAATAAATAAATGTCACAAGTGATCTTGTAATTTGTTCATAATTTGATCTTCCGTATATTGCAGACCGTCGCCAAATCAGGTTAAGGAGGATTGAGAAAACAAGGCTGAAACGAGCTTCCCCCGTCAGTAATATTAATAATGTCAGTGTAATTGGAAATAAACTGTGGCAAGGTGGGTGGGTCATGGGTTATGACCATAAGTGCTCGATTTGAAGGGATCATAGGTCAACGAATAGTATCCGTATTATTCCGGATCGCAATTCCTTCAAGTCAATCACATGTGAAGGCTCCCTATATAAAAACTATTATTTGCCAATGTTTCTGTGAATTTTGAAATGATATTTACTTTACAGACATGGGTTCAAGCCAGACAACATATGGTGCCGAATTTACTCCTTTATCTATAAAGGTGGAAGCTACTGACGAGGAACAGGATGTCGAAAGTATTTTTGGTGGAGGATCTCCCAACTCGTCCGCATATTATAGGGAAAAAATAGATGAAGCCACATATCCACGAAGCAGCATGGAATCATTTAACCCCGTCGCCATGGAAACATCTAGTTGTCAAGGTGATTATTAAATAGATTCTCGGAGTGAAAATATTAACAAGTTTGTCAGCATTTATTTAAAAATTGTTCTTTTAAATTTTGATGCCTTTAGAAATGACTACTACACTAACTCTGCATTACGGCTCGGAACCACTTTCCAAAATTAGGAGGAAATCTAGTCACTATTTTTTCCCATCTTGCTCTAGAATTAACACAGTCCCCAACATTTTTATCAGTGGACCTATCTTCGTTGCTTTTGAGAAGGATCAACCGTTGTCAGGACAGAATTATTCGTAAATAATACACAATTTTTACAAACCTCGACGAAACTTAATTTAGCATTCATTTTCTAGAGGGGAAATTAAACCCGACGTGACCACGTATAACCTTCCCACGGAAAACTGTGTCCTTGACGGAAGGAATAAAGTGAAGCACCATTGTTCCGTGTGCGGCAAGGGGTTTTCCACCCCGAAGAATCGGATCGCCCATGAAATCGTCAAGTGTAACGTGCCCCATCCTCCGGAACGGTGGAAGCGGTTTGGTATACATAAATGTCCGGTGGAAGGATGTGGGAAATTACTATTGAGAGAGTCCACGTGGAACTGTGAGTAGTCACAATGTGAAATTTATAAGTAGTCACTAATTAATCATTTGTATCCTGAATTTTAAAATTTTGTAGTCACATTGTATCCAAGCATGAAGGCCATCATCCCTACAAATGTTCCGCTTGCGGGGATAAATTCACCTTCAAGAGAAGACTTCAATTGCATAAGGAAACGTGCCCAATTTTTGTTTCAAGTAATCCAAAAAATCGGAACGCAATTTCACTCGTCGAGAAGGAAATGCGTTACATTTCTTGCATCAGACGCTCATCCTTCGGTGGCGTCAGTGACGTCGTAATGCATAGGTTCGTGTCAAATCTTTTTATTTGTAATTGTTAATTAAATATGTATCTTACTTAATTGATGTTTATTTCGAAGAATGCAAACCACACAAGATGTGTGTACTTATTATTATAAGTATTATTATTATAAGGATTGTTATATTAAGTATTATTAAGTAAGTATTATTACATATATTCGAATGAATTTTTATATGTTTGTATGTACATACTTCGCGAAAATAATTAAAATAATGAAATATTTATATGAAACGTATTTCCATTGGTACAAAATACTTTTCAAAATCTTGTTTACTTCTTTTACAGACCGGAAGCTCGGTCTTATGACCGGAACACAAATCCAAAGCCGGTCAAAACCTTCTATTGTGGTCGCTGCGTCCAAGTTTTTGACCGGTATACGAAATTGTACGCCCATCTCCTCGGAGTTCACGGCGACATTGAGAAATCGATCAGGGGCAAGTACCCCTGCTCCGTGTGTGGGGCGTTGCTTAGTTCCGCAAGTCAGCGCGCGGGTCACGAGGCCGTCGTGTGTCACGTAGTCCATCCCCCCAGTCGGCTGAAGGAGTTGGGCGTCAAAATTGAGCGTTGTACGGTATTCCCGTGTGGAAAAATGTTTTGGAAGGAGAAGGATTTGGAAAAGTGAGAATGACGCAATTCGTTCACGCAGTTCTTGGTAACTGTGTAAAATCCAAACAATACAAACTTTTATATAACAAATATCTCTGAGAAAAATTTGCTTACATTTTCTTAGACGTACTCGGATCAAGGGTGTCTTTTTATTTTGTAAAAGTTTGTAAAATTGTGGGTCAAAAATTACGGATTTTACAAAGTCACCAAAGACCTGAATTCTGATATGTACTTAACTAAAGACGCTATTTTGTATGTCTATGTTTAATTTTAGCCACATTTTGACCTCACACAAGGGAATGATTCCATACATTTGTCGCCACTGTGGGAGTAATTTTAGCTTAAAGGAGACCTTAGAAGGGCACGAGAAAACTTGTGAAATTTTATTTTCTGACCATTCAGGCATGAATTTATTTAAGTTTGTCATTTATAAATATGTAAATACATATATAGGTACATTCAGTGGTGAAGATTCTATTTAAATTTCAGATCTTGCTCAGGGATCGCCTAACAGTAAAGAAATAGATTTTGGTCCCCATAATGACGAGATGCACAGGGAGGAAACCATGAGGAAACACAAAATTATACCGAAGGTGTTATTTATGTATTTGTTAAAAAATTATCACGTTATAATTAACAATATTAATTAGATAATCCTTTTAAATCAACGCTTGTAAATTCCAATGCGAATCCGGATCTCGATAAAATTCACTGCTATAGCGACAAGGAAAATCAAAATTTTGACGAAGGTGCTATTTGTATTATATTTTTTAAGGAAATTATCGCGTTCTAATTAACAGGATTAGATAATTGCTTAAAGTCAAATTCTGATCCATTTATGTAGATAAAACGCTTCTAAACACGAACCCAGATCTCGATAAGCTTCAAGCCTTCGTTAAAATTGAGACTGAATCTTCATCTTATGACGACACCTTCGAACACTCCTCCTCGATCGATATTGTTGACAGTATTTATATCGGTGCGGTACCTCCCACCTTCAAAGAGGAAGATGATAATGTGGAAATAACGATGAGTCTGTGAGTTTTTGAAACTGTTGTTTAAAACAATAATTAAGCATGGTCAATTCACAAATGTGAACGCCCTTGATAACTTGGTAAAGAATCTGTGAACTTTTATAAAATTTTAAAAATAGTTAAACTGACAATTATATTACAATTTTTTTTAAACTTATGAAGCCGTATGAAATGCGTCTTTGTTTGTACAGATATTTTGTAAAAGTCTGTAAAACTATTGTACAAAACTTGAGGATTTTACATTACAAGTTGCCAAGGCCTGCGTGGGTTAGGTTGCGTTAATAATTCGCTTTCACTTTTTTGCAGACCTGTAGCAAAGGCTGTGTCCCACACGAAGAAACAGTTAGACAGGAAGACCCGCAAAGGTGACGAAATCAGAAAATGTCTCGTCTGTGAGATATCATTCGACAACGGGAGCAATCATCTCCTCCAACACGTCCATGTCATGCATCGTCACGGCCCGTGTCCGTGTTCCGTATGTGGGAAGGTTTTGTTATCACCAAAATCGTGTGCCGGTCATGAAGTGACCAAGTGCAATGTGACCCATTCCACTGATCTGTTGAGCAAGTTGGGCGTTATTATATTGCCCTGTCCTGTGGAAGGATGTGGAAAATTGTTTTGGGTGAAGAACTACCTCATGATGTGAGTCGGGTTAGATAAAATGGTCATTTACATTATATAGACACAATTTTGGGTAATGTTGATTTGATTATTTTCAGGCATGTTTTAAGACATCACGATGGTGAGGGGTTGGGTTGTTTCTCGGGGATAGGGAAACAAACTAGTATTTAGTAATACTGTCAGCGAAGATCTAAGCATACAAAAATGTAATTTTTTGTACGTGTATAATTATTTAGGCTGTTATTCGCTTAATAAAAAGCAATATTTTTGATAGCATTATAACCCTGTGCTACACGACTTTGTGATATACATATTTATATATTTACTCAATAAATTCTTCTGTCCTTATATGTACAAAGGCTAAATTAAGTATTATCAACGATATGACTAGGGAGAAAATTGATTTAAAATTTCCTTCCGCCGAACTGGGCGTAGTTGCAGCTGTGGTTGTGGGGGTGACTGAATTTGTGGGGGATGTGGCAGGCGGTGTAGTTGTCGTACTGTCGGAAAATGTAGTTCCGCCTTCATACAAAAATTCCCACCGTGCCGCCAAGTCTAATACAATTGTAGTATTTAGAACACGAAACGGGCCCGTGCCTCCCCCTCCGATGGCATGATCATTCCCCGAACTCAATATTAACCCGGTCTCATGGCGGAATACGTAAACCCGAATTTCTCCCGTCGCTGCGAATCGTCCTATGACAATGAATTCTTGCCATTTGTCAACCATAAAGGCACCAAATTTTTGAAGGGGCAAGGCCAGATTGACGTTCTGTATCCAGACGAACCCGTCATTGTCGAGGACGTTCCGAAATAGAAATCGGTCATCTTCGAAACACGAGTCGGTTTGGGATACGCTTAACCCGAAGAGATGATCCTGATCGGAGTATCCGTTGTAATGGAGAAACCCACCAGACGCGGATTCTTGAATGCAGAAAAGTTGGGTTTCTTGAAAATTGTTAATTTCCGGGTAGGAGGTTGGATTGATGGCAGAAACGGTGGTGCAGAATGTGAGGAATAATGAGAAGAATACAGATAATTGGGCCATCTGTGAATGTATAGAATAATTAGTTACGATATTTAAGTTTTAATTATTTTTTGCCAAGCATTTAAGAGTTTCAGAATTTACATGCTCGCCTTCGCACTTTCACTTCACGTAAGTTGTGTTAAATTTACAGAAGCACAAAATTGACGGAAATAGTGGATGAAACTAAAATTATCTAGGTAAAAATTGGTAAATTTACAATTGGCTAAGTTTGATCAAAATTTGGGTAAATTTTACCCAATTGTTATATCATCCTCTATTTTACTCGATTTTAAGTATATTTTATACAACCTTATTTATGGTCAGACAGAGTAACAAATACATAACATACAGTAAGCAAAAATTTAAATCGTACCCTTTTCTGAGGTATCATAAACTAATGGGTCTCTTGTTTCTGGAAATCAATTCTTACTACGGAAGACATCTGTTTTGTAGTAAATTTAATGTAGATTCCGAATATCACATGGATTTTGTCGTTTTCCTTACCGAAGATGGACCATTAATTAAATAATAGAGGACAAATGAAAACTCGTGCAAAAAATTAAATCGTACCCTTTCAGTTTTTAATCATCTCGTTCTTCCACACACTCAAAAACAATAATTTTTAAATGAAATTCGATTTATTTACGGTTTTTTAATATTTGTATGTAAAAAGTTTCAAATTTTTTGACTTTGATGCTGCTAGACATCCTGTAAGATGAGCAGAAAATAGATATATGCCGTGAGAAGAAAGAGGGTTATTTTTCTGCATTGGAGAGGGATATGTTAGTACAAAATTGCATTGGTCACGAAGGTTTAGGAGCCTATTATCCAATTCATTGTCCAAACATGGATGAAACCTGGATTCTTGGGTAATTTTCATTGACGCAGACACAAAACGGCATTGACCAAGGGCGAGCATCGAAATCTAACCAGCAAGAACTTGTCCAACTAAGGACATTTGGCTCCGAAAATTGCACCTTAACTTCAAGAACAATTCAACAGAACAGTTTCCACTATGAGAATCAGAAGCCGGATTCGGGAAATGGGGTTTAAGGGTCGAAGTGCGAGCAAAAAGGAATTTATTTATAAGTCGCATATGGCGAAGCGTCCTAATTGGACCCTGGTCCTCAGCTAAAGGAATTTGAAAGTCTAAAAACGTGTCAGTCAGCATGACACAATCATATTCAACACATTTAGGTCAAATGCAGCCGTGAAGATGTGGAGGAAACCTGGAGAAGCTCATAAACCCAGATGCATGAAAAAGACCGTGTAATAGTGAAGGAATTGCAATTGTTTGGGCCCTAAAATTTTGGAATTGTATTGGAACTTTATCTTTACTGAGTAAATCATCAACAAGGAAGTCCAGCAGACAATTCTGGAGGGAAACCAAGTCCGCTGAGCGAGAAAATTGAGACTCATGTTGAAAATAATTTTGCACTTCGACGCAGATCCTAAAATCCTTCGCACTTGTACGAAGTTTATTAATCGGAACCTCGAGTGAAAAGGAATTAATGGTCTTTCGTGGGTTGCCTGACCTACTGGCCTAAATCTCATCGAAGATTTATGGGCATAATTGGTGAGGAGGATATTTCGAACCGACAATCGAAGCCCAAACATGACTTGCGTGTTATTTTAAGCGAAGTGTGGGTAAACGTATGACCGGAAGTGACAAAGAAATAGTAGAATTCATGCCGCGGCGTGTCAAAGTTGTAATTGTAGTGAACTGAGGCATTTCAAAGTGTTAACTAATTTTTAGACACTGGTTTCATTAAAAACCCGCAAGGGTACGATTTAATTTTTTGCATGGATTTTAAATCCTCCCCAACTTTTTAATTAGTGGTTCATAATCTGCAAGGAAAAACAAAAAATGCGTGTCATTTTCGGAATCTACGTTAAATTTCCTACAAGACTGATGCATCACATAAAAATAATCAATTTCCATCAAGTAGAAAACCATGGATTTATGACATGACAGAATAGGGTACGATTTAAATTTTTGCTTACTGTAAGCGCTTAATCTATATAATTTACAGATAACAGTATGCATCGATCGGTGCGTTTAGTTTGAGAAAATATTGATTACCTTAAAATATGCGTACGTTACAGCGTCCGAGGAATTTTTGATCAAACCTAGTCCTTGGAGGAGGGTAGATAATTGACTACGGTGAAATTAGTGATGCAACCAAAGCTTTACAATAAAATCGACGTCACACACTTGCCCACAATATGTTCGAATTAATTGATTCCGTGTCGTCCACATTGACAAAATATGTAAGTTATACGTTTACCCGTACAGTAATATAACTCTATGAGCTTACCTTGTACGTATGTAAACACTACATGCATATGTTTCATACCGATATCTAATCATTTTGCTGCTGACGTAATTAATTTTCCTTGTCTGATTATGATCATGCAAATGGGTGTCGGAATCCAATTGTGCCGAAAGTTGTCCATTCATATATATGTATCAGACCGTTCAAAAACTAATGTAACGGGAGGGTGAAGCATAAATGGTATGGTGACATATATGGACATACATATGTATAAACTATATGCTATCGGTGGGGGTTCAAAAGCGAAAAGTCTTACACTAGCATTCAAATGCAATTTTTTAGAACGTATTACAAATAATGCGACTACGTAGAAATTTTGTGATACATTCGTAACTGTCAAGTTTATTATTCTGTCTGAATTTATAGTAGAAGTTAATAAACGTGCACGTTTATTCAGTAAATATCTACATAGCTTCAGCTTTAGCAAGAATTGTACTTATTGTGTATTCACAATTAGTAATAATTCACAGACAAAGTCTAAAGACTTTGTCTGTCTGTCCGTTCCTCAGCAGGATAACGGCCCGTTATTAAGGGGAGGACGGATGGACATAATTTAGATCGGTTTACAGCATCATATTTATTTTTTAATTGCCAATAATGTCATAAATACGTTTGTAACCTATTTACTGAAACATATTTTTGTATCATTTTAACTTTTTATTCCATGACTTTGTTGTATTAATTATCTACTCGATATGTAGTAATACATTCATCTGACATCATACAAATATCAAATTAAGAACTATCATGGACATGATTACGAAGAAAATTGTTTTCAGCCTTCCCGCCGAACTGTGCGTCGTTGTCGGGGTAATTGTCGTACTATCTGAAAATGTTGTTCCACCTTGGTACAAAAATTCCCAACGTGCCGCCAAACTTAATAAATTTGTAGTATTTAGAACACGAAACTGGCCCATGCCTCCCCCTCCGATGGCGTGATCGTCCCCCGAACTCAATATTAACCCGGTCTCTTGGCGAGAAGCATAAACCCGAATTTCCCCCGTCCCCGCGAAGGATCCTATTGAAAAAAATTGTTGCCATCTGTCGGTAATGGCGCCAAATTTTTGAAGGGGCAGGCTCAGATTGACGTTCTGTATCCAGATGAACCCTTCACTGTCGACGACGTTCCGAAATAGGAATCGGTTATCATCGAAGCACGAGTCGGTTTGGGAGACGCTTAACCCGAAAAGATGATCCTGATCGAATAATCCGTTGTAATGGAGAAATCCACAAGACGTGGATTCTTGAATGCAGTAAAGTTGGTTTTCTTGCAGATTGTTAATTTCGGGGTTGGATGCAGGATTGATGGCAAACACGGTAGTGCAAATTATGAGGATTAACGAAAATACAGATAATTGGGCCATCTGTACATAATTAGGTAGAATAATTGATTATAATATTCAAGGTATAGTGTCTACGTATACACATTTCTTTTAAAAAAATCCCAAAAATTTAGGAAGATCAGGAGCCACGTGCTCACCTTTAAAGCTTCATTCTAAACAAAAGTTGTGTAAAATTAACCCAAAGTTGAGTAGGATATGTTGAGGATGACGCAACAATTGAGGAAACCTAGGTAAATTTAAAAGTGTCCAAATTTTATAAAGCGTTGGATACATTTTACCATATTATTTGTTACACAATTTGTACGCAATTTTTGAATAAATTTTACACAACTTTATTTAGAGTGTGGATAATCGAACAGCAAATAGATACGTTCTTAATCTATATATGTACATACTTGAAGAAGACTATCTCAAGTATGTTGCGTTTTGTTTGAAGAAATACTTCACAGCTTTCGGGGAATTTTTGGTCTAACTTCTGTGGAGGAGGATGGATAATTGACTAAGGAGAAATTAGTGATGCAATCAGTGTAGTGTAATAAAATCGGCGTCACTAACTTGCCCACAATGCGAGGAATATGTTCGAATTAATTGATTTTATGACGTTCACATGGACAAGACATGTTTTGCCTTATTTGTAAATAATATGTATGTATACATGATAAAGTTTCATGTCAGTATCTAATCATTTTGCATTTGACGTAGTTACTTTTCCTTGTCTGATTTTGAATTGGATGTCACACTCTAAATCAGAGTGTGCAAAAAGGCGCCTTTTTGGGAAAAAATGCATGCCTTTTTGCCGGTTTGCCCGTTTCAATGCCGAATTGCCGTTTTGAGTGCCTTTTTGCCCGTTTGATGCCTTTTTGTGTATGTTTCTATTGGGTATTGCCTGAACCATTTTACAAATTTTTCTATGGACAAAAAAGTGTGGCAACAATGTAATTGGCTTTACATTTCGGTTGTTCTAAAACGTTGCCAACCTTACACTTCTGCACAATTAATCCACAACATTACTTCCTTCTATACGCAGTCATGGTCATGATAATTTAGAGCATTTGTGAATAATTGTACACCTCAAGATGTGCATAATTTTTTTTAGTGGTGACGACGATCATCCAAATCGGATTAATAAACATAACTTAATAATTCAGTGAATAATTAAGTTATGATTTGTCCAGATTTTACCAAAAAGGCGTTTCGGGCAATCGGGCATGGCCAAAATTAACGTGCCTGATAGGCAAAAAGGCATTTTAGGCACGGCATGCCTTTTTGTCCTTGCACACTCTGCTCTAAATAAAAATAAGTAAAATTTACTCAAGGCTAAGTAAAAAAAGAGGATGACACAACCAAAAGGTAAAATTTATCAACCCGTTTGACAAACTTTGCACAACGCTGGATAAATTGTACTTATTTTTATATAGAGTGTACCACCACCAAATAGAACATTGCATTAAAAAAATATTCATATTTCAGTGAATGTATTCATCGCCCTACTAAAAAAAATTCGCCGACGTAAAATTGTATGTAACCGTTGTTAGACGACTTAAAAGTTTAATCCAGCCTCTGTATATGTACATAAGTATGTACTACACAAAGATTTTAGTATTTCGAACAAATTTATTTGGGAAAACGTTTTCATAATTTTTTGCACTATTTATATATACAATGCATTAGTTGGTTGTAGATATTGTTCCATGAGTTGGAGAACCCGTTGTTAAAATAGCAATACCAAATTTTATTAAAATTTAACTTCATTAAGCATGCAATAATACAACAGAAATAGAACAGCCAGATTTAATGACAGCCTTGAGAAAGATGAGAAGAAGCGGAGGCAAGTTGAGAAATACAAATAAATACATAGTTACACATTATGGCAATTAGCAGTCTCGTTTTGCATCATGAAGAGAGAAAGTTAACAAATCTCAATTGTCCCAAATCAGCTGAAAACTGAGACTGCGAGGCTCGTAGTTCGTTCATATTATTTCATAGTATGCAATTTGCAATTTGCGATTCACATACATGCATTTTTTTAATTTGTGATTTGAAATTGAATTGATACATTTCCAAATTTCGTACGATAATTAGTTACAGTTTATTTAACTCGGTGAAACCGGTTTGATAAGGTAATTTATCTCCTGTGTGTTCAATTATCATTAATTATGATTACTCGTCATTTTTCATATTGTTGTCATTTGACATTTTATATATATTGAATTGAATATCGAATATTTTGGGAAATTCTCAGATATCCGGAATCTAACCTAACGTTTCCTCCGAGATTTACAATTTAGGAACCTTATTGGTACGTTAAAAATTTACTGTTTTGAACTTTTTTGTTTGCAAATTTAATTGCTCATTTGTTGCATATTCATTAGATAAAATATGTAATGAATAAAAAAAACTCTTATCTAATGAAGATTGAAGATGGGCCCTAATTCTGACGTAGTAAAGTTAACCCCCAGAGTGCACTTAATTCGCGATGATCGTGTCGAGAGGATCGTGAAAAATTGGATGAGTAAATTAAATATCTAACACGTTAACAATTTATGTAATTATGCTACGTTTAAATTACTAACTTTATGTGTACATTTCAGGCCGTGAACAAAGTAGGCTACAGGAATCAATAAGACTTGGAAATGATGAGATTACTTCAAATAATAAAACTGACGATAATTCTGAAAAAGCAGGTATAACTTAAACTATTAATTTGGGTATGTAAATTGTATGTAGTGATTTTATTCGCCTTATTTTTCTGCAGATCTTGCAACCACTCCTCCTCCCATGTTTATCAAGATCGAGACCGAGGCTGCACCGGATGTCGACGTGGACGTCGACCAAATGGAGGATGAGATCGACATTGTGCACAGTATTGTCGTCGGAGGTGGTGATGAAGTAATACGAAGAACACGAAGAGGCCGAATTGTGCGGTATGTTACAGTTATTAACTATGTAATTTGTTTCACAATTAATTAATTATTGATACCGTTTTACCTGTATTTAACCAATGGAATTGCACATTTGGGCAGGATCTAGCCAAGTTTTTGCAGGGCGTCCTATACTCAACGTCTTATTTTGCATTGCAAATCATTTCGCAAATTTGCGAAGCTCAAAAAAATTTTGTCGTGAGGGATTCACAATGTATATTATACATTGTGAAAATCATTTTCATAAATTTCGCAAATGTGTACAAACAGTTATGTTATCGGAGTTTAATTAGTTTTCATGGATAATTTCCAAGCTATGAATCAGTAGAGAGGATGAGTTTGCGAAATAAAAAATGCCCATTTATTTGCATGTTATGTTTCCGAATTAAAATCCAATAGCTTTTTTCGAAATCTCGCAAAACACTTCGCCATACTTCGCAAGTTATTTTGCTACACTGAAGTTACAAGATTTACGTGAGTACTTATCTTGTTTGCAGTTCTGTCTCCAACAATGCCGTCACTCGGGGCACCGATAAAAAACAGAGCGGTCACAAAAGGGTCAGGAAAAAGGAGGAATATCGCTATCGCCCCAAAACCGTAGAATGTCCCCACTGTGGTAAAATGTTTGTAAGCCAGAAGCACCTCGCCCTTCACGTCGGTCCGGCCCATGATAACGTCCGGTATCCGTGTTCCGTCTGCGGGAAGGAGTTGTCCTCTCCGCGACATTGTGCCGCCCATGAGGCCGTCATTTGCAAGGTGATCCATCCCCCAAAACTGTTGAAGGATTTGGGAGTAAGAATTTGGACTTGTGGGGTGGCCCAATGTGGAAAAATGTTTTCGAGAGAGAAGGATTTGGACTAGTGAGTCGCACTTATTAATTTATGCTGAAGGAATTCATGCAGTGCTTGTAAATCCATAAATTCTGTAAAGCTACACACTTTAACAAATATTTACAAATATTTCAGAAGAAAATTAGCTTACGACTAAATTATTAACTTATAATGCGGAAATTAACGCAGTGCTTTGTAAGAAATGTTGCAAAATGTACGGCCAAATTGTAAAATCCAGAAGTCATGTAAGGTTACAAACTCTTAAAACACTCTGCAATTTCGAAGGGAAATTAATTCTTTGATTTGATTTAATGATTTGAACCTTTATTCAAGTGTTAATAGAAATCAGTTTACAAAAACTGGTTTAAATTCTGGTAAATGTGCTCAGATTGAGAACATTGGCGTCTTTTTAGCTTGTAAAACTTTGTAAAATCATGTTTACGGATTTTACGAAATTATCAAGGACTGCATGAATTGCCTGAATTTGATGTAGATCTGAAGTAGATAATTTGTTTAGGCATAGTTTTCTTAATTGAATGTTAATTTCTTCAGCCACACCATCGCCAAACATGACACGGAAAGTCCGTACAAATGCTCCGAGTGTGGGGAGGGGTTCACACGAAAAACGTGGTGGATAGCGCATGAGAAAAAGTGCAAAATTTCGAGTGCAGGTGAGTAATCGGAACAGATCAACATCTTTTGAAAATGCATGGAAAATCTTTAATTTCATTTTTTTTATTTTATGTATGTATGTCCTCTCGGAAATTACTTTTTGCTTTAATTTGAATTTAAAAAATTTTAGATGATGATGAAGAAGAGATGAACCCAACCCGGACTACTGGATCTATGAAAAACAATGAACTAAAATACAATGCAGACAAGGAAATGCAGATAAAAACGGAGCCTCTTCCAAGTCCTATTACTTCTCCAGGTTAAATGGTACATACAATTAAGAAATTGTGCTTTTAAAAATTAAACTCAATTTTATCATTTCCAATAACTACATCATCAATACCTATAATTTTACCGGTTAAAATTGAAGTGGACAATAATATAAGACCTGCCGAGATGATAAAGACTGAGCCGTCTTTTCTCCACGACGACACAGAACCGACATCCTGCGACACTATAAATGCCCCCACGATTTTTGTCGGTGGTCCCCCCAACCTCGACGATACCAGAGAAATTAAGTGAGTTAAAACATTTTCAGTGTTGTAGTAATTAATTACAAAAGTAATTAATTACGTAATTAATTACAAGAAAAATCGAGAAAGTAATTAGTAATTGAACTTTAATTACTTTGTGGTAATGTAATTGTAATTACTAATTAATTACTTTGCTTCAATTGAGTAACAAAGTAATTAATTACCTTGAGTAATTAATTACTTGATTGCTTCGAATTAGAATACCTATTGTGAAAAATCTTAATTTGCAAGATGGTTTTTAGGCGATCTTGAAGATTAATTTTGAGTTAACTTCCGTTCTTGGAATGCACTTCCAACAATTAGATTAATTAGCTGCTTAATCTTAAAGGTTAATTGCAGTTCTTTAGTACATTTATGCTCGTAGAAATATATGTAGTATTAAAATAATGCCAGGCGGAATTCATATGTGACTCCACCAAAGTGGTATTGATAAGTAATACAGTCAGCAGTATACAAAGTAATAATAGCTCGGTATTAAAGTTTTACCATATCGGTAGCAAATTTTTACGGATCGGTAAAAATTTACCAGTCGACTGATATAATTTTAAAACCAAGCGGTAGCAACTTTGATACCTGGAAATTAATACTGCGTGACTATACAATACTTTTAAGATTGTACCGCCATGATTATAAAAAATGTAATTAATTTGTAATTAAGTAATTAATTACTTTTGACGGAAGTAATTGTAATTGTAATTAATTACTCGACTGATGTAATTAGTAATTGAGTAATTAATTACTTTCTCTCGTCAGATGTAATTAAGTAATTAGTAATTAATTACAAACTCAAGTAATTAAGCAACACTGAACATTTTATTGTTTAGTGGTCGTCATTGCTTCTAATTTAGTAGACCTTGACTTGACCCCCTAATGTATTAACTTATCTCGAATAATCTCGATTACGTCAAATTCTAGATTTCTTAAAATATTTTATTTTTTTGTAGATCCGAAACGCCAATCGTCCCCAACCCGACGACCATCCCGAAAATAAAAAGTGAGACGAAATCTCGCAAGAAATCCCCTAATGGAACTCATATCAGAGGCATAAACGAATGTGACCAATGTGACGAGGTGTTTTCCAGCGTGGAAAAACTCGCTCTTCATTTACGCACGGTCCATCCCGACGTCAAGTATCCGTGTTCTGAATGTGGAAAAGTTTTGCTCTCCGAGAGACACCGTGTCGCCCATGAAGTCATCATCTGTAAAGTGGTTCACCCTCCAGAACTCCTGAAAAAGCTGTGCGTCAAGATACACAAATGTGGAGTGGGACGATGCGGACAATTGTTTTCGAGAAAGAACAACCTCGACATGTGGGTTGTGATGAGATGTAAAAATTTATGGTATTTTGTTATTGTAATTAATTTCTTGTTTTGCTTTGCAGACATGTCCGGAAGAAACATGGAGACCGTTAACGATGGTTGGAGCTTATTTAAAGTAGTTATGTATGTTTAATTATTTGTCGAAAACATTGCGGAAATAAGAGTTGAGATGTTTACCAAACAAAACGGTGTTTATTGCATAATATTTCTTCAAAAAGCAGGCAGTTTTCATGCTTTTGTTTAAAATTCATTCGTTTCCATTTCTTGTTGGTGTAATCAAATATTTAATTTCAATATAATTGTTAATCATCAATTTAAGTAATTCAATAAAATCCTATTATTTTTCCAGAATAATTTTGTAGTTATAAAATTATTGGGGGTACTCACTCACGTGAATGTATTGAATAATTCAAATTGCAAACCCTTAGAAAATATCAAACATTCGTCAAAAAATATCCAGGGTTTGTGACGGGACGTAAATTTTGGGGGCAAAAATTATATCATTTTTAAGAAAAAGGATTTGCGAATCTTTGCAAATAAATATCTATGCACATCTTGCTAAATATGTAGATATTTATGCTAGGTTCTCGCGTGTTATGAATAAATTCGTTGAGTGTTATATACTGATGATAGTTATGAAAAATTGGGAGAAATTCCTGGTGTCACCAATATTGTTAATTGTGGGTGTGGTAAATTGTTGTGTGGCCGAGTACACTCCAGACTGGACTAGTCTGGATAAGCGTCCCATTCCTGAATGGTTTGATGAGGCCAAAATCGGGATCTTCGTCCATTGGGGGGTCTTCAGCGTGCCAGGATTTTCAAGCGAAGTTTTCTGGGAAACTTGGAAATCTGGTTAGAATATTTCTGACCTTTTCAAACTACGTGTAAATTCTTGTAGTAAGAAGATGGTGAAAAAATTCTCTTACATAATTTATTACAGGTAAATGTGTTTCTTGCAATGAATTCATGGCTCACAATTACAAACCGGGATTCACCTATCAGGAATTTGGTCCCAAGTTTAAGGCAGAATTTTTCAATCCGACAGATTGGGCGGAATTGTTTGAAAGGGCGGGAGCCAAGTAAGAATTTAAACGAATGTACGTTAATAAATCGGTACGAGTTATTTGATAATTATTAATTTCAAATGAAAATAGGTATGTCGTTTTGACAAGTAAACATTGCGACGGTTACGCCCTCTGGCCTTCAAAATACTCTGCCAATTGGAACGCTATGGATACCGGGCCTAAGCGAGATCTCGTTGGTAAATTGATGTTTTTTATACGGAGGCAATTCACGCAGTTGTTCGTAACTTTGTAATATCTTTAAAAGTAAATACAAACTTTTACAAATGTGACTCAAGCAAATTAGCTTGCACATTTTTGTAAACTTACTCTGATGAAGTGCGTATTCTTATTTGTAAAATTATTTCAGAAATTCTACAAATTTTACAAGTTAACATACCACTGACTTCGTAAATGGATGGCCTCATTATTAACTACTCAATTATGTGGCTCGATTTATTCTTAAGTATTTAATCTGCTACAGGCGATCTTGCCGAAGCCATCAGGAACACGACGTCCCTTCGATTTGGCCTTTACTACTGCATGATTGAGTGGTTTCATCCTTCGTGGATTGACGACAAGGCGAACGGGTTGAAAACGGATGGCTTCGTTGAAGCTAAAGTAGCTCCGAGTCTGCGTGAAATTGTGGGTACTGCATGTAAATATAATATTAGTTATGTAGCTCTTCGATAAATATACTCGTAGAAATATGATCTTAAAATAATACCAATCCGTATTCAAATGTGACTCTAGCAAGGCGGTATTGATACATAAGCAATACCGTGTTGGAACAGCTAGGTGTAAATGTTCTACCTTATCGCTAGCAAATTTTTACGGGTCGATATAATTTTAATACCACGTGGTACGAACTTTAATACACCAGATTTCGAACATTGTAAGTATTTGGTGCACGTTTTTTTTCGCAGGTAGAGAAATATGCTCCAGACATCGTTTGGCCGGATGGGGAATGGGAAGCTTCCTCGACATATTGGAAATCTCGGGAATTTCTTACTTGGTTATTTAACGAGAGCAGAGTCAAGGATAAGGTGGTTATCAATGATCGCTGGGGTAATGACACGAGGGGGAAGCATGGAGGATTTTGGACAGGTGGGGATCGCCTGAATCCAGGTAAAATTTGTAGAAATTATGACACACTTTTCTTCATTGCATACGTATGTATGCAGATACCCTTCCGGTAAACTTTCTGGCATTTTGAAATGGTACACCTTCGCAATTTTATTTTCTGTAGATTTTATTATTACATATTTCCCGAGGCTGAAATTGGCTAATTCATGGAAAAAGTTAAAAAAAATTCACTAAAAACAGTAATAGTTTTGAAATGTTAAATAGATTTTATCCTGAAATAGTGTATTCTTGAAAACATGAAAATATTAGCTTCTTGATTTTCTACATAAGATGACAAAACTTCTTACATAAAGTCAAATTCAGAATCATTTTAAAATTGCAAAATTCTGCAAAAAAATTTTCAAACAGATGGGATGAAGGAAGATAAAATTATAAAATATTAATAAGTTCGCAATAAATAATTCCGTTTTTTCTGTGCAGGATATTTGCTACCGCACAAGTGGGAAAATTGCATGACACTGGACAAGCATTCGTGGGGATATCGAAGAAACGCGGATATCGGAGATTACTTAACCCCACGAGAATTACTGACCACTTTGGTCGAAACTGTGGCATGTGGGGGCAATCTCCTCGTCAACGTGGGACCAACGAAGGACGGAATGATCGACCCAATCCAACAAGAACGCCTCCTTCAAATGGGGGAGTGGCTAGGAGTGAACGGTGACGCCGTGTATGGCACCGTGCCATGGACGAAAAGTCAGAATGACACCGTCACTAAAGGAGTTTGGTAAGTTTTTTTGGGAAAAAAATTTGCGTGGAAATTTTGAAAATTCTATGTATTAAATTGGAATCTTTCCCGTGGAAAGTTTCTGAAATTATTGCAAAATCTAAAACCACACAACTAAATTTTATTTTGCACACAGCACGCTTGGGGATAAATATCTATCGGTATACATGCACATAATAATAATTTTGGAAATTTCCTTAGTTTGTAACATTCGTTCTCTGCGAAACATGTAATACATTATGGGTACTCAGGCATCTGAGTTATTTATGCGTGTCGCCTTATTTGAATATTTTGACGTATTGCTGTGAGACACTATTTTGTTTAGTTGTTTACTCATACGGAACCCCTCTGTCGGAGAAAGTGGACATACATAGTCGAGATTTATGTAAATTATGAGCTGACCAGCAAAAATAATTATATAGTATTTATAAATGTGTGTAAGCGATTCGACGTTGAAATGCGAACAGTACCTCGATTTTTAGAAAACAAATGTCAAAATTTGTAGAAACACATAGCTTTATCTTACTAGGCTTTATGAATAGATACAATAATTTGTTGACCTCCTAGGTACACGTCAAGCAAAAATGGGACGGTGACTTATGCATTTGTTACTATATGGCCGGGACGATTTTTGCACATTGGATCGGTCAACTACGACCAGATAAGGACGATCGGGATGCTAGGATATCAAGGAAATTTAATTTTTGAAAAAAATTTGCCAAGAATCCTGGTGCATTTTCCCAGACAGGAGTTAATACGTTCTAAATGGATTCGTACCTTGGTTATTTCTTCTAAATCAGAAGATCGTCCCTGTGTTTGAACATGATTTATTTACGAATATGTAAATATACTTATGTGATGAACAAAGATTGATTCTCAAAAATACTTCTTATATTTAGCAAAAAAGCTAAACTAAAATATGTAACTAAATTTATATGTAGGCCACGCATATTATAAATTACAGTACCAGTACATACATACACCAAATATATTTATATTAAGTTGCATAACCCATGTAATACATACATATCCCAATTAATAAATTACATATGTATCTGAATTTCTGTAAACTTTCTAGGCATTCGCGATAAAAGCCAAAGTGTGCGATTTTTCCGACTTTTGTTTGAGAAAATTTGGTTAATAGAGAGTTGGAGATTTTTTGTACTTTTACTTGTACTGTACTGTGACTACAGTACAATACAAAAATTAGTACAAAAATCAAAAGACCTGGAGAATTTCATTATTTTGTACTCTGAAAAAATTGTATTGTAAAACTCCGCGAAATAGATGAGTCAAAAATTGAGACAAATCAACTCATGATATACAAAATGAGAATCCCTCCAACATGTGCGTTTAAAACGATCAAACCAAAAAGTCGAAATTTTTTACCCTTGACCTCGATTAAAACGGTCACCAGGCTGATATAAGCCGAAATGATAGTAATTTCTGAACTCCTCGCTTCAAAGTGAACTACGTCTGCAACGGTTGAAATAAAATATTAAGATTTTTGACCTTTGACCTCGTGAACATGGTCACGGGGTCTTCATACGTTAAAGCTATGCAGATTTCTTAAATTCTCGCCTTAATACACGTCTAAAACAGTCGACACTTAAATTGCGACCTTTGACCTCGTCCTTTCGGTCATTGGTTGGTCGTAGGTCAAAAGTATTGACGACTATAAATTCTTGGTGAAATTTCCTTTAAAATGATACCGCATATGAAAATTAAGGTACAATTTTGCGTTTACTTCACGCCAGGGTGACCTTGACCTTGACCACAGGGAGCCCATCTTCGAACTCGACCTAGGGTCAAAAATTAGAAGCAAAATGGCGAAAACGGCGTCTGATTACATTGAGGCGTTCTAGAGATATCCTAGTTGCCAACCCTTGATTTTTCCACAGTAGTACAAATTGAGCCCGTGTTTCAATTTGTCTACTGTAGACTGTAGAATTAGTACAAAAAGCTGATGACGTCATCATCTAGAGTCCACAGTACAGTCTACAGTCAGAGTACAAGGAATCTCCAACTCTCTAATATCTCTTCGACTTGTGGATTCTAGCGATTAGCTCGTCATAAAACTGCGTGGTTTTCTTCCGCATATTATTTTCAAATTCTCTCGCCTCTTCTGGGGAGCAAAGAATATGAATCTGGTTCAATTTTTGACATGCTTCCAAAACTTTGAATCGGTGTTCTGTCTTGAGGTCGCTTTCTGAAGCGGTGCCAGATTCTGCTAAGGCGGTCAATGCGGCGGCGTAGGAGTTGTACGAATCGGTGTACAAATTTCTTGCAGCAGATGACGCTTCATTTCGCGCTGTGCTGCATTTTTCTGCATATTCACTCCGAACTTGATTGAGTGCAGTGTTAAACTGATGCCGAAAGTGTGCCTGGATACTTTCCGATTCATTATCGAGGGGGCCCCTGAATATGGGTAGGATCATGGATTCGCACATGTTATGAGATTGGTTAAGCCTTTCTTGTGTGACACTTTTTAACTCCTCTCCTAAAGCAAGATCCATTCGAGCACTGTATTCTAGGGTACAAGTCTGGAGCGATTTTTGACAGATGCGTTCAATTTCCTTAAATCTGGTGGAATTTTGGTCTATTATTGTCGCGTTTTCCGTGTCCATTAACCCTTTGAGGTTGGTTTCTGCCTCTCTCTGAAATTCGGCCTCCCTTCCTCCACAATCTTGACGAATTTTTAGTAAAGCATTTTTCACTTCAGATTCCAATATGTCTTTTATGTCTTGTTCGGGAAGAGTTTGCCGTGTTTTCTCTGCCAAAATTGACTTATACCTGGCTAAAGCGAGGTCCAGAATTTGGTTAAGAATGAAGTTCTTAGATGACTCATTTCTGGCAAAAATTTCCCCAAACAAAGTCTTCAAATCGGATAATAGTTTGGCCCGGTATTGCTTGACAAACTCGTGATTTCTAGTTTTATTCCCTTCCGCCACGAACTCTGATCAAAATATTAAATAAATATGTATGCATGTGGTTTGTAACAAATTGTCAACAGTTATCGACATAAAAAATTATGTATCAGGGTATGATACCCCGGGTTCTTGGGGTTCTGGTGGGTTTCAGGGCATCAAAAATAAGAAGTACCAACTAGTCGGGGTTTTCAAATTTTCAAAACCCGGACAACTCCGACTACCCGCAAAACCCAGGTGAAACCCCTGGGTATGGATTTTCAATAACAAAACCCCGGGGTTTTCATCACCCTGTTATGCATATGTACCTGTCAAAGCTTCGCCCCCAAACTTGTCGCAGTTTGAATTCAAGCCTCGGAATGTATTCGCATGATTTTTGAATTCTTTCAAATTTCTCCCTCGCCTGGTTGCAGAATTTTGTAATGCACGCTCCCAACCTGGCTTCCTCCATGGCTTGATAAAGTGATTTTTGTGGTGGCATCGTTTTCCCGTTGAAAACTTCGACGTATTTTTCAAAGTAACTTAACAGGCTGGTACCGTCAATGATATTGTTCCCAATTTTGATTGGTTTTAGATCATCAATTGAAATCAAGTTGTCCACAAAGATGCGCAAATTTTCACGAAATGCTTCACTAAGAGTGCTCAAAGCTCCGGAAAAGTTATTCTCCTTTGCAGCCTCGCCCGGATTGGGCATGAGAAAGCAAGAAATTTCCTCAAAACATGTGGCCAGCGTTTGTCTCACCTTGATAACTTCCGGTGGCATACCGGGCGTCACGGAAAGTTTCTTCTCGAGAAAGATGGAACCACCGAGCTGTCCGTATCCGTGAGTACTTGGGAAATTCCAGTCCCTACAAGAGTGAAATTAAGTGTAATGTTACTCGATATTCGTAGACACATATAAATATGTACGTACAAGTAGGTATTACTGGAAAACGAAGGACTCGTACCATATCAAATATCAAAGACATTAATTTGTATTAAGCATGTGCAATACCGTATGAGGAAGATGAGTTTTTGAAAGGCACTCGTTGCAGTGGAATCCTCTTCCAAAGAAAGCACTCCAAATTCGACAAAATTGTGAAATATTTTCAACGTGTCTTCCTGCATGTTGGTGAACAAGTTGTAGATAAGGCAGGAGGACGTGAGGAGGCTGAGGCCCACAATCATCGCCCAGTCCCTCTCTGTCGTATAAGGGTCAAAAACTCCTTGAGTGTCTGTCAGCATCACGGCAATCTTGGTACCGTCTGATTTCGTGACGATGAATGGTTTCGACCATAACCACAAACCGACAGTGTCACGTTCGGTGACATTTTTGAACGGAATCCTGTCAAGCTATCCAACTGTTCGAGATCCTCCCAGTAATCCATTTGTCCACGTGATAAACGCTCCAGCACGTTTAGAACCACCGTGAGGAGGAACGATTTACCTTGATGAGGTGCACCGGCGATGGGTAAGCGTTTGAAAGTAACGATTTGAACAGGCTCTCCAAATCGGATGTATCCCAACGGGCAAAGGCATAGGAATTCCCTACGATTTCGAGATAAAAAAGCCTCTCGATTCTAAGCGAGGGTAGCTCGAAAAGATCTCGAATTTACAGTTAAATGTCCAGCGAGACCTAAGGAAATCCTCTCGATTATTCGGAGATATTGGCGACACGATTTCCAGCATTAATCGACGAGATTTCGTATTTGCCTGAATATCGAATTCCTCTCGAATTTTATGCGATTTCATTGGGATTAAAAAAGTAGCATACAAAATACATTGCATTGTTTGTGTCTTAATTTATTTTACAACAAATAACTACCAATACAATTTGTATCAAAAAATTAATAAGTTAATGATATAATTTATAATTTTATCTTCACTCAGGATTGCCAGGTTGAGCAGCTACATTTCTAAATAATAATAAAATAGTCCATACATTATACAACGATTCAATTTGATATATATTCATAGAAATATATATATTAATTTAATGTTTCTGTACTTACCTCCTTTGTCTAACTCGATCATGGGCTTGCTTCAAAACAGTCGGAAGCACTTCATAATACTTAATCAAGGTTGCTTCTCCAGATGTCCGTGGATTTCTCATCAGTGCATCTAATAATTAATTAAGCAATTCACATAATTAGACGCGCTCATAATTAGCTTTAAATGACCCCGCTCGATAAAAAATTCATACGAAAGGGTCTGATTAATGAACTCAAACCATAATACGATATTTTTATTTTCACTTACCAAAAATCGAATTCACAAGAAGAGCATGATCGGCCAGCGACAATTTTCCCCGCTTCCCTTTGTGACTATAGAGTGAACAAAGTTCATCCGTCATTAAAAAGGACATCATCCCTTTAACGGCTTCTAACAAAGTTGCACCCCCGCAATCTTTCAGCTTACGAATCTATAAAATATACAGCAATTAAAACATCTTTAAACAAAAACATATTCATGGTCTAATTACATACCAATGCATTTTTGGCAGCCTCATCATTTTTTAATTGCTCATCCAGTGACGAAAGAGCTGCAGAATCCCGAAGTGGAAATAATCCGAAAGGAAAGGAGAAAGTTTGCTGACTGGAAGCGAGCGGTTGATTATACTGATTATTCTTTAAAATCTGCACAATTTCATCCAGTTGATCTTGTTGGCGATCGAGTACAATAGTTATTCTTTCTATTTTCTTTAGAATTTCAGGGAGTAATCCTAAAAATTATTGTTTTGTTTTTAAATTAATTAATGTTAAAATATTGCATTTGTGAATAAATGATCTGCATTCACAAATAAATATAAAAATAATCCCTTTATTATCTTGTGTACCTTGATCGCCAACGGTTCTATTCATTTCTTCTACCCTTTGCGGGGGAGCCTGGCTCATTGCATTATTCAGGATTATTTCGCCACGCTCCATTCCTCCAAAGTCGTCGCCCTCATTTCCTGCAAAGTGGTCCCCCTCTTGATTCCTTCCCGTATCGACACCAGCAGCCAGCAACTCTTGAATTGTGTAAATAGTTTGAGAAGTTGAAGCCATTTCTTCAATTTGATGTCGCGGAGGGTTTGGTAGCTGAGTAACGGGTCCAACATTCTTCTTCACGACACGGCGTTTGGCGCTGGATAAATCAGATGTTCCCTCTGCAACTTTGGACTCCTGTCTAGCTTCTTGCAAAGTCCCTTAATATTAAAAAAATATATATATATATATGTAAATAAATGTAAAGAATACATAATAAATCATTTGTAGGTTTTTAAACTCGATCTTATTGTTTAAGGAACAACAAATTATTGTTCAAGATCTCACCAAATTAAAGTTATCGTGCAACTGCTAAATTGTGAGTACAATATACTAGTTATTGACTTCATGGAAATTACTTAATTTTTTCACTCACCATATTGTCCAAGAACTCTTCCTTGATATTGTGTCCAGTCTTCCTTGGGCGATTCACAACGTTTGATTGCTTTTTTTAAAACTTTATGTCCATAATTGTTCGGCCATAAAATGGAACCATTAGATATCCATGAAACTGGAATGGCCTCCACAGTCTCTATGTCTTGATTATCTTTACACTCTTTAAATACGACGACGGCGTATTTTTGCTCCATTTTTTATTCGTTGAAATTATGGAGTTGAGGAATAACGATAATTTTATTTTTTCGTTTTAAAGCCACACACTTAAATTGAACATCACTTATGTTAAAAGTATTTATGGGACTAGTAGCACTATCAACTTCAAAAATGTTAACAATCGATGAATTACACGGATACTCAAAGAAATTGTTTTTTGAAGTAAAAACACGTCCAATTACGTTCCCATCAGTTGCATTTTTAACGAAGTGACTAACTTCTACTACTTCACCGGTTTTAAGCAAAATGATATTATCAGGGGATTTATTACTAATTATAGAGTCCCTAAATACTATTTTTTTAAATGCGCAAGAATTATTTTTTTTAGCATTACTAAAAGTCACTGAATTTTTAGTTGCAGTATGCGGAAGCATGCTCACCTCGTTTTTCTGTTGCTCAATGATGCGGCGGTATACTTGTTGGAGGGGAAGATGAGACCCTTTAATTAAATTTTTAATTTTTCCCAAAAAGTTTTCAAATGGAAATGCACTGAAGGAATTTAAGTCCCCATGTTTTCGTACATCATTGGTCAAATGTATTAGGCCGTGTACATTGTATGATAGATTTTCTTTTCCATATAATTTTTTAAATTGTTCCACGAAATAAAGTAATAAATCTTCAGCGTATTTTAAATTCGGTTCGGTTTGATTAGTGATTGATAACAACCTAACAGCAATTGATAGCACCAAAAAATGTCTATAATATTCTTCACTAATTATTCCTTTTAAGACGATCGGTCCCGTGTAGAGAAGAAACAGGCGGAATTCCGTAGCTTTCCATCTGTCAACTTCAGAGAGAGGGCGACTTTTTCTCACAAAATCACTTGTCACACAAGGTCGACACTTTTCAAGACGAAGTGATATTTTGTCAATTGATTTTTTATTTAGTCTGTAGCTTTTTCGTTTTCCATGTACAAAAATTTTTAGAATTTTTTTTGTCACTCCTAAGCATACAAGATGCATGAACTCGTATGGGATGTCTCCAACTAGATCGAGGGGTAAATTTTCAATCACTGTTCTATAATTATGATGAGGGGGTTGTTGATTAGCACGAAATGAATGATTTGTCCTCAATTCACTGTTCGTTTTTAAATATACTACACGATTCTCTTTATATTTTCCTTTAACGATGCATTTTCCACAACCGTAGTATCCAGTGTGACCCTTGATTCCAGTGACAAATGCACGAGCAGGGGCGTCACATACTATGCTTGACAGTTTAAACTCATATTTTACATTATTAATAACTACACCGTTTTCGATTAAAGCTTTTGTTTCTTGAACAAATTTTTGCAGGTAGTTATCTACGTCACTTGGCTTTTCATTCCCAAAGTAAAGTCCAATAATAAACACTTTTTTCGTTTCAATTACACGTCCTAAAATTGGCCAAAACTGTTTAGATGAACTTTTAAATAGTGGGAGTCCATCAATATTTATTTGAATTTTGATTACTTTAGGGTTTGGTCGAAGTAATTTAATTGACTGCTCAATTATACTTTTATAACCAAAGTGAATATATTGTCCCCCACCGCACTCTTCAACCAGTGATGTTGTCGGGGTTGCTAGTAAAGTTCTGCCATCGACAGGTAATTTTGGTAGGCTTGGTTGTTTATTTAAAATTGTCAGTAATCCATTAAATGCCGATCTTGTTATTTTATTATTCACACCCCATTCTCTTAAATCTTGCTCTAAATTATATGGCACTGAAGCAAATTGGTCTGTACTTAAATTTGTAAACTCATTCACCGACTCAATTACACTATTTTCTAAATTGTCTTCGTTAAAATTGATTTCAATTGTGTTCTGATTTTCGGACTGGGGATTTATTTGTGAACTGCTAAAATTAACTATATCAGTTTGAAAATGTGAAATATTATCTGTTACATTGTTATACATAAATTTGGCTACATTAGCGCTGATTTTCCTAAACTGTGACCTTTTACAAAGACGGAACGTTGGAGTTTTACTTACTCGTCCCATTGTCACAATGGTAGTAATAATATATCAGCTGGATCTGGATATATTTAATTAGTCCTTTTTGTATTCGCTAAAAATTCGCTACGACTTCGAGTTACCATCTTAACAATACTTGTAGATTCGCAGGGATATCGAGAGTAATTCTGACACTAATCGTCCATAATATGTTACATGCTGATTTGCAATTCTCGAATTTTTCTCGAAATCGTATCGATTTCGCACAGAGTGTCACGACGTTTTGTTATGTCTGTTAGTAGCTCAAATATCCCATGGAATTCGATAAGGAAATCTTGTGGATTTCTGAGCGATGTAGACCTCGCTTATATTTCGAGATAATCGTGGGGATTTCGATCAGCGAGGATATCTCGACTTGCCCGTTGGGATGGTTCCAAGATTTTTGCCTTGCATGGTCCAGGTTGAGGAGGCACATCTACATAAGTAATTATTATTTAATAGTTTTCTGAAAAGTTATTTGTGTTGAAGTTGAAAATACTGTAAAGATAAAATGCTCTATAAGGCATCCAAAATCGGAAGATTTCGAAAAATCAGGTACAACAGGTTTGTCTAACCGAAAATTCATTTTTGCGATTTTTAAATTTCTGTTAACCCGGATTCCGATTCAAAATTTTGGTAAATAAATCCGGTTCTAAATTACACAACAGAAATTCGGCATTATTTTAATGGAAACGATATAGAATAACTAATTCTAGCATCATGACAACTTTAAATCCCCCAGTTCTAAATACTTGCAGAGCGGAATTAAACCAGTTTTAAAACCGGCTTGCGGAATTTCTCTAAAATTGGAAAAATCGACAAAAAAATCATCTGAGTTTGGATGGCCTAATCGCATGTCTACCTTCTACAAGGCTAGTGTCACGTAGCTCGGATGGGTTGATATCATCTTGCGGAGAAAATATCAAATTCTGAGAAGGACTCGTTCCAGGTTGTAAAGTTAATTTTCCATTATCTTTAACCGATACCCCAGAAACAATGCAGTTGTTTGAATATTCGCCCAGCACAATATATTGATTGGAAATATTTGTAAAGGTTACGCCATCAATGTTGTTATCACTTCCACAAATTTGTATTCCATTGACGGCGTTATCAACAGCTATGTCCGTTAAGGTGCATTCACTCCCACTTACATTAATTCCACTAGCACTAATGCCTTGCAATCTGTTACGTGAACCGGTGATGTTAAGGGAAAAGTTCAAGGTGTTGGTTGGCGATATTGATAAATTCCAAAATTTACAGTTATTCCCACAAATATCAAAACTGAAGGATGACTTAATCCTCGTTTTGTCTACTCCTCTGCCCATCAGCCTTACGTTGTTGTGTGAAACGATGAAACGTCCTTGATAATCACCTTCTCCTAAGACAATGATACAATTCGGGAAGGAAAATGATAAGCAGAGCTCCAAATCTTCTCCATTTCGGCATTTTAATATTGGTCTCATGATTTGTACAGATTTCCAATTATCAATCATTCTATCGACGTCATCTATTGTTTGATATCTTTTCTTAACGTGTCTTTCAGTTAAATTAATAACGAGTTCTTTGGCAAGGTTACCGATGAGAGGATGATTATCGGTGACAAGATGTATTGCTCCATCGGCAACTAGTTTGTCAAAAAGACTATTAATTTCACTCTCTTTAATTAGATCAACAACCTCCCAAATTATTAATCCCAGCGAATACAGATCAGATTGGTAGGAGTATTTTCCACTTAGAACTTCCGGCGCCCTATATACTCGAGTTCCAATATCACTTTTAGTCAAAGTAGGGTTATCGGGATGGGGTAGTATGCGACACTGACCGAAATCTCCGATTTTTATGGGGACCCTGTATTCCGAGGAGAACATGATGTTTGCGGGCTTCAAATCGATGAATGATTTTTTTGCTGTGTAGGAATTTCAAACCGGAAACCAAACCTTGAATAATTTTAATTTGCTTAAGCTGGATGAATACTGAGTCAATGGTGGTTTCCGGGTGGCGTAGCCAGGAGGCCAAATTCTTGCCGCAGAGCTCCATCTGGATACAAGTCCATTTCAATTCTTTAAGTTTTGCTAGTTTGTCCTCCCATCTGCCTTTAACTTCTTTCGGACAAAGGTTGAAAACGTCCTTTAGCTTGGTAGGATTAAAACCTTTCTTCTGAATAGAATTCTTAATCGTGACAATGTTTTCGTGTTCCGGAAGTTGAATGGTTGCACTGCGCTCCCGCTCAGTTTGAATATTTCTCTTTTCATCATCCGTTGGATAGATGAATTTTATACAGGTGCAAGTTTTGTCTTTATGCTCTGCCTTTAATACAAACCCGTAGGAACCTGTGCCAAGGTATGTTGTGTACTTTGTTACGCTATCAAGGAAATCTGAGGCGGTGGCCATAGTATTATAAATATAAATTTTTCTGGCACATAATAGTTGTCGGGGTACCACGGACAGAGTAATGAACGTAGTTTTGAATGGAATATGTATTTTGCTAAGATGGGTTCGTTATCTACTTTTATCGTAAATTGATAAACCGGCCAACTGAGCAATCGGACAATTCATTATAATAAAATAGATGTACATATAAAGCATATACCTATGTAGCTTGCTTTCCACGCACGAAATTGTACACGTACAACGTAAGCGTTATGACTAGTTATCAGTACCACTCAGTTCATACACATGCACGTACCTATTTATTCATATATTAGTGTTTTTTATCAGTATTTAGTATTGATATACGTATGTATGCATATCAATATTTATTATTAGTGTTGCGGCAACACTATGTATGTGTATTAAACAACACTGTTGCCAAATATTTATTGGCAACACTTTAGTACCACATTTTATGTATATATTCAGTACACGGGTCCATGAATCAAGTGGCGGCCGAAGCGTGACGACAGGAAGACAATGTCCCCACGGTTATTCGATGCCACCAATGGGGACTCTGCATCGTCTGTCCATGTTAAATACATACCCCACCCTTTCCTATCCCAGAATCTTGATGTCCCCAAAGCGTCCAGTGCCTAAATCTGACCATGGTATCGAAACATTCTGCAATAATGACGGACATCTACATACATATTTCGATAATTTGAGACACTCACAAGACTAGATTTACGACCGATTTTTCATGATTCTAAAACTCGCGTCTCCCACTCCACTTGTAAATAAATATATTTATGTCCATCAAATCTCATTTTACTTAAGACTGAATACACAATGTATCGATGTACATATCTGCATACATATAAATATGCGCGAGAATAATACATTTGCTGTACTCAATTGTTATCTATTGGCTACTTTATAAATCGATGCGATGAAGCCAAACCTGTGCAAACTGGGTTTTCATGTTCGTAAGAAATAAGTATGGGAAACATTCTTATCCGATACATATAATTTGCAAACCCAAATTGTTAGAACTTATCGGCCGTTTCACACTTTGAAAGAAGAAATACATTTAATATAATTGGCTAGATTACTCCTTTGACCAAAATTTAATATGGCTTATTTAGCATAATTTAAATACTTTTTGCAACCAGGGTTCGCTACCCTGGGTTTTTGTGGGTTGGGGTTTTTGGGGTATCAAATCTCCGGAAAGACCCTAATGCTTAATGGGGCTTTTGCGGGTTTTTGCGGGTTTTTGTGGGTTTTTCCGGGGTTTTTGTAGGATTTTGAGGCAGATTGAAACAAAATCCCTTAAACTACAACTTAGATCAATGCTAATTAAATTTTCTCATTCATCATGAAGTTTTGAGAATTTTCTTGTGCGACTTGAATTTCCAAATATTATGACATATTTCCAGGTTTACATGTTAAACATGAATTTTCGATGTAACAGTCCAAGTCAATGATAACGGTTAAAATTGCATGCTGAATTCGTATATTAGATTAGTTTTTCTCTAATATATAATTTTAGGAATTCTGGTTCAACCTACCCCAAAATCTACAAAAACCCACAAAAACCCACAAAAACCCAAAAACCCACAAAAACCCCCAAAACCCCGGAAAACCCCATGGGGTTGGGTTTTTCTACAAAAACCCCGGGGTTTTCCGAACCCTGTTTGCAACCAATATTTGCATGACAATGTGCACACCTATTCATATGCTAGCAAAGGTTGCCCTGGATGATCATTTATCACCCACGCAAAGGGGTTAGGCCAGGAAACCAGTAATTTTGCTGAATAATATAGACAATTAACGAGCTAAAGACATTGCAAAATGTACATATGTTTGGCATGCATTTAAAGCCTCTCCAATTAAATGAGAAGTACCCTCCAAATATTTCAGAAGTACCCTTTATGGATACCTGCCTCTTAAAGTTATTTTTGAATTAGGATTTTGGTGGCAAACTACCTCTTAAAATAATGTACATATCTACAAGCCATAATTTCAGCATTTTATATATGTAAAAAGCGTATCATTTATATGCAATTAAAGTTAAGGCTTCCATAAAAGCATGCATTTTAAAAACTACATGGTACTCAAGGCTGTTGTGGACTTAACAGGTTCTTCACCCTTCCACTTGGTACAGGTTTTGGGTTCAGAACAACATCGAAAAATTCTTTTATAATTGCTTGACGAAATTCATCTTTAAAAATATACGATAATCTCGCAATACATAAATAATTCCGATCATTAATGTAAGGGTAAAATTTAATGGGCCCTGAGATTATCTTAAATCGTCAGGTAAAAATGTCTTAATTTATCTTATCTTAATTTACCCTGAGTTTAAAATTTTTAAATGCCGAAATGTCTTAATACAGCCTGGTAAAAAAATCGATAGTTTATAAATGTAAGACGTAGAAACGGATATATTTACAAATCAAAGTAATATCAAACCAAAGCAATATCAAACCAAAGCCTGTGGAAAGCTTGTTATTTGTCAGTGTGAAATATTAAAGCTATTTTTGACAATCTTGCAGTCAAACAAACTAATTTTTAAGCAATTTAAAACGAATTAAAAAAATGTTTTTCATAAATACATCTTTTGGGGATCTAAGCAATTAAACATTTTACATAAAGTCTGAAAGTCTTCTTGAAAGTCTGTACATTAGAAAAACGTCTGACGTCCTGAATCAAGAGTCTTGATTCAAGACCACATGAACCTGAATCCTATCTGGGTTTCACTATTGTTACCCCTAATCAAGCGCCCCTGACAACGATATCGTTTTTTGAATTACAAAGATATTATGTGATAAGATGTTTTTGGTCAGGATGACTTAAAACAATTTACTCTAGGGGTGAGGCCGTAGCTGGGTCAACGAAAGAATTTTTAACTATTTTGTAATTGCTGGCTAATTTCTAGAATTGAGTGTGTGTAGCCCGAGTCATAGTTACCCAAAATTGTGTTACATATTTAATTTCTGCGAGTAAACAGACAAACAGACGAACGGACAAGCAGTTACATAAGGCTGGGTAGCCGCTGCTACCCAACAATTAAAAATAATTAAAAAAAATAAGTTTGTTGAGTTACGGCCGAACCCAGAAACACCGGCCGTAGCCGTTAGTGATTGAAGAATCCTGGTTTTTGGTGAAATAAATCATGTTTTTCGCTTTCTAAAATTGTCCCTGAAGATGATACAAGTGAGTATCGAAAGCTCGGAATAAATATATCTGTATTACAACAACCATGTCGTCTGATAAATCTAATACAAATTTTTCATAAAGATTTAGGGTTTTTAAGAACATAATCAACCGGACACTGGTAATAAGACCCATCACTGATAAGAAATTTTCACAGATTTATGATATGCAAAATGAGAGGCTACTTCCATTTAACGGGAGGGAAAATTTAGAGGATTAAGAGGTTGCTTTCCATTTAGGTCACTTCTTAAATATTCGGAGGGTAATTCCCATTGTTTTGGAGAGACATTAAATTACATTCCCATATGTTTGTGCATAAATACATACATATGTACATACATTTGATCCTCATTATTAAAAAAACTATTTCATATTATCCATAGAAAAGTTTCTAAAACCCTTTACCTATTTACCAGTAGATAATTTTACTCCCTGCACACGATTTTACAAGCTTCAGAATCATATGAATTGTAAGTGCGGAATATGTACATATGTAAGTGAAGAATATGTATGTAGAGTTTTAACTGACCCTAACAAATTAGCGGGGTGGTCAATTAATTTAGTGTCCCCAGTTTTGACTGCCGCCGTTATTTACGTTAAGCTACTCATCCGACAATATTCAAGTGGAACTTGCGCGACTAACGCTAACAAACGACTACGACTTACACTGATTACTTTGTCAATAGTCCATTGTGCTATAATTGAGGAAAATAGAAACAAATAACATTTCAAAAGTTACATAAATACATATTCACGTACGTATAAATGTGCATGAATTACGAATCAAAATCTAAAATTTAAATCAAATTTAAATCAAAATTACGTATACGCCCCAGTGAGAACTTGGGTTGTGATTTTAGATTAGCTTATAGTCTCAATACCTGGGCATATTTATGTATAAATCATGAAAATCCTAAAACTCGTCATATCCCTACTTCTTTATAATGTACTCCTGGCCACAAGAACAAGCTCAATGGCGCAAACATTAGAAATTTACAGTGCCCTAAAACCATTCGCTAACTGTACCACGACAGTTATAACGATGAATAATGACTCCATTACGAACATCAAGTTAACTATGACTCCAATCATCTTTATAACAGAACCAATATTAAGTTCTCGATGGGAGAAATTGATACCAGGCAGATTCTCCCTGCTACATAGACGCAATAAAATCAAACACTGCTGGGCGACCTTACTTATTCTTCCAAAATTTTGGAATATTTTAAGTTTCAATTCGCAGTTCTATTCCCATTGGTCTGATCACTTCTACTACATAAGAACTGTAGAGAATCATTACTTCCTCGTGGCTTCGGTGACCGGAAGCATAACTGGAAAGGAACTTGTTAAGACATACACAACACAATTCAGGTCAACATCATACTATTCTAGAATGGAAGTAATTCTCGTCAACCTTTTTCCAACTCGAGTTACCGAGAAGGTGGGAGTGATAACGATGGAATACTTAAACATGTTTTACCTATTCCACTACCAAGTTTCCCCAGGAATGGATATTGCACTAACAAAGGCATCGTTTAATATATCCTGCAAGACGGACAAAGAGCACCTCTGCTTCGAACAACTCACCCGAATCAGCATGATAGTGACAAATCTCAACAAATATTTCTGGATAGTTGAACATTCGCATGAGCAACTATTATCAATCTTTAGCAACAATACGACTCAAGAACCCACAGCAATTGCCGCAGTACGTCGCGTACAATCTTTCAACGACCTAGTCGCGTTCTGGATATTGCAAGATGTCCCTTTGAGTAATAGTTTTTATCGTTGTTTCTTTCTCAGACCCCAAGCAAATAATGGATTTTTTGCTTACGATGGCGATTCCTTCAAACTTCATAAAGTAGACAACTATTATTTCATATCATGCTACAAAGTCCGGCAGGATTCTTCTTTGCTAAACGCTTTATCGACTCCCTTCGGCAACTCAGCATGGATTTGTTTCGTTACCAGCTTTCTCGCTGTGACCATCTTCTTGTCTGCATCACAAAAGAAATTTGGGTCGGCTGGGTTTCGGCTCGCGGTAGGAATAATGTTGGAAAGTTCTGTTCTTTATTTATTAAAATTCCCAAAGAAATACGAAATTTCTCTCGTTGTAGGGATTTGGATTGTTTTGGCTGGAACGCTTTTGACGAATTGGTATAAAACAGCCTTCACGATTGAAATGATTGTCCCCATAACGCACGGTGCGCCGTGGAATGGTTTGCTCAATATTGAAGGGGTGAAGGTCCTCATGCCGTTAAGACTGATGACTGCGAATGTAAGAGAAGATTTTCCGCACTCATTTTATGTACAGCTTTTCTTTGCAGGTATTCAAAACAGGGCGCTACCTTTTGTAGAATGGTTTAGTCATAATAAACGCTTGAAAAGTTATTTTAGGATGGCACAATTTTTAGTAAATCTAATGCCCTTAAGTTATCAGATAATGGATCAACCGCTGAACTCTATCGAACTGGAGAGTGTACCAATTCAACCTATTTTGTACACGGAGATCACGAATCTTATCAAACATCTATCATCGTGCGACAAAACTGGGTTTTTGGATGAAAAGGAGAATGTGGCAGCCGTCTTACCATTTTTAAACGATAATAGTGACGGCATCACATATATGATTGGAGAAGATAAATTCTTCACAAAGTTTCTGGGTTGGCCAGTTTCCCCAGTTGTGCGAGATTATACTATTCGTCGTCTCGATGTGATGTTAACGTCGGGTATATACGGGTATTGGGAGGGTTTATACAAATTAGTCAGGCCGAAAAAGCTTTTTCATCATTATGCAAATTGGACACACCCAAGGCTACCTAAGGTGGCAAAACTTAATTTCAATTCGAAGATTGTAACGGCGTTCTATATTTGCGGGGGTTGTCTTGCAGTCTGTGGGATTTTTCTTGTGGGGGAAATTATATGCATGCTATGCCAAAAGTGGTTTAATTCCATAAGTATTTGTAAAATTAGATAGGAAGTAAATGTATTTCTGAGTGGTGGGTGGTGGCCTCTCACCTGACCCAATATGGGTTGAAATATTATTCGCTAAATATGGATGTACTTTTTATTTCAGACATTTGATAAATTAAGTAAATTTTTACAAATTTTGATTTTAAATGCGGAGGGTGCTGACAAACATTTAAAAAGTGTTCCACAAAATCAGCCATAATTATTTAAAATAGATTTAACCTATAAAAAATAAGGAGAGGTTTAACGTTAGATAGAAATAGCTAAGTCGCAGTTCTTCGAGTATTGTACCTGATATTCGTATAATTATTATTAGTAAATATATAGCTATAATACATGAATGTATTCAAACAATCCAAAAACGTCGGATCCCAAAAAATGTCTTATTGCACCCTGGAAAATAATTCGTACATACATGTATTTACAAAATTAAACATTTGATTGGATTACAATAATTTTCTAAACCCTCGTTATCCTTCCATACCTTTAAAAGTTACCATCTCCATTGTTACCACCACCATTGTTACCACCTCGATTATTGCCACCACCATTGTACCCGCCGAAGTTACGATTTCCACGGTACCCTGTTCAGAAAAATTACATTAAAGAGAATTCCGAAGTTACATAATTACTGCATAATATTACATTAGGTGTTGGGACTATGCAGGCTTCGTAAACACTCTTAAAAATAATGTCACCCTTTTAAAAATGCATTCTCGATTCTTAATTAAGTAATCTATGCTAAATCCAGAGTAAACGCGTTACTCGTGATCATGTTAACGTTACTCTGAACTTCGTATAGGTTACTTCTGAGAAGGATTTTACTTTCAAAATGTATTTTCACGAGTCTAGGCCTTCAGATTACTGTAATTAGTGCGATAAGTTTAATTTATATTTTCATTAATTAGATATTTGCTACATTTTCCACACCTCCATACCCTCGGTAGTTTCTGTACCCGTTACCATAGTTGTTATACCCACCGTAACCTGTAACGATAAATTGATAAATAATTGCTGCCGATAATTAATAAAAATAAAAATGAGATATTTTAATATATTACGGAAAAATTGCACATAAAATATTTTGAGATTAGAGCGTAATAATGGTTTGACTTAAAAAAAGGAACTTGGCAGACCTAAGCCTTGCGATAAGTGCAATAAACCTTGAGCGAGAATGCGAGAATTTGTATTTTCTTCCCATGCGAAAAAATGCTAAATAAAATTCCAGCAAAAATGCAAATTCTCGCTCACGGATTCTATCATAATTTCTTTTAAACTGAGCATTATGAAAAATCCTGAAACACGTGTTTAATTATTTATCTAAGGTTATATGATTAGCGTGGTATTGTTAAAACCGCTGGCGGCATCGCAGTATTATTTCTATCAATGGTTCATCTTACGCACCTCCGTAACTGCTGTACCCACCGTATCCTACAAGTTCATAATTCCATAATTAATAAAATCTACCTGTACACAGACATGTCAGACAAATGACAATAAATCATACCTCCGTACCCACCTGAAAAAAATGTATTAATTTTTTATGCATAAATACAAATATGTATACCTCTTTATATAAGTACTGTAATTAAATTGATTGTGGATTAATTTATTTACCATATCCACGACCTTTTCCTCCTTTCCCTTTTCCTTTTTCTAAACGTAAAGATTCACAACAGTGTTTCCAGTCTTAAAATTCTCTTATGATTGTGGCTAAAAATGTGAACACTTACTCCGTTTTTCTCTGTTTAGTTCTGCCAATAAATAAAGAGTTTTACTGGACTACTTTATTCATGTGGATAAGAATGAGTTAAAAAATTGGATTTACCATTAATCTGGCCATCGTCATGGTTTTCGAGATTTAACAAACTGCTCAAAGGGGATGCGGTACTCGTAGTGGTCGAATTGTCTTTAAAAGGAAGCGGAATAAGATTGTCTAAAGACCCTCTGGTGGCTAAATTCGTCCGGTTTACTTTAGATACACTGCCATCATTAAGAGTCAATGTGGTTTGGATAATTGTTAAAATGCAGAATGTAATAAGACTTAAACGAGAATTGGAGCTCATCTTCTTACTAATCATTTTTACTTCAGCTATACACGAAGAAAAGTTTTCTACGGAATGACCAAATTTTTAATTTGGAATCGGTACTTATGGTCTGTTTGACATCTTTTTTTATAAGTTTCTATTACATACATATACTAAATATGCATGTATGTATGTTAAGACACGCAGTATATAGTCGTGACGTAAATGCACAATAAAATTAAATATTTATGTAAGTTCTATAATAAAAATGAAAAAATGATTCGGCTACAGTGATACTGTGTAATTTTTTGTGATTATTTTGTTTTTGCCCATGACAATCTCCCCACTGTAAACAATATAAAGAGATAAAAATGCAACAAAAAAGTGAAAGATTAAAATAATGCGAAATCATGGGTTTATTGTAGATGTTGGATTTTCCGTCGCATTGTTCAATAGGATAAGTAGGTACGGAATTAGTTAACTCCGGTTTTCTTGTAAAAAACATTACATCCAGGGGATGTAATCAATTAGCTCTAAAATATGCACTCCTATGTAAGGCAATTATTCATCATCGTATGTATGTGCAGAATGCTTACTATATACCTAATACCTATGGTGTCAAGAAGGATATTGACGTCAGTATGCATGCACTCTAATTGTAAGAAATCCAGTATTGAAATAATACCGAGCCGGAGTCGTATAAATATGTATATATGTCTAACTCTGCCAAAGTGGTATTGATACATACATCAGTAATACAATGCAATAATATCTAATAGGTGGGAAAGTTATACCACATCGATAGCAGATTTAGGATTGACCAGTATAATTTTAACGCCAAGCGGTACTAACCTTAACACGGAGAGATCAATACCGGCGTTAGGGAGCGTCCATAAATCACGTGATCGATTTTTGGCCAATTTTGACCCCCTCCCCCCCCTAGGTGACCGGTGGTGATAATTTCGCTACCCCCCCCCACCGGTCACGTGACAGGAGATGCTCAAATTAAATCATGTTGTCCGGAACAACAATATTTTTTAAATCATTAATCAAATTAGAGCTACACTACACACATGTGTAAATACCTATTTAATACGCCAGTCAGACATAAGTATTTAAGTCGAAGCAAGTTTCTAAATATGCAAAATGAAAATCAAATTTATATAACGTGCGTGTGGTATGCCAAGAGAGTTTATATATAACTCTCTCATGACATTTATTGGCATATACAAAAGTTAAAAAAACTTTACTCATGTCATGTGACATCTGACCATCTACCCCCCCCCCCCACCCGTGATAATTGGTGACAAATTTCAGACCCCCTTCCCCCCTCTAATCGATCACGTGATTTATGGACGCTCCCTTACTAGAGTACATACATATCCCAGATTTCTAACAGTGTAGATTCGCAAAACATTATGATGAATCAGTTTTCTGTTATTTTTCCTCTAACTATTTATTAGTGTGGACACTGAGAAATTGTAGCACTGTGTATAGTATTATTAAGGGACTAAACACTTTTAGGTATATGAATTATGTATTTGTCTGTCTGACGTTCCCAGAAAGAATATCCCACCAGTAAATGTAAATATATATGTATGACAAAAAAAATCTGGATACTTTTTGACAAATATAGGAAACGTCATTATAGTAGCTGCATGTATGCAGTTTAGAGTAGGAAATATATTTTTAAAATGCTATTAGCCCCTTTGCAGAATTTTAGAATCATTAAATTTTTACGATATACTAAATAGTATTTGCTAAATACTTTCATTATGTAGACAATGGAAATTTTGATAATCACGATAATATTAACGTGTTACCCTTTTGCGCAGAGTGTAACCCAGTTGTGCGTGATTAATGTATCGATACATATATATGAAATGTATAATTGAAATGTATGTATGATTGTTGTCATAATGATTTAAGTGATATTTACATGCAAATAGGCAGTATACGATTTATGCAACCATCCAAAAAACATTTGGCACAAATTCTGTGTTCCCATTACTATTTATTTATCAGTTGAAAATTCTGACAAGCACTTTATTAAGATTATCTTAATTGTTGCCTAACAATTAAAATTAACATGTGGATTTACTTTGTTACGGGAGCAGACGCGCAATCTATTATGTGTGTTATTATGCGTTAACGATGAGATTAGATAAATAAGATGTGCAGATACATACACACACATGTAAGACTATTCTGTACATATGTATATAGTACGTATGTAAGTAAATACATAAATATGTATATATGCAGGCTTCTGGTCACACAATCAAGGATGGTTTACATATGCATTCACAATATGTACGTACACCTTGTAGTTGTCGTTAAATTATTCATGGACATAACCAGTCAGAACAAGAATTATTTCAAAAAAGAGGTGTTATTCAAACACAAAACTTCTGTTGAAAATATTTAATAGTGATTACATATATTATACAGATGTACTAACCTAATACATACGATTTAACTTTGTAATTAAAATTCATCTTAAAAAATGTATAAAATGATCTCCACTCTTGATCAATGCCTCATCACTTCTGTTTCACTTCAAATTCTTCTTTTCTAAAACCTTGGTTTCAAATTTTTTCATAAGAAATCACGGAAGATGAAGGGATGGATCTTGTTTACGGCCATTGTGATGGCCACTGTTGCTCTATCAGTTGGACATCCTGTAAGTTTGATTTGTGTAATGTGTCACCCTTGTATGCAAATAATTACATTTTTGAAATGTACAACTTAATTTACAGCAAGGACCACGTCCGTTCGGATGGAGCAATTTTTTAAATTTTCTTCAATGGCCACGACCAACTGCAGCCACCACGGCTGCGCCCAAAACCATGGCACCGACAACTAACGCACCCACAACTAAAGCACCGACGACTCTTGCACCCACGACACTAGCATCTACAACTGTTAATGGCAACAATAACAGCGGAGACAACAATGGTACAAATGGCGACAATGACGGTGCAAATGGCGACAATGACGGTGCAAATGCCGACAATGACGGTGCAAATGGCGACAATGACGGTGCAAATGGCGACAATGACGGTGCAAATGGCGACAATGAAGGTGCAAATGGCGACAATGACGGTGCAAATGGCGATAATGACGGTGCAAATGGCGACAATGTCGGTGCAAATGGCGACAATGACGGTGCAAATGGCGACAACGATGGTGCCAACGGTAACAACGATGGTGCCAACGGTAACAACGATGGTGCTAACGGTAACAACGATGGTGCTAATGGCGACAACGATGGTGCTAATGGGGACAACAACGGTGCTTCAACAGCCGCAATGACTTCGTCAACCTGAATCATTTTCAAATTAAGCAAATAAGTATTATGCAAAATAGTTGAAACATGTAATGTTTTTATTTTCACGTGGCCTTGACATTCCTAGCAACGTCTTAGAACTCTAAATACAATATGTCTACGAAAAAGCATTAACAAGTTGTTTTCCGCCATTATTATTAGGCACATGCATGGGTTTTAATGTTGTCTAAATATGTACACATGTACAAAGGGCCGGATGGGAACGGTACGCTTTGTCAGTGCCCGTCCTGACAAAGGTGATCAGTTCGATAATCCGGACCCATTTTTTGAGAACACTACATTTTCAGTTAAGAAGTTTTCAACTTGGACATGCAGTTTAAAGTGAGATAACGAATTTGTAGTTTGCATTGGAATTACGTCTTCTTACACTACTTTATTTACAATTAAATGCTTAACTGGAGATAAAATTGTGCATGTTTGGCGGATAATAAGCCTAACGCTAAAAATCATCATAAAATTGATAGTCTGGTCAAATCAGTTGAGCACATTTTACGCCCCATGTTACACAACTTGAACACCATATTTCAGCCGAAGCTCTGAAATCGTGCCGTTCTTCAAGATTGGATACCGCGTTTTTGGTCGTTCCACAATTTCAAGCCTTTTTAGTACAGGAAATCTGCTGTTTAAAGTACCATCCTGTTGATAAATAATTTATGTAGTTCATATTAGTTTATAAAATTTATCAAAGGCAATCCAACATTATAATTTGAACTTGCCCAGACAGCATAATTTTTTTAGCTACATGGGTATGTACAGTACACTAGAAATCTGTTAGAAGTTACGCATGCCTTGATTTATTGGTATTAAAGTTGCTACCACTAGGTATTAAAATTATGTATACTGGTCCGTGCAAACTTTAGACCGATATGGTAAAACTTTAATACCGAGCTATTACTACAAGGTTTACTTCTGCCACTTTGGTAGAGCATACATAGTACGTACATATATCGTAGAATCATACCCGTAATTGGTATTATTTTAATACTGGATTTCTAAATGTGTACATAAACCATTCATATTTTAAATATTAATACAATTACATACGCAAGCATTATAGAAATGGTGTTTATAACGCTTGCCAAATTATTTTAAGAAATTGAACATAACTGGTAAAGTCCCTTTAAACTTTTCACGCTTAAATTTTTAGCAGTTTTTGATTTCATGATAACTTAAAAAAAATAAAAATTACATTTTGAAAGCAGCTTTTTAAGTTGCAAATACAAGTTTTGCAGGATGAAAGACATTCATGCGGTGAAAGTCAGGTTTAGAAATATGCATAATTTTGAACATTACTTATCAAAGGATCTGCGACTTGCCGAAATTTTATGCACGTACTTACCTCTACGATTTCATTGAGGCCAAAAATGTCCAAGTCATGATCTCCAACCCCAACATATGTTAAATATGCTTCAAGGTAAAGTCGCTTTAATTTTAGAAATTCTAGCGGAACAAATTTACACAATCTTGATGAAATCGTTGTTGTTGTCATAAAGTCCAAATGCAAAAATTCCAACGTTGGAGCATGTTTTGCGATGCATTCTTTCAATTCGGCCATTATGTCTTCCATCATTTTCAAATCTGCAATTCGAATTATCAATCTTTTCAAGCCACGCAGTGCTGCGAGGGCTACGATTTTCTGAAATATAAAATTAAGTAATCCACTCAACCGCATCAATTAAATTTTGAGTTTCTTCAATGTGGTACATACTTCATGCTTGGTGTGCATTGTTACATCGATTTCTTCCAATTTTCCAAGTCGCTCCCCCCTTTCAGCCATGGATACGACAACTGCGCCCAAATCGAGTACCCACGTGTCCTCAAAAATAATTTTCTTCGTATTTTCAAAATTAAAGAAATCACCGGATAAATCTTCCAAGCTTAACGTATCATAATTTAATCTTAACGTATTGCAAGTCAGTTTTAACGGTAGGGGAGGAAAAATGAAAAACTAATTTTTGAAACCGACTTTTTAACGGCAAGTTAATCAATATAATTTGCTGTAAGTAGTTTACCATTCCTTTCACGAAGGAAGTATTTTTTCGGTTTGATTTCTACGTCGAAAAATGAATTACATACTTGAATAATTTCAGCTAACAATTTCCTTGAAATCTCGATATCACACTCCATCACTGTGAGCAGGGACGCGGAATGAATTAGTGACCCGTTCGGCCGCCACATTTTGTGGAGTAGTTGGTTCAAACCTGAAAAAAATTGATATGCTTGATTTGATTTAAACCGTCATTCAAGCATTGGAAATGTGTGTCAAGTGCAAAATTGTCAAGATATAATTTTAAAAGGCACAATTTTTTAGTATATAGAAAGGGCAAGAAATTTACAAGTGAGCGCCATCTACCGGAAAATGCCAATAAGTAATTGTACTACAAACGGCGAGCCGCTTTCTGCGCCTATTTCTTGTTGCGGAAAAGATGCAAGCAGTGGCTACAAATTATACGATGGGATGCCCAATTTTTTGCAAATATTTATGAAACAAGACTTATTATATTGATCGGTATCAGAGGACATTTTAACTTGAAATGTTTATTGTTAGACTAACTTATTTAAGACTTATTATTTTTCCACCGAGAAATCTCCAAGCAAAATTTGTCCTTACATAAATAAGCTTCCTCAACTTGATCTTGAAACATGACTGTTTCATCCGAAATGGTAAAATCCAATTTGAAATTTATAAAGGGTGCGAGTTGATCGTTCAAAACTGTTTGGATGTCCTCATCCAAAGCAACAGTAAGATAGAGCTGGTCGTGGAGGTATAACTGTATTCCAGTAGTTGTCCAGTCCAGTTCTAGTTTTAGGTGGACACTAACCTGCAAGTTTTTAATTGCATAATGTTGGATCCGCATTTTTTGGGACCAAAAATAAAGGTTTCCGCGGTAAATACTTATTTAACAATCGTCGGATTCCTAAATTTACTAATTGCTAAAAGTATCGTAAGTGCAACAATCGCAGCAACGATTCACCCAAATTAATTTCTACACTCTTAGAAATCCAGTATGAAAATAATACCCAGCTGTATTTATACACCTATATTATAATTTCGAAAAGTCCGTCTCGTGAAATTTTCCGTGACATCTCTGCATTCTGATTGGCTGTTGAAATTCTGGCTCCACCAATCAGAAGGGTTATGATTTCGGTTATGATTTAGGTTATGATTTAGGTTATGATTTCGGTTATGATTTAGGTTATGATTTGGGTCATGATTTGGGTTATGATTTCGGTTATGATTTCGGTTATGATTTCGGTTATGATTTCGGTTATGATTTCGGTTATGATTTCGGTTATGATTTCGGTTATGATTTAGGTTATGATTTAGGTTATGATTTCGGTTATGATTTAGGTTATGATTTGGGTCATGATTTAGGTTATGATTTAGGTTATGATTTCGGTTATGATTTCGGTTATGATTTCGGTTATGATTTCGGTTATGATTTCGGTTATGATTTCGGTTATGATTTAGGTTATGATTTCGGTTATGATTTCGGTTATGATTTAGGTTATGATTTCGGTTATGATTTAGGTTATGATTTGGGTTAGGATTTAGGTTATTATTTCGGTTATGATTTCGGTCTGGTTTTAAACAATCCTAAAAACATTCCATATCAACCTTCAAAATCTTCCTTAGCAACGTTAAAAAATTCCTTAGCAACGTTAAAACAACTCTCTGTCAACGTTACAAAAATTCCTTACCAACCTCAAAAAAAAATTCCCCAGTAACGTTAAAAAAATTCCTTAGCAACGTTAAAAAATTCCTAAGCAACGCTAAAAGAATTCTCTAGCAACGTTAAAAAAATCCTTAGCAACGTTAAAAAAATTCCTTAGCAACGTTAAAAGAATTCCTTAGCAACGTTTACAAAATTCCTTAGCAACGCTAAAAAATTCTCTAGCAACGTTATCAAAATTCCCTAGCAACGTTAAAAATATTCCTTAGCAACGTTTAAAAAATTCCCTAGCAATGTTAAAAGAATTCCGTAGCAACGTTAAAAATATTCCCGCGCAACGTTAAAAAATTTTTGAGCAACGTTAAAAATATTTCCTAGCAAGGTTAAAAAATTCCTGAGCAACGTTTAAAAAATTCCCTAGCAATGTTAAAAGAATTCCATAGCAACGTTAAAAATATTCCCGCGCAACGTTAAAAAATTCTTGAGCAACGTTAAAAATATTCCTATCAATGTTAACCAGATTATGTAGCAAGGTTACAAAAATCCCAATCCTATGATTGGCTAATTAGGAAGGCCGGCTACCAATTAGAATTCAGGAACGTCGTGGAAAGCACGCGACATACATTCATATTTAGATGTTGTTTTTACTCTCGAATTAGAATTAGATTAGTTGCGTACTGGTTGAATCTAACGATTTGGATGTCTATGATATGATTATGAATATGATTATAAATACGATTTTGAATATGATTTTGAATATGATTTTGAATATGATTTTGAATATGATTTTGAATATGATTATGAATATGCTTATGAATATGATTATGAATATGCTTATGAATATGATTATGAATATGATTATGAAAAATCAACCAAATTTAGCAGCATTAACAAATTCCCCTAGCAACGTTAAAAAATTTGCTTAGCAACATAAAAAACTTTCCTTAGCAACGTCGAAAAAATTGCTTAGCAACATAATTAGCAACAAAGTTTCCTTAGCAACGTCAAAAAATTTTCCTAGCAACGTCAAAAAAATTGCTTGGCAACATAAGCAAATTTCTTAGCAACGTCAAAAAAATTGCTTAGGAACGTCAAAAAAATTGCTTAGCCACGAAAAAACAATTTCCTTAGCAAAGCCAAAAAAAATTGCTTAGCAATATAAAAAAATTCCTTAGCAACGTCAAAAAAATTGCGTAGCAACATAAAAGATTTTCCTTAGCAAGGTCAAAAAAATTGCTTAGCAACATAAAAAAATTGCTTTGCAAAGCAAAAAATTTTCTTTAGCAAGGTCACAAATTGCTTAGCAACGTAAAAAAATTTCCTTAGCAACGTAAGAAAAAATCCGTGGCAAAATAAAAAAAATCCTTAGCAAGGTTCAAAAATTTAATGTGGCCCGTCTTTAGGACGGGCTTATAGGCTAGTTTATACATAACTTTACAAAATTGGTATACCAATTTTCAATATATTGAAAATTAAAGAGTAGTGATAGATTCGTATTAAAGCTTTATGTACCATGCCGAGAGCAATTTTTAGTAACCTGTAAAATTTTAACATCAAGCGGTAACAGCTTAATACCTGCCTGACTATACCAGATTTCTAACAGTATTCAAGCGTATTTTGTCCTATAAGGCTAATCGTTGCTCGCAAGCTAGATAGTAACCAATAGTTTGTGAAACCCCCTAATGCATACGTACATACATAGAAGTAAATATTTTATACCTGGCTGATTTCCGAAAATCGTTCCCCTGCGACTCTTTTCCACTTTGCGCTCACGAGTCGAACCATTTTGATCGTGTCCAGATTCAACCAGGAGAACATATTTGACAGCAACTATCAAATTAAGTATGCGCATGAAAATAAGTGCAAATTAATTGCTATATGCATAATTTTATAATTTACACTCTCTACCAATTCATTCTCGAAAACTGATTCAATTAACTCCATGCTAGTACACTCTAAATAAAATCATTACCAAATCATTACCAAAATGCACACGTATATGACTCTGCAGAAACGGTAATAATAACCACCAGCCGGTAAAGAAATTAATTGAACCCGAAGTGGTAATAAAGAACACTTTTTGGGATAAAATTAATACCTTGATGTATGACAGATGTACTACAATATGTAGTAAAATGTCTACCGCCTGGTAATAAAGCATACCACTTTGTACACGGTGTGCTATTCATACCGGTATTAATGCTTTTCATATGCATACCCCATTATTACCAAATGTTGTGCAGATTTCCACCGAAAAGAATAGATTTTTTGCCTTTCTTTACAATAATCTTTCAATCAAAAATTATATTTATTGTAAAATAGTTTTGAAACATACATAATTATAAAATTTAAGTATAATGCAAACTATGGAATTACATACACACACATGTATACATATTTACACGAAGTTGAAATCTGCTCCGATTTCCAACTTAAATTTTTGTTTCACTGAAAAAATAAACGCATAAGATTATTATTAACTATTTCCTATTATTATGATGGTGTTCGATCACCATCTTGATAAGGCACCTACATACATGTGATAATTTGATACTTACCTGTTTCAACAATTCTATATAATTCCCAGAAGTTTTTATCAGTTTTTTCACTGATAAAAACTTCTGGACAGAATGGATTAATTTCGCCATGTTGACTTGAGTTGAGCTGAGCGGAAACTAAAACTGACAAATGTGCCACTGTTTAGCGTCTCACAATTATCACCAAATGTATTAAAATTCTTACCTCCATGGTAATAAACTACACCAAAATGTAGATCTCATTAGCACCAATTTGTACTGCGCTTTACAAAAATTATGGTAAAGAGTGTTATCTAAATTTGTAGGATATAATTACCGACTCGTAGGAATTTATTACCAAAATTATAAAGATAACTTAAAACATTGCGGTGGATGGCCAGTTACCCGGTTGGTATTGATACGGTACTAACCCCGTATAATTTTTGTAGGACGCGTAATTACCAACAGCTCGGTAAAGACGCTTATTAAGAATTCTTTACCAAGTTGCTAAGAGTGTACTTGGTTCCATTGCTATGTTGAAATCTTAAAATGGTTAATTATTTATATATGTATGTATGGATTTACGAGTTAACAATTAAATATGTACTAAGAACGGTAATTAGATTTTAATTGAAATACCAACTGGGTTTACTTAATTTGCTCGTGTCCTCAGCTGGATCGGAATATCGGTAACTTTCGGACTCGTGTTTTATCATTATGTACACTTTGATAAGAAGTTTGACGACTTCCATATGTACAAAGAATGGGTAGTGCATAATGGGTGTGATTGATTTTCTGTGATTTATTTTTATTTTTAATGCTAGATGTAATTAAACTTCATATTTGTCATATCCATGAATTTCTGAAAATGCTAACATATACATAATACGGGCACTATTGAATAGTTTGAATTGTTTGTTCAATTTTTCCATATTAATATGTATGTATGTACATATTAATATTAGAGATTGCTCGAATTGAACCTATTACCAACTTATGTTCTCATAATGGAGAATATGAAAATAAGGTTGAAAATCTTAAGTCTTAAAGAAGTTGTTTCGTATTGCCGTTTCGTTTTTCACATTTTTCCCGTTTCCCACCTACATACGTTGGATGGCTGGTGAAGCCCTGATAAAAGCTTACATATATGTATTATGTACCTAAGATTGAATTCACAATATGTCTACACAGTGGGGGCAGAAGCAGGCGGAAAAGGTTGACAATGTCCCCCCAGAAAATGTGCCGGGGACAAGTAATGTTAATCTCCCCCCGAAAAACTTGAGATTTATATCATCTAATTTACATTATATTCATGAGCATGTAATCGTTAAAAAAGCAAAAAATATTTTTTATTCATTGAAATAACGAAAAACTTCTTCACAAATTATTTTCGATTTCACACTGATACATATGAATAGTGTTGCCACAAGCTGAGGCGAGGTGAGTTTTCAGGCAAGCTCAGCTCACCTCACTTTAAATGAGTTAAGTGAGTTGAGCTGGCTTGTTTACAAAAACTCAGCTCAGCTCACCTCACTTTAAATGAGTTGAGGTGAGTTGAGGTGAGTTGAGCTCATTTGTTCCTTCTGAGCACGCAGCTCAATACTGAAATACATACAGATTTAAATTGTATAAATTTATTAGCTGGATTTGCATTGAAATATAATTGTATTATCTATACAAAAGATGACATACCATTATACAATAATCTGTTCGCAGTTTAAAATTGTTTTCTACTATTTATTACTTGAACATAAAAAAATTGTCAGTGTCGGATTATTTGCAACCAGATCGTGAACTTTAAAGCTGTGTGACCTATTTAAAAACTTAAAAAAACACCTACGAATGGTAAGATTTCATTAATAGTATTAATTTACTACCAAAAAGAAGTAGAAATTTGCGACATGCACAATTATTGACACTCTGACCATGGATTACATAAATATTCACGACCTTTATTTGCCTGGTTAGCAATCACAGTTAAAATAAAGTTGACTTTTATAAAAATTTCGGCAATAAGAAATTCTTATCGGGGTTGAGGTCTTGACTTGATTGTGTAAAAAAAATTTGGTAATTAATTAGACAGGAGCAAAGATGCGACGTGTTAAATCAGGCATCAGGTTGTGTACTTACATATGTACGAGTGGAAGAGAATCGCGCATTTATTCTCGTCTCCCTTGTATGGGAAATCTGCTTCTTGGCTAAATGAGCTGGCTTGTGAGTTCAGCTCACCTCACCTCAACTCACCTCAGCTTGTTTAGCTCATGAGCTCAACTCACTTCAGCTGATTTAAGGCAAGCTCAGCTCACCTCATAACTCAGCTCACGTGAGTTGAGGTGAGTTTAGCTCACCTCACCGGCAACACTACATATGAAGCTATGGTAAAATTCGCTAACCTACAGTGTACATAAATATCTCTAAAATCTCTTTCGGCTTTATTAGACAGTCTACATACATATGTACATGCACGAGAATAATGCATTAATTTGCTGTACTTAATTGTTTTATCTGAACTTAAGAGGACGGGTGAATGACGAAAGTTACAAAACTAACAATTTTTCAAATCGCTGGCATTTCAACAATATTGGATGATTTTTTTTTCATTTTTGTTGAAAAATGATCTCAATGAGTTGTATTTTCGGATTCATTAAGAATTTTGAATTTTTTTGAAGGTCAAAAAATTGAATGTACTACGGCCAAAGGTCATAAGGTCAAGGCTCACAGTCCCATAAATGGGGTACCATTGGAAAGGTCTTGATGAGAGGATTCAGAATATATATACATTGTGGGGTCTGGGACCACCCCCCGATTAATTAGAGGCCAGTGAACATTTTTGAGTTTTGGTTTTGCAGGTATATAGACGTTAACACAGGAGCAGATTGAGAGTTAACATAGCACTAGATCGAGGAAAACTCAATAATACTCATCGGTCTCTAAATAATCAGGGGGTGGTCCTACACCCCATAAAGTATATATATTCTAAATCCTCTCGCCACGATCTTTCCAACGATACCCAGTTTATGGGGATATGTGAGATTTGACCTTGTGACCTTTGCCGTTTGCGCGTGAAATTTTGTAAACTTCAAAACAATTAAAAATTTGAAAATATAACTCATTCAGATCATTTTTAAAAAACAGTGAATAAAATCCATCCACAATTGTTGAAATGCCAGCTGTTTAAAAATAAAAACTAGGAACTAGGTCACAAGAAAATCTTGTGCGTCACACCCATTGGCTCTACAGACTTGGTTTTGGTCCCAAAATAAGCTTCAGAATATTCTTCTTCTAATCCCGGACATAACACTTTTTTTTAATTGTTGGAAATGCAAATTATTTCTTTCGAAAACTTTGATACATTATCTCAAACATTTTTAGCAACTTTTTTAAATGTTTATATCCGGGAGTAGACGAAGAACATTCTGGAGCTTTTTTTGAGATTAAAACCAAGTCTGTAGAGCCAGTGGGTGTGGCTCACAAGATTTTCTTGTGAACACGTAGAATAACATGCAGCGGTATGGACGGATAGGTGGCGTCGCATATTTCACCTGTGGGCTTAATAAATCGATGCGAGAAAGACAAAATTGTGCAAAGTGGTTTTCCTTTAAGTAAGAAATAAGTTTACTGATCATTCTTATATGATATCTTAAAATTGGCAAATCAAATGATAACGTGTAATCAGCCGTTTTAAGAAGTAAGAAAAATTCACCCAATATAATTGGCTAGGTCGTTTCTTTCATCAAAATTTAATATGGCCAAATTAACATAATTTTAATATACGGTTTGGATCCAATACTTGCACGACAATTTACATATTCAAATGTTTGCAAATAATATTCTGGAGGATAACTCATGCAAAGTGAAATCAGGAAACAAGTAATTTTGTTGAATAGAATAACGAGCTAGACAGACAAACTGTCAAATGTACATACATAGATTTAACCTCACTATTTAAAAAACTACTTATTTCAAAGTACCTAGTTTTGCTGCGATTACCCGTTACCCGCATACCCACACGATTTTGCGGGTAAATGTTTGTTCGAGGGGGTAGCGAGAATACCAGGATATCTCAGTTCTTATTTAATTTTCGGCATAAGCGCTGCTCCAAAATTTACGTATTAATTTTATTTACTTGTTTGTGCATATATTTTCGTAGGACTGACCATATTTTCACTTGTTCTGTGGGTTAAAGCCAATTGAAAGTACACTCTTAGCAACTTGGTAAAGAATTCCTAATAAGCGTCTTTACCGAGCTCTTGGTAATTACGCGTCCTACAAAAAGTATACGGGGTTAGTACCGTATCAATACCAAACGGGTAACTAGCCTTCCACCGCAATATTTTAAGCTATCTTTATAATTTTGGTAATAAATTTCTACCAGCTGGTAATAATGTCGTTCAAACTTATATAGCACTCTTTACCATAATTTTAATCAAGTGCAGTACAAATTTTTTCCGTTGTGGTGCTGATGAGATCTACATTTTGGTGTAGTTTATTACCACAGAGGTAAGAATTTTAATACATTTTGTATGAATTGTGAGACGCTACGCAGCGGCGCTTTTTTCAGTTTTAGTTTCCGCTCAGCTCAACTCAAGTCAACATGCCGAAATAATCCCCGTGTCCAATTCCAAATTCTGCATGTGGGAAAAACTGATAAAAACTTTTGGAAATTAAATAGGATTTTAGGAAACAGGTAAGTATAAAATTATCATAGGTAGTGTTACGAACGACGATGGCTATGAGGGGTGCGGAATAACCGTGGTCGACAGATTCGGGATGTTTTTCTTAAACTTTCCTTTATTTCCATAACTCTGACTACTTATCCTTAACTAAGACCATGGCTCAAGCCACACTTATCCTAAAGCTAAATCCATACTGAACACCTCTCTCTCTCTCTCTCTTTTTCTCGTACTCAGTATCCTAATAATAGAAGTGTCCCGAACCTGGCATGTCCCCTCATGTCGGATCGTTTGGCATAACAGTAGGTTCCTTATCAAGATGGTGATCGAGCACCATCTTAATAGGAACGAGTAAATAACAACCTTATGTTTATTTTTTCAGTGAAACGAAAATTTGAGTTGGAAATCGGAGCAGAGATTTTTCTGCAAGACGACCAAGGGGGCGGAGATCGACGACGAAGTATTCCTATCCTTGCTGAAAACCTTATAACCCAAAACTTTGAATTCTTTGTCAAAGGCGAAATACAAACCGAAGTAAAATTGGATCCGGCCTGTCCAGTTTCATCAATAATTTACGGTCAGTAATTTATTAAGCTTAAATTATTTCTAGTCTGCAACATATTATATCTTTCTAGTTGCACGTCCTGATGAGACGTCGATATCCAGTAATGGTTTCCGAAAAACCCAAATTTCCAATGAGGTTGATATTTTCAGTCAGGTTACAATCATTTAATGATATTCTTAGATATCCGAAATCCGAAAATAATTATATAAAATTATTTTTAATTTTTGAAGATTGTTAACGCTGCAACGATTGAGAGCGCCGAAATTTCCGTTTAGTAGCAGAGTGCAATCAGAAAAACTGCTTCGATAAACCGTCGTCGACAACTTTAGTTAATGAATTGGTTGCGTAGTTATGTAATTGAGGTGAAAGTTTGAGACGCTTAAGAATTCTTAATATTTAATAATATATTTAATTTGACTAATTAAATTTAAGACTTTCTCCTACAACCTCCGACCAGAAACACTTAACAGCTGTAATAATTAAGCTACTGCCTTCATTGAGATGTTCTAAGTCAGGGGACGGTCTGGTGAGTGAAAATTTCGTGAATTATTTAAATTTGCTCTTGTATTGAGAGTTTCTAAAAATTGTGAATTTTTAATCTGCAGGACATTTTATTTGATGACGTCAACCGATGTGTACTCATCCAAAATCGACGATTTATCAGAATTTGAAGGGGGAATAGAAGAATAAATATGTAAATATGTATATGTATGTATGTAACTCAATAGTTTTGCATTATTCTTAAATTTTGTAATTATGTAAGTATGTTTTAAAATGATTTTACAACGAATATAATTGATTAAAAGATTATTGTAAAGAAAAGCAAAAAATCTATTCTTTTCGGTGGAAATCTGCACAACATTTGGTAATAATGGGGTATACGTAATGCAAAGCATTAATACCGGTATGAATAGCACACCGTATACAAAGTGGTACGGTTTATTACCTGGCGGTAGACATTTTACAACATATTGTAGTACATCTGTCATACATCATGGTGTTAATTTTATCCCGAAAAGTGTTCTTTATTAACACTTCGGGTTCAATCAATTTCTTTACCAGCCGGTGGTTATTATTACCGTTTCTGCAGAGTCATATAATGATATAATGATGTAATGATTTTATTTAGAGTGTAATAAATTTATTTGTAGACGACATTTTTAAAGTGAAAATGCCATTTAAGTCAAAATTTCAACAAATAAATATAAGGAAAAAAGTTAGGTTTCAGAAAAACTAACGACATCTAACTAATTATTATATGTAGCATGCATTACTTCATACTTAGCATTATCCCAAACTAAATACATACATATGTATCAACGCAAGACAGGAAATAATTAATTAAATAGATTTTATGTATATTGCTACTTAGTTAGGTTTCAACTTAATTATCGTAGCCAGTAACGGGTAACGGCACCCGTGCGGGCACAGGTATCATAGTTGGCCTACGGGTCGGGCCACAGCATTTTCTCTACTCACGGCAACCCTAACATTACCCACAACATAAAGTTTCGCAAGCCCTGAACATATTCACAAGTAGGTAATTTTACTCCGTGCACATGATTTTTTCAGGATCATGTAAATTATAAGTGTAAAATATTACTTGAACTGGGTTTCGAACCAAGTCTCCACAGCCCTGACCGTCGTCAATTACGTACGTTGCGCCACTGACACGGAAATAATCAAGTGGAAGTAGTGGAAAACCTACTTTGGTGAACCTCAGCTGAAACATTGAATTGCGTTACGATTGGAGAATTAAAAATTCATTCGCAATTTCAAGGTTAAATACATGTTTGGGTACATACTAACTGCAATGTATGTTGTGCATATGTATGAACACATGTGTACAAAACTATTTTCCGGGAAATATTTAGAATAAGCATGAATTTACGTTTGTATTAATCAGAAAATAAGTCACCCGGAAGCGTCGCCCGATCAAAACAAACTTACGCATATGTATATATGTATGTAGACCCCATTGAGAAATTTAGTTGTGAATTTAGATTAATTTGAATTATTAATAGTTGGGCTCATGGAAATGCTAAAACTATTCACCCTACTTCAGGATGTACTCCTAGTAACTAGGGCAAGTTCAACGGTGCAAACATTAGAAATTGGCAAGGTCGTACAACCATTCGTCCATTGTACCACGACAGTTATATCGACCAATAATGACTCCATTACGAACATCAATTTGACCATGACTCCAATTATCTTAGTAACAGAACTAACAAGGGACACTCATGACCTGTCGTTTGAGTCCAGGGTACCCACTATGTTTTTTAGAATCTACTAGGACCCCAGATGAAGGATTCATTCATATTTCCGTGTAAAACTCATATTTGGCGCCATGGCGTGGCGCCAAACTTCAAAATTTGCATTTTCGACCAGTTTCAAACCCCCATAACTTTTGCAGTTTATGTCGGATTTTCAAAATTTTATGCTTAAAATGATCACAAAAGTCGAAATTTTTTAGAAAAAAATCAAAATAAAAAATTTATAATTTTTGAAATATTTTTAGCATTTTTTCGACGAACCCCCGTTTATAAGAAAATTACGAAATTTTGCGAAAAGTTAAAAGTGATAATTTTGGAAAAAATTTCATTGGATACGAAAGTTGAACTCCTTGTCATGATTTTTGCCAAAAATTTTGAAAATCCGTCCAGGTTTTCAAAAGTTATGGCGGTTTCAAAAATAAAAACATGCAAATTTGGCGAATTTGGCGCCACGCCATGGCGCCAAATTTAGTAGATTCTAAAAAACATAGTGGGTACCCTGGACTCAAACGACAGGTCGTGAGTGTCCCTTGTAAGATTAAGTACTGTTTGGGAGAAATTAATACCAGTGAGATTCCCCCTCTTACGAAGACGCAATGCAGTTGATCATTGCTGGGCAACGCCATTTATTCTACCAAAATTTTGCAATATTTCAAATTTTTCTTGGCGGTTCGACTATTATTGGTTTGATCATTTCTACCACGTAAGAACATCAGAGAATCATTACTTCCTCGTAGTCTCGGTGACCAGTGGCTTACATGGAAAGGAAATTGTTCGTGCATACACTACACAATTCAGGTCATCTTTGGAAGAAACCAGCCCAACTGTACTACAAAACGCTTTTCCATATTAAGCAAAAAGCAGAGCGAGAATCAGACTCTGGTGGGTATCCACCACCACCGCTGGCTCTCGTTGCGACAGTGCCGGGATTATGAACCAACTCGTGTTGAGATGCTTTTCATCTCTCACACGAGTTGGTTCATCGTTTTAAACTCTCCAGTTTTTCAAATAAAAATAAAAAAAACGTGCGAATTTTTAATAAAATATTTAAAAAGTGCACCATGGAGGATTACTCCTCCCCCAGCGAGCAGCCACCTCCACCACCACCCCCCATTGCACCCCTGCCACCACCGCCACCCCCACTTTCGTCGCCATCATCATCGTCGCGTTAATTTTCGAGCGCATAGTATCATTATAAATTCCGAAACGCGTAAGTTTTAAATTTGGGGCGGTTTGGACAGACTAAATTTGCTTATCTTAAAAATTGATAAGTACACTGATAAGCACTGTAGCGTTAATTCTCGAGTGCATAGTATCATTATAAATTCAGAAACGCTTAAGTTTTAAATTTGGGGCGGTTTGGACAGACTAAATTTGCTTATCTTAGAAATTGATAAGTACACTGATAAGCACTGTAGCGTAAAAATTTGAGTGCACATTATCATTATATATTCAGAAAAGCTTAAGTTTTAAATTTTTTGGCTATTTATTATATACATGTCATTATTGCATAAGCTGCCTTGCTACGGCTCTTGCCTTATGAAGCGCCTCCCCCAGAAACTTTGACCCCAAAAAACTCATGGTAGCGGCCATTTTTAGTCGGACAACCAAGGCTGAAAATGTAGCTCTTCTCATGAAGAAAAATCTGGCATCAGGTTGTCAGACTAAAAATGGCCGCTACCATGATTTTTTTAACGATTTATGTGTATGTGAAAAAACCGCCAATTTTCGAATTTTGAAACTCTTGATGCATCAAAATGTTCGTATTCAAGGGGGAAGTCAAATGTCAAATGCAACTTGGGGTCTAAATCTTTTTGTACCGAGTGTACATTTATTTTCTCACTTTTCCCAATTTTCTTCCGCAATTTTTGAAGGGGGTGTGGTTGCATATAAATTAATAATAGCTACGTTATATTGATCCTTTCACCAAAATATAAGGTTCCAATTTTTTATGCGAAATTCGGTGACATCGAGGCGAAAAGGGGTTGTACAGTACACTCGGCCTTCCTCCTTTATATTACACTAGAATGGAAGTAATTCTGATGAACATTTTCCCCACCCGGGTCAATGGAAAGGTGGAAGTGATAGGGATGGAATACTTAAACCTGTTTTATCTATTCCCTTACCAAGTTTTGCCAGGAATGGACGTTGCACTGACAAAGGCGTCATTTAATATATCCTGCCAAACTAACGAAGAACACCTCTGCTTTGAACAATTAACCCGAATCAGTATTATCGTGACAAACCTCAACAAATATTTTTGGATAGTTGGCAAGTCCCACGAAAAATTACTATCAATTTTTCAAGATAATAAATTTCTAGAACCCAAAGCAATTGCCGCAGTACGAGGAGTGGAAAAGTTCAGCGACCTTATCGACTTCTGGATAATGCAAAACATCCCATTCCACTATACTTTTCAACGTTGTTTCTCCATCAGACGCCAAACTTATAGTGGATTTTTTGCTTTTCCTGGTGACTCTTTTTACCTTCGTAAAGTTCACAAATACTTTTTCATATCATGCTACAAAGTCTGGCAGGACTCTTCGTTGTTATACGCTTTAACATCTCCTTTCGGCAATCTAGCATGGATTTGTTTCATTGTCAGCTTTCTCGTAGTGACAATCGTCTTGTCTGGATCACAAAAGAAGTTTGGGTCTGTTGGGTTTCGACTCGCAGTAGGAATCATGTTGGAAAGTTCTGTTCTTTATTTATTAAAATTCCCGAAGAAATACGAAATTTCTGTCGTCGTCGGAATTTGGATTATTTTGGCAGGAACACTTTTGACCAGCTGGTATAAAACAGCATTCACGATCGAAATGATTGTCCCAATAACGCACCGTGCACCGTGGGAAGGTTTGCTCAATATTGAAGGGATGAAGGTCCTCATGCCGTTACGACTGATGACTACGAATGTTAGAGAAGATTTACCGTACTCATTTTATGTACAGCTTTTCTTCGGGGGCATTCAACACAGGGCGCTACCTTTTATAGAATGGTTTCGTCATAATAAACGCTTGAAAAGTTATTTGAAGATTGCACAATTGTTAGTTAATCTGATGCCTGTAAATTATCAGCTACTTTATCCACTGGTGAACATTACCGACCTTAGGACGGTACCAATTCAACCTATTTTGTACAACGAGACTGCACATCTTGTTAGACATCTATCATCATGCGATAAAACTGGATACATGGATGAGAAGGAGAATGTCGCAGCCGTCTTACCATTTTTAAACGATAATAGTGATGGCATTACTTACATGATTGGGGAGGATAACTTCTTTACAGAGTTCCTTGGTTGGCCAGTTTCCCCAGTTGCGCGAGATTATACTTTTCATCGTCTCGGTGTGATGTTAACATCGGGTATATACGGCTACTGGGAGGGTTTGTACAAGTTAGTCAGGCCGAAGAAACTTTTTCATCATTATGCAAATTGGACACATCCGAAGCTACCAAAGGTGGCAAAACTTGATTTCAATTCTAAGATTGTGACGGTGTTCTATATTTGTGGGGGTTGTCTTGTAATCAGTGGAATCTTTTTTCTCGGGGAAATTATGTTTATGATGTGCAGAAAGTGGTTAAATTGGTTATGTAGTATTTGACGGGCTACGTATGTATGTAGGAGCTACCCGTATTCCTGGCGCACTTGCCACTACTCACCTTACCTCCTACAGGTCTGAAGTCTAATTTATTGTATATCCATCTTTTATTTTAGCCATTTGTAATAATAAATAAAGTAAATCTGAAGATGTAATGACAGAGATACATAAGATGTGTATAACTATTTAAATTTGTAAAGTAAAAATATATATGGTTAACCAATTTAGATTACATGAACTTCTCGTCACACAACCAAGGGTGGCTTACATATATACACACTCACAATAAGTGAAGCACCTTGCACCATGTCTTTAATTATGCATCGGTTTAATAACTCAGAACTAGAAATATTTCAATCATAGACATATTTGCAAACGACCCTAAGGCGTCGTTTATAAATTGCGCAATACAAAAATCTGAATTTTCTAGTTCAACCTCCCCCTTTTAACATTTCGCATAGGCAGGAACCCTTATGAATTTTGTAAGTTACATATCTCACATAAGTAAAAGAGTGACCAAATGATTAATACAAGTCTGCCAGATATTTAATGAACTCATTTTATCAAAGAATGTTCCATCCCCTACCGGGAACTTTAAGGGGGGACACGACTTCAAAAACCCATTCGACCATTTTGTCCCCTTAGCGCTTCTTTTGACCGTCTCAATGTACCCCACCGATGCGACGAAATATCGAGAGAGGTCGTTCAAAATATAGTTAATAACCACACTGAAGTCAAAAGCAACCAGAGTGAAGAATACAGCAACCGTTATTGGAATTGGTTTCCACGAAGTAATTAAAATATATAAAGAAAGCACTTCCGCCATGACGACGCCCCCCAAGACGAGTGACATTACGGGGAAGCGTGCCACGTCGTGAAATAAGTTTTGCAGGGATTCCGCAACCCGGTACTGTTTCATGGACGCTTCATTAATGTTCCTAAAATGCAAAATTTTGTTAGTGTCATTAGAGTTGGTTGGCCGTAAAAAAACAGCTGCAAGAAATAGTTGTTTCTTGCCAGTATAATTTATTGCATTGCGGTGCAAGAAATGTGAAAAAATGGAAATAATGTGGAAAAACTGCATAAAATTTGGAAATGGTGCCAGAAATATCGAAATTGTGCACGAAAAGGTGCCAGAAGCGTGAAAAATGTGCAAGAAATCATACACCTTCATGTGATCAAATTGCGATAAGGGGCCGTCCATAAATTACGTAACGCCAAAATTTTATAAACCCCATCCCCCCTGTATTTAACATGGGTAACATACATCGGCACGATATCATTGGAGCCTTAGACCCCCCCTTTCCCCTCTCGCATTGCGAAATTTATGGACGGCCCTTAACCACGTGATACAATCTTAATGAAAAAATGTTAACCTCTGCAAAACTTGAAGCCACATTTCCACCGCAATCCTGGGATAAATTAAGGTAGAGAAAACTCCGGCAAGGATACAATCTATAACCCCGAGCCATGTCAAAGTCTCTAAAATTCCGATCCCCATCTTGCACAGGGGGACGTGCCACGAATTGATGGTTTAAGTCTCATCCCACCCCGCGTCTTGCATCGTAATTAACGGTGGCATGAACGGGAACAACCAGGCCAGTGAAACCATCAAGAATGGAACAGAGGCAATACTTCCCATGGATATTAACCATATGATGAGCACTTTTCGTTCCACGGGTAGTTGAAAGTCGACCTTTTCGCGGGACAACGTTTCCAACTGGATGGAACGGTTGACAAGTCGGATAAAGTCGTCAATTCGGTTAAAATACAAAGTAAGTTTCAACATGGTGACGACGCCGATTGTCGAGAGAAAGTAGACCATGAAAACTACCCGCCATAAGGGATGGTCCGACGGGTTGTACCTGTAGAATCAGACGAGAAATCGGAAAATGTGGACGAGATCGTTAACCACGGAGGTCAGGAAGATGGCGTGGTGAAGGCGAGACTTTCGACAGGACGAGGCATTCCCAGATGTCGGGTAGTTGATCGGAGCTAAGTAGAAGTGCATGGAATGGCGAAGGGCCTGCTTTATGAGGGGAGTGTAAGACGTTGGTATGAAGGAGGGATTTTTAACTTGAGGCGTGTCCGTGTTAATGATGCGAGACGTCAAAAATTTTAGAGTGCTGAGAAATTTTTCTAGGTTATTGAATTTGGCTGCAGGACTTTTTACCTTTCTAGAATTTACCTTTCCCTTACTTACTGGAGGTGCCGTATCGGAAAAATTTGCTGGCGAATTAACCATTTTGTACGCTTAGGAGTTTTAAATATGCAAATGAATTTAGTTTATTAACTTTCTTTAAACTACACTGTTAGAAATTTGACATAGAGCCAGGCATGGATCTATTCATTTCTCGGTGTTCTACATAGTTTCTTCTTATTGGAGGGAAATCAGACCAACTGTGCAACAAACCCGGTTTCCATATTCAAAGAAGAGAAAGTGAGAAACTCGGATTCTGGTGGGTATCCACCACCACTGCATACTGTGACTTCACAGTGCCGTATGGTGGTCTTGATTGGATATCATCAGTATAAATTCAAAGGAGCGTTAGTTTTTAATTTGGGGCAATTTTAATAACTTAAGTAATTGCAATTATCTATATATTTTTTTCATAGGCAGCCATAAGTTTGTTACGGCACTTGCCGTATAAGCCACTCCTTTAGAAACTTTGACCCCAAAAAACTCATTGTTCCCACACTTTTACTTCGGACAATAAAAGGTGAAAATGTATCTCTTCTCAGGTAGAAAAATCTGGCATCAGGTTGTCAGAAGTAAAAGTGTGGGAACAATGCGTTTTTTAACGATTTCTGTGTATGACAAAAAACCGCCAATTTTCAAATTTTGAAACTTTTGATGCATCAAAATGTTCGTAGGGGCAGGGAAATTAGATTGGCAAATGCAACCTGTGGTCTAATTTTTGTTTTACCCAGTGTGCATTGACTTTCACATTTTTTCAAATTTCCTTCTCAAATTTCTGAAAAGGGGATGGGTGCATGTAATTTAAAAATATACATGCTAGATTTATCCTTGCACCCCGAATTCAACTTGCAATTTTTCTTATCAAATTCGGTGAAATCGACGCGAAACGGGTTTGCACAGTTGGGTCAGCCTGTACCATTGGTATTAATAAAATATCTCGGATTGTAAAAATTTGTTACCGCTGTGGTAAAACTTTAATGCAGAGCTGTACTTAACTCCGGAATTACCGCTTTGGTAAAGTCATGCGTGAGTACTGCTTGGTATTATTTTAATACTGAATTTATAACGTGATTTGCTTTGGAGTAATGGCTTTTAGCAATTTAACAGATTACATAGATCAGTTTGTATTTAAATTAGTGAGGCTATCTAGTCGGGCATTAATGTCGTACCGATTCGGATCGATGCTGGCGAATGGTAGGGATGTACATATGTAGTTATTTCAGCACTAAATAAGTAATTTATGTATGTCTACGTGTCCAAATAACTCTATACATTTGCATATTATGATAAACCAGCAATGGGTAATGTTGCTTTAGTTTTAAATAATTTTCCAGTTAAGGTAAAGTTTTAATGTGAAAGTTTTAAGGTAAAAGTTTTTTGTACTTATGTACATATATACAGAAATACAGATACATGTATATACTGATTTTCCCGGGACTCGTTACATTGATATGTACATACGAAAGACTATGATAACTCCTCCTATTAAGCAATCATCCACCGTTTAAAAAATGGTTTCCACATGCACAAATTAGTTACAAAGGCCTACTCACATAGTTATAAAGGCAACCTTCTTGGCAAATCATTTCAAACTTGTCATATTATTAGATGGTACACTCTAAGAATTCTGGTGATAGACGTGGCCCCCTAGTGATCGTGATTGTTTTAGCCGTCTTCATGGTGGTGATGAAGTTTCATCAAGCAGGTGGTGAGTTATTTCCATGCGGTGACCAACCGAGCGGAGCGGTATATACATAAGTATATGCATATGATAACCATCCAGTTAAGCGACACATAGATATATCTATATATTCACCACTCGGTGATAATCTGGTAATAGATTTTTTTAGAGTGCAATGATCCATTCTCATCAGTTATTCATATATTTATATATTTCGTTTGTCCGCAATAGATAAGTAAATAAGTAATTAACCTTAACTCGAAAGTTGGTTGAAAAACTAGAGGATTCAGGTATTGACAAAGTTTTGTTTCTGTTATTCAAAACTTTTAACCAAGCCGATTAAATAAATTCGTTTTCTTGCTGTAGCCTTAAGTCAATTACTCTGTTAAAACATGAAACCGTAGTTGTATGTAGGTACATAAATACATACATCACCAAAAGTAAAAATGATTTGATCGAAAATCTTGGCTTTTTAGTAAGTCACCTGAAAGAAAAAAATTGGAAGCGATGATTTTGTACACATTCGGCGTAAAAAAGTGTATAAATCTGTCTAAATAATCGTATATATGATAACAAAATTCACTTGTACATATTTATGTACATACATATGTACATGTTCAGGATATTTTTCTCCAGAACCTTTACATATTTATTCTGTTTGTTTAATTCTATGTATTTACATATGTCGTCTCATAACTGTATACAATTCTAAATATATGTACACACTTTGTGCATAAATACCTGATTACATACATACCATACATGCGTATGTAAATGTTTGAATCGCTTCCCTACCTTTTTAACGGTTCTGCTTAAATGTAACGGTTTATTGTAGGGTAGGCTACTTTTAATTTCATACTTACGGTATTGCCATCATTTGTCCTTGTCCAAGCGACTTATGCTCCTCAAATTAAAATAAGACCTTCGAATTACAAACTCTCCTCAGTACGTACGCAATACAGAAAATTTCGTGTGAATAAATCTCCATTAAAACGTAAGTAAGCTTAGGTCAAATTTGTCATAAATAAGCTATCTGCTAAACCTAATTACAAATTTATTCTCAATTTTATATGTACCAGTGATCCATTATTCCCGACAAATAATGTGGGCGAAAGGGTTCCTAATTTTGTTCCTGGTGGGGATGACTGTTTTTCTTCAGTGTGGCCAATGTCAAGAAGGTACATAAATACATAAATAAATGTAATTCAAAGTTTTGCTTCTCCGGAATTCTCAATTTAGGAGAAACAAAGGTTGAATTCTTTATTAAACCGGAAACCGTGTTAATCATTTCAGAAGGACAACAATGCCTGTACAATAATGGAGCGAGGATGTCCTGGTCTGTGTGCAGGGCGCAATGTAACCTGATCCCTTCCCTGGTGGGCACATGCACGGACGGGATGACGTGTTGTTTCCTAGGAAGAAAAGGGGATCCAGCTTTAACAAAATAATGTCTATGAACAATCTGAAGTTGTATCAATTTACGTGGAACATATTTCTATGTAACAATATTTTTCCATTTTTTGTATAACATTTTTGTCATGTTTCACAAAGGAATTAACAAAAATGGGGGATATTCATTAGGAGTTCTCATGTTTATGTATATTAATATTGTAACCTAATTGTGAACAAATTTTTCCCAACTAAATATTTACTGGCCTTGGAGATGCATACATAAATTCGCAAAAATGAATTTTCAACCCAATTTTTTTTGCGAACTTGTGAACTTTGTTTTTTTTTCTTTTTAATTTGATCCAAAGCCATGATGAATACCCCAATATATTTTTCTTTACAAAAAGTAGTTTTCATTTAGTCATAAAAATGCAAATACATATATACAAACAATTAGATTTTCTTTTTTATAATACATTTAATGAGTGCATGTTGAGAAGTTACAAAATCCCCATGTGCTAACGCTCCCCTATGAGAGTTATTTGCACATTTTCTGAAATATTTAAAAAAAAAATCATCATAAATTTAAAAATATGAAATATAATTTATAAAAACATAAAATTCTAAACTCATTTAAATAAATATGTAAAGCCTCACGTTCAAATATGTCATAAAACATTTGGTCACCGGGGTGCATGAGTCTCCTTCCGGATCAGATTTCGAATCTTTGCACTCCTTCAATTTCGGAATGCAAGGGGACAAGTCCTTCTCCACGGTTTTTCTTTGCTTCTCCGGCAGAACGGATTTCAAATATGCTAAGGATTTCGGATAATCGATCGGTTTCGAAATTTGTTCCAGGACACATCGACCTACTCTCTGATCACAAAAAAATAATCATGAGACAAATTGCATAGACTCTTAGAAATCCAGTATTAAAATAATACCAAGCGGTCTTGATAAGTAATTCGCAGTGTAGTAATAGCTCGGTATTAAAGTTTTGCCATTAGTAACAAATTTTTATACACCGGAGTAATTTTACAGAGATACTATCAACTCGGTAGCAACTTTGTTACCGAGAAATCAATACCTGCCTGACTATGCCAGATTTGCATCAATGGATTATGCAAAATTCCAAACGCGTTGCACTGTATATGCATTATCAACTTGGACAAAGACAGGTTTATACACGATCACCACCCGGTAATGGTTTCGATTATTTGCATGCTTAATTGACTACTTACTCCTTCATGCTGATTAACATAAGGCAAACATTTTGCAAATTTCGGCGCTACACCGACCAAGTTTGGTTTCTTGCTTGCCGTACAGGTAATTTTGGCCCCATTTACCTTTAACGAGATGTAGAAAATTACAGATTTTTGTATTTTTTGCCTAATGAAGTTAATATGTAAATAGATTATTTACCCTCACGATTCCGATTGCTAGGAGGATAACGATGCAGAAATATCGGTTCGCCATAACTTTTTTTTAAATTATACACTATCGCCAACTATGTAAATATGTACATGAATGAAATACAGAACGGTAATTATTACCCTATTTATAACAAGTTGCACACTAATGATCCGTGTGGTCACGTATGCAACGTAAGGGGCTGTCCATCAATTTAGTAATAAAAAATCCTCTCCACGTGTCACGGGTTGTGCCATTTTTTAGCACGTGGCGCAAATACTGTGAGCAGGTTTCCCTCATAAATAAATAAGTGACATCATTTTTGATCACCCCGAGAACATAGTCTGATTGTTTCCTGGAATATGAACCAGATAAATTTAAAACGAGGTAATTTGGATGATAACGTTTTTTTAATGATAAGTACGTGTGTATGTAAATATGTTGCATAACATATTTTTACCTGCACGTGTCCATAGACAATGAAACTGACAAATTTGACAAGTCCTACAAAGACTGAAATCATTTAATTAGCCTAATGAGCACGACTGTCTAGGATTAAATTATGTACCATAAGACACGATATGTATATGTACATACATTCGTATGTATGCGCTTATGTATGTAAAGGGTTCGGATTTATTTTCTCCCCACTTTCTCTAGCCAAAAAACGTAAGCTTATTTCTCAAAACTGTGTGACGAAGGGAATCAAGTTTTTTCCTCAAACATGCCTTAGTGTGTGGCCTTTCAATCACCAACGTTAACCACGCCCACAACCCTTTGCTTGAAGCTAAGTGATCATTTTTCAAAGTAGTTTTTTGTTGAAATTGAACTTTGCTTGAACTTTCATTGTTATTTCTGTTGCTGTGCGTGGTTTTGGATCTTTATACACATCATACTTAAGTAAAGGTTATAGGTTCTCCAAAACACCAACATCCGGATTTTTATCGGACCACACCCCCTTACCCCAAACCGTTTTAGTTTGCCCCTCACTTACCGTCATCTGTGTGAGCTGAAGCACCATCCTAGAAGAAAACTACTTACTAAAATTTGGAAACAATTCCTCATTTACCATGCTATCAAACTATTTAGGTAGAATTTTTGGCGCAAAATATTGCATGCAAATCTTGCCCTATTTGCATAATATGGGAAAAGAGCAAAAAAACACACCCTACCATAACTTTAGATTCAAATTTTGAGACGCGCTTCGGTGGTACATGCCATTTTTTGTCGGTTTTGTATCTCATATTTTGCAGATTCAATTCTAGATATAGCTCAATTGGGGATTCATTACTCCCCAGGAAATGACTCCCTGGTTCTTGACCTTGCATTTTTTCACTAAAATCGCCACTTTTTTGGTCTATTTCCTCAAATTTAAGACGGTCATCAATGATTCTATGAGATATTGGTGTTTCCTGGGTTGGTATAGGAGGAGTGTAACTCCAATTCGTCGATTTTGTAAACTTTTGAATTGTAGTATGGTAAATTTGCATGTTTTTAATTTTTAACCGGTTTGAGTCAATTAACTCTTTTCAACAATTAAGTACCCAACTTCCGTTTCCTGACGAATCTTGAGCTTAATTGTTGTTTTTGTAGTTGGTGACTTCGTACTAGGTCGCTTAGACCGCTTTTTGTATATGACAAAATTTCTGATCGTCCGTAGTCATACCGTTTTTTGGATGCATCATAATTTTTCCGATTTTTCTAGAATGTTTAATTGCTGCGCAACTAAACGTTTTATCAGGACTCTATGACGGTCATGATCGACCTATGGTATCGGACTACTCATGGTAAAATTTTCAAAGATAAGCATAAACAGGTTCAGAAATAGCAGCTGAATATGTCTCCGCGCGGGGAGTCAAAACTCACTGGGGAGAAAATAAATCCGAACCCTTTACATATTTATCGTGAGAGGAAGCTGGTTCGGATTATGAAATATGTAAATTTGTACATACTCATATTGATGCTGTTTAAATTAGATCACGAATTATAAAAATGTTGCACGTACCAGAAGTTATATAATAATTTGCATATGTATGTATGTACATATGTACCGATACATGCATTCATACACACAAAGATCTTAACGACATTATTAAATTCATAGTTTGAGCTGTACTTATAAAAATAACGTTTGTTTTAAACGACCTGAATTTTCCTGGTAATGAGAAAATACAGATTTATTTACATAGCTTTAAAAGTGAACAAATACTTCTGGATGTATGTCAGGTTGGCCTATGTGTTTAGTGTAACACTGACATTTTGAAGATTATTTGGGAGACAAATATTCGCATGCATGTAAATATGTAGAACATTTAAGTTCATGTATTACATATATATCTATCAACTTATATACCATAAGTAAATACATTTGCCGTTTATTACACATAAATATGTAAATACATAGATAAATAATTTATAACGTCAAATATGCTGCACTTCTAACTCACTCACTCCAACACAATGCTTGTTTTCAAGTAATGAATAATATATGTAGTTAAACAATAATAATAATAACGTACAAATTATATTATCACAGAAGTATTTGCTTTCATGCAAAAAAAAATATAGGTGAGATAAATAACATTAAATTCCTGCTTGGAACCGAAGTTCGGTATTACCGAACTATTGAATTTCACATTTGAACTTCCTCCTCTTCAGTACTGACAAATTGGTCGACTATTTCTGCTCCGGAAATATTGGATTTTCGCGTCCTCCTCTTCGTTACAGTAGTTGGACCACCGGAAATCGATGCTGCCGCTGCCTCTCTTTTTCTCTGGGTTTGAAGCCGTTTTTCCACTAGAATCCGATACGGATAATGTTTCGTCCAACGCTCCGGGTCATGCGAGTATTTATGAATTGTTAAACTCGTACTGGTTTTGAACGATTTTCCACACTCGGAGCAAAGGAAACGGCGCTCTTCGCCATGAATTGGTCGATGGCTGTTAAGGTAACGCCTTTTAGTGAAACGTTTCCCACAAATGTCGCACATATGCTTTCCTGGCACCTTGTCGTGCACGTGTTTCACGTGGTGATTGAGGAGACGCCTGGGAATAAAGGAGTCAAATAACTAAATGCGTTTCAGATTAATTACACAAATTAATTGTTCAGTCGGATGCGTGGGTGCGAAAAACCCTGCGAACGCGTTCGCCGGGACAGACGGGGGGCAGGACCTTTTTTTTTTTAGGGACCTTTTCTCATAAGGCCCATGTTAAAATTTCCGGGATTTTGTCCCCCCGTTTGCCGGGATGAAACCGGAAATCGCACCCACGGTCGGATGTTAGTTACATAAATTGTGCAAAATTATTTTCAAAATTTATGATTTTACAATGAATGCGAATTTCACCAATTCGCATGGTGAGTCACTGATAACTTGTAAAATCTGTAAAATAATTGTATGTACTTTACAAAACAATATATATGTAAATCATGATGCCCTTGATCTGAGTAAGTTTACAAAATTTGGAAGTTTCATGAGAAATATTTGCAAAAGTTTGCAAGTTTTCATTACTTACAGATTTTACAATTTTATGTACCAAAGCCTGCGGGAATTTCCTCAACAATTAGACGGATTTTTTACTCAAAATTTTACCAGATTCACAATTTCGTAAAGATCCGAATAAATTTACACAAAATTACAAATAGATTTTTTTAGAATGACTCACAATTCTGAAAAAACTTTGCCACATTGGTGACACGTGTGTTCTCCTATTCCGTGCGTGCTCGCCATGTGCTTTGCGAGTCGCGCTTTGTGGTTAAAGCTGGAAAATAGTTTTCCACAATTTTCAACACGACATGGATGCACAACTGGCTGTAAAGATTCTGCTTCTGTGAGGACGTATTTATGACATCGGACCCGATGGTGTAGGAGGAGGTTGGAATCTGCAAATTTAAAGTGGCACTGGGGACATTTAATTTTCCTGTGTTCCGCAAGATGAGAATCCAACTCTGCTTGGCCACGATACTTGTCCTCGCATCTAAATAGATTTATTTAATATCATAAATTTAAAAAAATAGCGAGATTTTTAACGGGCGTACTCACGACGAACGAGGTCGTATCGTAAATAACAAGCAACCTCAAAAGATTTGTGAGATTTCGCAAATCTTAAATTTGACAAAGCTAAACCCAGTCATTGGGGGTATCCATTACGAGTTTGCATGTTCGCATAGCAATATAATTTTTAAAATTGCGAACTAAATAACTAAGAGCCTTAGAGATGCGCAAGTTCGCAATTGAAGCCAAAATTTTTTCGAACTTCGTTTTATGCTCATGAACGATGAGAACTCGTAAAAAACACCCTCATTATTTTGATTTTTTCATTTGTTTCCATGGATTTCTATAATTTCTATCTGGAGAAGACAAGTTTACGAAATAAAAACATCCCTATTTGCTGGGGAACTTTTGAGCAAAACCAAACATCATGGTTTTCAAGGAAAAATGTTTGGAAATTTTCACGAAAATTGTTGTGAGTACGCCGAGTATAAATAAAGTTCACGAACCCATGTCGTGGGCAAGTTTCCAATCGCCCTAATTCCACCGTTTTTACGTGATCCTCCGATTTGATATGTTCCTGTAGCACGGGAAGCGAGATGAATCGTAACCGACACAGTTTACACATAAAGGGCCACATCCGATACTTATTTTGTGGGATCTTGTCAATGTTTCGTGTGTTCATTTTGACCTTTTGCTTGTGTACTTTGGTGTCAGGGTGGTCGGATAAAACGTGCGCTTCGCATTCACTGAGCGAAGTGAATTCTTTGAGACACACAAAACAACCGAATTTCGGGGCTTGATTGTGCGCATCAGCCAAATGTTGGAGGAGATCGGATTGCACGGGGAATTTTGTATTGCAGACGCCACAGTTGTAAATAATTTTCTTTTTCTTTAGTTTCAGTGGAACTAATTGGGAAGAAATTGTTCGTTATTTGTCCGTTATGGATCATAGTAAATGTTAATTAAAGACTTTAATTATTAAAATTAAAATTACCAGGTTGAGTTAATTCGGTAGAAAAAACGTTCGCATTTGGAGTGGTGGAAATATTCTTTGCTACAGAATCCGTCCCATTCTTCAGAATTCTATGGATAGAAATTTAAAAAATATTTTTCTTTCCATGAATTTGACACAAATTTGCATAAATTCAATAATTAGTTCATATGCCATTTTTCTTACTCTTGCTCATTGTTTGATTCGTTCGTCATTTGAGATACCAAACCAGAGGGGACTGCTTCATCAACATTTTCACCAATAGCTTGCTCGACGACCACGTGTTGCGGAGACGTGTCCTTAATTTCTACCCTGGTTAAATTAACGCGAAAGAATCCTTGATCCCGGGTCGCTTCTCGGATTTCATCCTTCGTCATCGGGATCACCCACGGGATTAATTTGACATCATATCCAAATTCTGGCAGTGGTGGTAACGCAGATCCGTCCGGGTGATGAACTGTCTCCACGTGAGACGCTAATCGGTCCGTGGAGGTGAACGATTCCCTGCATTCGGGACACCGAAGGAGTGGATGACTTTCTATCCGGTGACGTTTTACGTCGCAAGATCTGAATATTTTTCCGTATTGGAGACTTAGAACTGGACTAGCGCAAAGGGTGAGACCTAGGTCATCAAATAAATCAATTAGTGTGTACAACGAGAAAATTTTATCCACTGAAAAACGATAGAATTTTTGTCATATTCAGCATATTGTTACGTGCGAAATGATTGAAAGGGACTCTACTCAAAATAGACTGGTAGGTTTGCCAAATCATATTTTGCCAATCTCGCCAATCTTTTGAGTTGAGCTTCATGATAGTTTGCGACTCTAAATATTTGAAACTTTGTCGTATTGTGTGTGTACCTGGGTGAATAAATTTCCGGTGTAAAGTGGCCTCCACGGGGGTATCGAACCTATCTGGACAAATGGCACAAGGATAATTCCCACTTTTTGTGGGGGTGGTGAGCTCAGGTAGCTTTCGAACCTCCGGGACCGATATCGGTTCATCAATGACTAAGGGCAGGCTAAAATTCCCTCCAGTCTTCGACGGGGTCACGAGGTGACCAAAAATCCTGCTTGCATAAACGGAGAACAAGTATTTTAAATATGGTGATAATTTTATTTACAGTAAAAACCTACCCCGTTTGATGTATTAATACACTAGGTTTCTTTACTGTCGGGATTTTAGACTTTTCAAAGCTGTGTGTCACAAATTGAAACTAATAAGTTACTTAATTAATTCGCCAATTAATTGTTTGACCCTCACCTTGGTTTTGGGATATATTTTTTCTTATCTTTGTGTTGCACCTTCAATAACTTGCTAATTTTGATTGGAGCAATGCTTCTTTTAGGAGTCGTTTTCGAATACGTAGCTACAACTTTGCCCTTGTGTAGCTTCTGAAATTCTGGAAAATTTCTGTAATCTTGTTTAACACCAGAAACTACTGAATTTGAAATTGCAGCGATGGAATTCGCAATATTTGAATCTGCACTGGTTATATTTTCAATACTTGAATCTGAATTCGCAATAGATTCTTCAACTACTGAATCCTCTCCAAATTCTAAGGGATCATTTCCAATTTCCGCTCTGAAAATATTCTCCGTCTGCTGTTCTTCATTCTCATCAAAGTCTACTCCTGCCCAGTCCGCGACGAAAAAGTTTTCTTGGTCCTCCTCTCCAGCGAAGTCTAGGCAAATTTGTGATAAATAAATAATTAAAAATCAGGAAATCTACTAATCAAAAATTAAATTATATAACTAACCACTCAACAATTGTTCGCGAATATTTCTGTAAATTTTTTCCACCACCAACTTTTCCCCGTCCTCCCCCTCCTGCTTAGCGAGGGTGGAATTCTGCACCAATTTCTTGACATTGTTCTTCACCTGGTCCAACTCCTTCTCCAGGCGGACAATCGCGCCATGTAATTGTTCCCCTTGGCCGACAAGACGCACACATGAGGCACAGAGGTCGATGTGCTGTTCAATCTCTTCCTGGCGAAAGTGTGTGTGCGAATATGGGACGACGTGTCCCAGCAGAAATTTCACTCGGGTGGGATACTTTTTGTTCTTTTGGGGAACAGGACAACAGCAAATGATACAGATTATCGGGACAATAATGTCCTCCTCCTCTTCTATCGCCTCGATTACCTCGTCGGTGGATAATTCTCCTGCAATAATTTTGAAAAGTTAAACAGTAAAAAAAGAACGTTCTGAAATTTGACGAAAAATGTACCTGGAAATACTGAGGAAACTTGATAATCTCGTTGTTTCTTGTCACGTGATATGGCCACCCTTCGCTGAGCCAACTTCTGCACGTGTCGTTTCCGTTTGCTTATGCGACCCATGATTTTGTATTTCTATTTATTTATTTAAAATTTGAAATTAAAACCAAGATTAAATAAGATTCTTATTATAAGAACAATAATGTTTTGCATTTGTGATCATCGTCTAATCTTACTTACCACCTTTTCAGTTCACAGTTAGGCAAGAGAATGTAAATATAAACTTAACGAATATTGTTATACATGGAAATTTGAATATTATTTTATTTTAACAATACACAATATTTTAAAACAATGACCAAAGAGGTGCACATTTTTATGAAAATTGAACATGTGTTGTTTGGTTGGCGGTTGTGATTTTCATGCGAACAAAGTCGAGTAATATTTTTCATGCAAATTTTAATGCACGCCTTGCATTCATGCAAGTTGTATGAAATTATGATGAAATTGCTAGTTTAGCAATAATCGCTTCATCGCTGATTTATTTCATCCAAAAGCATCATCTTAGTTTTCCGTTCTAAAGTTTTATTAGCTGTATAAGAAGTAGGACCTTAATATATTTACGATTTTTTTAGTATTTTTATGTATGTTTTACCTCAACACCTCCCATATTCTTATACTCGATTACTTATAATAGTGTACCTATACGTTAATGACAAGTCATCAAAAAAAATATTCACTAGTTCAGCTTCAAATCAGGTACTGTTGAAAAAATTGCAATCCTCAAAAATCCTCAGCGCTGCGGAAGGTTGCACAAATTATGAATTTAATAGTGCAATGCAACACAAAAAATATGAAGCGTTACCATGGAGACAAAATGTATCGCCCCCGGGTGGGCTCGAACTACCAGCCTTTCGGTTAACAGCCGAATGCGCTAGCCGTTTGCGCCACGGAGGCGAGCGATGAATAATTAATGAGTGAAATAGTGTCAAATTTTCAAAAATTAATGACCTATGAGACCGTTAGGGTGTTCTATTTACAAGGAAAGGTGTAATGAGTGCATTGGCCATCGTAATTACAGTGAGCAGAGAGCCCTAATGAGGGACTAATTAGTAGTAATTAGGTAAATAAGCAATTAGTGCTGATAGGGGAATGTATGTACATGTATGATGTCATCAAAAACGCAGAGTTTTCGCCATGTTAAGCTTAAGATAGTTAATCTAAGACTACTTCCCTACGTTTTCGACGACGTACTATATGGACGTCCCATACGAGATATATGAACTAATAATTTTTGAAAATTTGACATTATTTTAGTCGTTAATTATTCATCGCTCGCCTCCGTGGCGCAATCGGCTAGCGCATTCGGCTGTTAACCGAAAGGTTGGTGGTTCGAGCCCACCCGGGGGCGTTACATTTTGCCGCTAGTGTATTTTTTGCGTCGTAACGAAATAACATAACTAACTGAGTGTTTTGACATTGGCCTCCCGGTTTTATATAACTGGCTTTACTTTTGTATGTCTTGCATTTGGTTTTATGTATCATAAAAAAGTTAGCCGCAAACAACCCTCGAAAGAGTTTATAGATGGGTGACGCAATCAAACCGTAAAATTAATTTATGTATTTATCGTTCTCGGAGACGCTATAACTTGAAAAAGCTAAAAGTCGTTTAATTAATAGAAATGCTAGCGAATAATGCATGAGATCCATGAGGAAATTTTAGCATTGAGCATAACGCATGGAAGTACTCTAAAATTATTATTGAGTATCACCTCACTTGCATAAATCTCACTATGCCCCTTTTACGGCGATAAGGGCTTTCCTTGTTTCCATGTGTTTCGCCTATGTGTCAATTATGTATGCAAATGAGGTGACTAACATAAATAATTCCACTGTATGTGCATATGACGTATCCTCTATTTACGCCTGGATTCAAAGTTGATCACAATTTTATGCCCAATTTTTATGCCCAAATTTTGGCTTTTAATATAATTAAATGATAAAATTTGTGCAATAAATTCAAATCATGGCTTAATAGCTGACTACATAGTCAACATATTTATGTAAGAAGGTAGCTTAATTCGGCCTGAATTTTGTGCACATAGAAATATACATAATTCCTTAGGTGAACAATACCCAACGGCTTCTGGCGTAATAATTTTTAAATAAACCAGCAAGTTTTCGTCGATGGAATTATGTATACTTTATTTATGGTTGCCCTTGTCTAATCGGTAGATAAATACTGCATATAGTTTTGCAAATTCAATTAACCAATTTATTAATATTCGACGTGAAATGCCTTTTCATAACAGTGCAGATCGATTGATCGACCAGTATAAAAGAAATCCACGTAAAATCCAACAATCCAGTTTTGTAAATTTTGTTGAGCACTATTAAGAGAAAATAACATATATACATACACTGGTTTGAAAGTTAAATATAAATCCTAATTGTCTGTTGTAAAAATTACTGGGTCATCAATCAGAATTTCCACTGAGTGCAAAATCAAAACTTTCTAAATTGTGCAAAATCCAGAATTTATAAATACTTTGTGTAATATCCATAATTATTGCGGTGGATCGAAGTCAACCGGACAGAATTTCTACGGACCAAAATCACGTGCCCATTTGATTAACATTGGGGGCGGGCCGAAATTCAAATCAAATCCATCCGGTTGACTTCGATGCACCGCAATATCTTTAAACATTTTCGAGACGTCCTCTTTCCTCACAAGAAACAAATTCCAGTGACGTAACATATTCATAAATATAGAGACTGCACAAAAGTAATTTTTAGCCCGAACCAGGGCTTATGTAATTGTCATGTCCGTCTGTCTGTCTGTCTGTCTGTCTGTCTGTCTGTCTGTCTGTCTGTCTGTCTGTCTGTCTGTCTGTCTGTCTGTCTGTCTGTCTGTCTGTCCGTCTGTCTTTCGATAACTCTTGAACGAGTTGACCGATTGACTTGAAATTTTCACCATATGCATATTGGACAAAGTTAGGAAACGAGTTCGAAGATGGGCCAAATCGGTCAAGTGGTTGACCGGTGGGGGTCTTCGGAGTGGGTGGGGTATTATGCACCAAAATTTCAAAATTGTCGTAGAAAGCTGAAATTTGGCACAGAGGTTGCTAATGGCTCCTAATAGATAAATATGACTTCAGATTAGAAAAATTTTCATCTTGAGGGACCCTAGGGGTGACCCATACTGATTTTTAAAAATCGTCATATCGAGCTGAAATTTGGTGGATAAGTTGCTTATGGGTCTTAACGGAAGAATATGACATGTATGTATGTATTGGTGGGGTGACGATCCTGCCATAGTTGGACAGGACCGTCAGCTGCGCAAGCACTAAAGGCTTATTGCAGTCTCCCCGTATACACCGCTTTACTGTGCTAAGTCATGACTCTCACGATTTACAGATCTAACTTGACCTACAAACCGCCCTGATCTGATTATGAATTGAATTAGATCGGGCAGAGACATAGTCACTATTTGCTCTGGTGGCAACTCATGCCTCCCAAAGAGTTCTGACCTTAGGGCACAATACTTGTCGCAGGACCCAAGAAAATGAAATACAGTCTCAGGGCCACGGCCACATAAGCACATGGCCTCATCAACTAATCCCATTGTTCTGAGGTGCCCGTTTAAAGTACAGTGCACGGTTAAGGTTTGTGTTACTGATCGGAGATTCTTCCGATTTAGGGTTAAAGCTTACTGCTAAGCCCCGATGAAGGGGCAGAGAGAAAAGCTTTAGAAGTTAAACAGTTGCTGCTTTCCCAAGATTTGATATGCTGCAATCTTGCCCAGTTTACAATGCTGGAGATTACAGTGCTTCTGGATAGAGGAATAGAGGGCTGCGGGCCAAGGTACCCAGTAAGAGTACCTTCCTTGGCCAACAGGTCAGCCACTTCATTTCCTTCAAATCCATGGTGAGAAGGGATCCAATGAAGTGTTACCTTCTTAGTCTCCCCAATATGATTAAGCATCTCAATAGCCTCAGAAGTCAGTGATGAAACTGGCCATGGGCTAGTGAGCGCTTTGATGGCACCCTGACTGTCAATGAAGAAGTCAACGGTGCTATAGTTATGAGTATTGTCGGTCAACGTTTCAGAAGCCCTGATAATACCCATAATTTCTGCTTGGAAAACTGTGGGTGCCCATCCCAGAGGAATTGAGCACCTCACAGCTTCCTGAGCAAGATTGTTGTATGTGAAGTAGTAAGCCGCACCCGAACACTCACCCATCCGTGAACCGTCAGTAAAACAGTTCACGTCGGAGGCATTCATGGGCACGCTACCATCCTCCCAATCTTTCACCGAGCAGATAGAGGTTTCGAAGTTCCTCTCTGCTGGCGGATTAACAAGTTTCTCACACGGCATCTGGAATTCATCAATACCAGACGCCATGATTTCGACAAACTTGTTATGCTTTAACGCCCTCGTACGATCACCGCCGGCCCATTTTTTCCATTGGCCGTGGTGAGCGAGGCGATGGTACGTTCGTAGTGCAACTTGCTGAACCCGGATGTCCACTGGGACAAGTCCCAGTAGACACTCCAGGGCTGCAGTAGGAGTGCTAGACATTACACCGGTTGTACCAAGCATGGCACACCTCTGTACTCTTTGCAACTGGGCCATGTGGGACTTCACCTTTGTGGCCGGAGCCCACAAGAGTGACCCATATTCCATGGCCGGGCGAATTATGGATTTGTAGATCCAATTTGTAATTTTGGGGGAAAGACCCCAAGTTTTACCAATGGCCCTCCTGCACTGGGATAGGGCACGCATACCTTTTAGTGCCCTAGCCCTGCACAGTGGGCCCCAGTTCAACTTGTGATCCAATAAGACCCCAAGATATCTTACCTGTTTTTGATAAGGGATGGGAATACCATCCAACTTGATCACAGGAGCAATGAATTTGTATTTCTTAGTGAATAGTACCAGGGCAAGCTTATCATTGACTGACAAGCTCACCTCTTTGCACCAATCACTAACAAGATTTACTGCTCTCTGCACATGACTCCCCACTGTACCGAGGTCAATGCCCCGTCCCACTGTTGTGAGATCGTCGGCAAAGCCCTGTGAGTACAGTTGAGGGAACCGATGATGTAGTTTTTCCAGAATTTCACTTACGACCAGATCCCAGAGAAGCGGTGAGAGGACACCCCCTTGAGGGCACCCTCTCTCCACCACCCTCCCAATCTCGTAAGTAGAATCAGTTACCCAAGTGGTTCGTGTCCGAAGCATATGCTCAATATATCGAACACATACTTCGTTGACGCCAAACCTCCTAAGGCTACGGATAATGGTATCAGATCTAACCTCATTAAAAGCGCCCTTAACGTCCAACATCACTGCAATACAGTACTCGCTAGAGTCAAGGGCCCCCTCAACAAGGCTAACGATCTGATGAAGGGCAGCCTCCGTGGAAACGCCCTTCATATAGGCATACTGACTGTGTCTCTGCAGCCTATCAACAAGATCAGGCGTGCGGACCCAGCCATCTACCAGTTTCTCAAGTGTTTTGAGCAGGAAGGATGTTAAGCAGATGGGCCTCCAAGCGGACGCCCGTTCGTAACTCTCCTTTCCTGGCTTTGGTAAGAATACCACTCTGGACTCTCTCCACTTCAGAGGTGTATAACCAAAGGTCAGGCACCCCCTCATGAGAGGAACCAAATACGGAATTGACTCGGCTAACCCATGCTGTAAAAGGGCTGGAAAGATACCATCCTTTCCAGCCGCTTTTAGTGGGCCAAACGAGTTAATTATGTTACTGATTTTTGAAGATGTAATCATCAGATTTATAGATTCATCATCTACTTTACTATGATCAGGTTCCCATGGAACCCGTTGAGGGTCCCTCGGGAACGACTGGTCCAATAATAATTCATAGGTCTCAGAAAGGGTCCTGGTGTAAACACCATCACCCTTGTCCAGTGATCCCAGTTTGATTGTGCCATCGTTGCGAAGGATGCGCGAGAGTCGGGCAGCAACAGGTGCCTCCTCGACACTCTCACAAAACCTTCTCCACGAGGCAGTTTTCCTCCTCCTCATTTCGTAGGAGTAGTAGTTACGAGCAGCTTTGTATTCTGCCCATGCCTCCTCTCCTCCGAAGCGGGCAACCCGATAAAGCCTGCGAGCCTCCTTCCGAAGAGAAGTCAGCTCACGGCTCCACCAAGGTACCCTCTTCCTCCTGGATTTGGGTACTTTTTCAGGGCAGGCCACATCGTATGATTTATGGATAAAGTTACTGACCCTACTAGCGCTTGCCTCAATCTCCTCCGTAGATGACATTGGGCACGCCCTAGCAGGGTCAAGTTCCGTTAGTCCTTTTAATACTGATTTGTATAGGTCCCACCTTGTTCTCTTCCTGTCCCTATAAAGGGTGTTAATAAAGTCCGATCCCATGCATTTTTTGGAGCGTGGTTGTTACAAATTCAGCTGGAACTTTTGAACCAGTGAAGTTATTTATTTCAAATTTTTACCATGGGAGGAACAACTAAACGTGTAAGTCATGAGCATCTTAGAGTTGAGATACAAACATTGCATCAGCAGGGGCTTAAACCTACAGAAATTGTGCAAAAATTGGGCTGCAGCCGCAGAACTGTTTGGAAATGGAAGAATAAAAATTTTGTCCACGACAAAAAGCGACCAGGGCGACCCAGAAAGGTGTCACCTACCACAAAAAGAATGATTAAAAACAGACTTTGCAAGAAAACCGGTAGTTCATTACGTAATTGAGCAAGGGAGTTAAATGACTCAAAACGCTATAAAGAGAAGAAGAAGCAAATTAACTGTGTGACCGTGCAAAAATTTGTGAAAACTACGAAGTGGGGTCACACAGCTTACAAACTAACCAAAAAAACCTCTCATGTCACAAAAATATATCGATGACCGTCTGAAATTTGAAGAACTCCTTCAGAAAAGTGCCCATTTGAGTGAAAAAAGACTTGGTGAAGAATTGCGCAGTCACATCCTTTGGACTGACGAATCTATTATTGAACTATATCCAAAATTGAACCAACAAAATGTTCGTTACAGGACAGAAAACAAATCGGATGTACCATCAAGAGCGATCCCAAAATTCGGGCTTAAAGTTATGGTAGTGGGTGGATTTTGTGCACGTTGCGTGACCCCTCTACATATCATACCAAAAGGCCAATCAGTCAATGCAAAGCATTATATGGAAAAAATATTACCTATCTATTTCGATAGCATGGGGAACAAGGAAATATTTCCGAATGAAAGAAAATAGTTTTCATGCAGGATGGTGCTATAGCCCATACAGCAAAAGCGAGTTTGAGTCTCATCAAGACGCAAGTTTCAACGGTCTGGAGCAAGGGGGTGTGGGCCGCTAACGGCCCAGATTTGAATCCCCTGAAGAACCAGTGGTCCATACTTAAGGAAAATGTATACAAAGAGCCACAACCCCGGACGAGGGAAGAGCTAGTAAAAAAAAGTTCAAGATGTATGGAATTCGATTTCCAGAGGCACGTTGGAAAAATTAGCACAGAGCCTTAAACAAAGAGTTGAGGGCATGGTTAAAGTAAATGGTAACAAGACCAAATACTAAGGTAAATATGTCGAACATTTTTTGTAAGTATCACGGGTAGTTTTTTTTTATACTAGCCTTCACTTTTTTACAGGAAAAATGGGATCGGACTTTATTAACACCCGGTAGATGATAGGGTCAGGTGGACCAAGGCTTAGGCTGGTCGGAATATACCTGTGGTCAGAGCAACTTTCGTTGTCGTCGACCCACCAGGCCTTTATCCGGTCCAGCAAATGGGAGGATACAAATGTAACATCTAACACTTCTTTCTTATTCGATACAACAAAGGTGGCTCTGTGTCCCCTATTAATGGGGTGCAGATCCACCTGTGCAATGTAATCCAATAGTTGTGCACCTCTGCTGTTGATATTGGTGCTACCCCACATGGTGTGGTGTGCGTTGGTATCACTCCCTATCACCAGAGGTAGACCGTTGGTCTCACAGTATGAGACCAACTGACGCATCTCCTCTGGGGGCATGCATAGTTTCTATCCATGTATGCTGAGGATATCACTACCTCTCCAATACCCCCCCACTGGGTACGGATGGCTGTGACATCTCTACAGCATAAGTCAAGCAAGGGCCACACTTTGATGTCCCTACTTGTAATAATACATGATCTGCTGGAGTGGGCATCCCGACAAAAATAATGTAGGTTGCCACAACCCCCCAGACCTCGTATTTTGCCTTTATACCAGTACGGTTCTTGTATTAGGCATATGTATGTCTGCAACTCTGCTAGGGTACGACATAGAGAAGTCGTACCCTTTTTGAGTGTTGCAAGTTAATTTGCACCAAGTTCACACTTTTGGTTGTCATATTAAAAGATGACAACCCGGTTCGAAGAGATGTAGATGAGTGTGATGGTGTAATATTAGTGATGTTAGTGTTCGTCATTGTGAGTGAGGGTTATGACGCGAAGTTAATTTTGAGGGGGTGTTTCAGTTACCCGAAACACCAACTCATCAAAATAATAATTAAATTCGGCGGGCGGTTTTAAGGCCGCCACGCCAGATTTAGGAATACGACAAAAACAGACAAAACCTTGACCTGACCTTATAGAATGGGTCATCCTCCATGTGGTCGTGTCCATGCCCTGGTTGAGTCGAGAGATAGTGGGGAAGAGTACCTTGGCCAAAGGTGGTGTCGCCTCCCTGACCCAAAAACTCACTTTTGCTTCCGCTTCCGGTGGTTTGGGGTCACTGGTGGCGAATTTCCCCCCTTCAAGCTTGTCCACCTCCGCTTCAGCCCAAAGTTTGGTGGTGGGGTCACGGCATGTGAGAACCATGCCCCCACCCCGGATCACAAGTCCACCAAACTTGAGCAGGGTTGTCGCTGCTGCCGCATCGATGGCAGAGCGAAGTCCTACCTGGATGGCCTCTTGGTCTTTTTTAGAAAGAGGGCGGTGAGGGTCATCTTTATAAGTGATGACCACTTCACTACCCTCAATCACGACCTCCCGGTAGGTAGAGGGCCTCTTCTTCTCCCTCGGATTGTTGGAGGTTGGGGTCTCCCTGCCTCTCTTGTTGTTGGTGGTAGTGGAGGAAGAAGACCCAGCGTCTTTTTTGAGTGTGGGGTCAATTTCATGAAGATTGACCCTCTTCACTCTGTCCCCCCCCTCCGAGTGGGGTAGAGGGGAAAACCTTGCTTCCAGTCGCAGCGGCGCTGGTGGCAGTTGTTGTAGTAGTGGTTGGAGCCGTGATGTTGGTGGTGGTTGTGGCGGTGGCAGTGACGTCATCGTTGGATTTGGGGGCAGAAGGCACACCCCAAGCCCGCAGCTCCTTCGCGCGCCGCCTCCTCGCCCTCCTCTTCACCCTACGGTTGTTGGCACTGGTGGCGATTTGGGGTGGTGGCAATGGTCCTTCTCCATCGCCCCCCATCTCCATCGCCTCCCCCTGGCCTCCACTCACTGCATCCGCAGAGCGGAGATGCGCCTCATCAGAGAGGAGTGACTCCTCAACCTCGGAGGGGAGAAGTAAATCTCCCTCTTCGCCCTCAGGTTTGAGGATCTCCTCCTCCATCTCCTCCTCTCCTGCTGATTTCCTGGAGAGAGAGGTGAGTAAAATAATGTAGAACAGCCATAAGCCCACAAAATTTGGGCTTATGGCTGTCCATATAATTAAAATTATATAATTAATATAAATATATGGGTTGCAAAAGGGAGGAGGCCGGAGGTGAGGACTTTCTCCACACATTTCGTGTGGAGAAAGTTCTCTCTCGCTCCCACTCTCCCTCCCCCACAACCCAATACTTTCCTGGGAGCAGGCACTTCCTCCCATGTCAGGGTGGGTGTAGCACACTTCAATCACCTTGACATGGTGTCCAAAATTGGTGAATTTTATTTTTTGTAAAATAACAAAAAACTGGGCAGAATTTCCAGATGCTGCTCCTTTGAGCTTCGCGGTGTATTAAAAAATAAAGAATATGGCATGAAATTGGTAAAATTTTTATCTAGAGCGACCCTGTGGGGTGACCCATACCGATTTTTAGAAATTAGCATAGAAAGCTGAAATTTGGACCAGAGATGCTTACTGCTTTCTCATGAAATAATATGAAATTAAATATGACAAAAATTAACCAGAGGGGCTATAGAGGCGACCCCCACTGGGAAGTAGTCAAGGACAAGGATAGTAAATATTTTTAGAATTTGGAGCCTAGTAGTACGAAAGATTGATGCTAGTTAACCTACAAATTAGTGTAAAATAGTAGCACATAATTTTATGGAAAACTACTGACAAACACTAATCACTCCTGGTTCGGGCTAAGCAAAGCTGTACTGATAGGTTTTCTGATTGTGATTGTAATTTTCACTGGAAATACAAAAGGCGTTAGGACATGGTTTTGACGAATTCGCGGGTGAATATCTCTGGCGGGGAGTTGAATTTTGAACTGATTTTTGGCCAGTTGCAAGATAATACTCTCAAAAAGATATATTTAAAATTTTGGGCCGATAGCTTTATAAATGCCCCCTCCAGTGCCCCCAGAGTTGGAAGGAGCCAAAAAAACACTTTCCAAACTGAATTACTCATATAGCATGATAACCTAAGAGGTCAGAGGTGAATGATTGTTAATATTACAACCCTAGATAATCATTGCATGTAATAATAAAAGAATCCACAATGAATTACATAACGTTGGGCCTCCATCGTCGCTGATACGTTTTCATGAAAAGTGATCAATCGGACCGTGCACAGGAAAATTGACCTGCTGACCTTTAAAGCGGACCCACTAGGTCAAATGAAGATTGAGGGCAAAGCTCTAAGTGTCTCAAGTAATATTAAATTAAACAGTGAAGATTTTGTGTAAACAGTTTTGGAGAAGGACCCTAGCTAATCAGCTGACGGGGAATAGTAAAAAACTCGTGAACTAATTTAGGAAAATAATGGTCAAATTTTGTTGAAAACAAATTTTAATAACTTTTTTGTGTTCCCTGCTGCAGAACTATTTTACCTACAAGGTACAAGTGACAAAATAATAAAATTATTGCGTTTTGATTAGTTAAAAAAAATTTAAAGTTCCGCTTCAATTTCGAGGAGAACTTTTGTAACAATTTTATAGGGTTTGATGGAAACTCATTTCCTGAGGTGTAACCAAAATTTTATCAAAAGTACTTACAATGCAACATACAATTTCTACCTTGGATAAAAACCACGTTAGGGATTTTTAGCATCAAAGTCCTAAAATGTGGGGGCCTTAAAAGTCGAGGAGTTGCGTTCAAGAGAGCATTCCATTAAGACAAGTATGAAGCTAGACTACAAAAGGGACTTAAAAGATAAGCATGATACAAAAGTGGTTTTATATAGTGAAAAGCATGCTAAGTCCCTTGATAATAGTCGCAAAGACGATTTTTGCACCAGGACCTCAGAAAAAAATATTTTGTTCAACGCCATTTTATAAGAACACTGGTTTGGAAAACTAAAAAAGGACACCTCTCCAAATTTGACCTTTCCTCATTTCGCAGAGTACATAAAATCGGAAGCCAGATATGCTTACCTATAGTTTGAGACATGGGCTTTCACATAAAAAATGTTAGAAATCTCTACAACTAAAAACCATCCCGCAATTAAGGTATGAATTCGTCAAAACCATGTCCTAACGCCTTTTGTAGATTACATCCAATGTTACCATAGGTAATCCATCTACATAAAATCAAAATAAATACGAGCAACTAGTAATCTTACAACCTCGTACACTGTAAATCATCCGGTAGAGTCACATACATACACTCTTAGAAATCCAGTATTAAAATAATACCAAGCGGTATTCATATATTTGTATGACTCTACCAGCGTGGTATTGATAAATAATACCGTGTAGTAATACCCAGGTATTAAAGTTTTACAATATTGGTATCAAATTTTTACGGACCGGTTTAATGTTAATACCAAGCGGTAGCAAATTTAATACCGAGAAATCAATACCTGCGTGACTATACCGGATTTCTAAGACTGTATGTATTCCGTAGTGGTATTGATTTGGTAAAAATTCCCTACCGGATTAGTTATAGTTTGATTCTGAGTGGTAACGATTTCATTACCACCACATTACTGAACGGTAATTCCCGTTAATACCAGTGCCGATAGAGTCACATATTCATGTACTCCGTTCGGTAATGATTCGTAATGATTCAATACCAGTTAAAGAGTGTAGCAATCACAATCACAAAGATTTACTCCTGCGCAACCTCTCTAATGTCATTTACTAATCAAACAAGGATGGACCATGCCGGCATGTTTACCGCATTTGACGTCTATGCTAGGCAGATGCAACATTTTACCGAGCCCCCGATCCAGTGGTGCACTTCCAAGAAAAAATTCAACTTCGCCACGGGACAATTTAAAAATTATCTCTGGTATTTTAACACCTTTGCCGGCTTCGGTCTCTGCACTGTGGGTGGTCTCGTGGTCATACTTTTGTCACAACTCTTCAAATTTTATAAAGATCTCCATGCCGCGTATGTATTCATGTTTGTGGTACAATTGTCCACATCAGCGGCTGGATTTGCGGTTAACGTGGAAATGATTTTGTACGGGGAAGATTGTGTCAAGGGCTGGAACGCTTTGCTCGGGATGGACAAGATCCTGCAAAGTCGAGGTACATAAATAAAACCAATATTTTTAGTGCTGTCAAGGTAAATATCTAATTAATTACTAATTGAAGGGATTGTGACATAATCAGGACTATATGTTTCTGAGGATATTTCGCATTGCAAAACGTTTAGTGAATTTGAAATTTAATGAAAATAATTTGTCCTTTAGTACTTTACAAGATATATATGTATGTATGTATGAGTTCGTAAATTTACAAAGCTATGTAAATATAAAAACAGTCTTGTCATGCGATTTTCACGTTGTTTGTATGACTTATTTGTAATTTCTATCGCTTGCAAAATAATCTTGTCGGTGTTTCGTTTCTTAAGGGTTTGTAACATTTATTGCAAAGCAAGAGAAGTAAAAAATGCAACGTGTCCTTCCCAGCAGAGTTTTTGTGAATTTCACGAGCTAACTTTTTATTTTTATGTATGGTCAATTAGCTATATAATATGCAAGGGTTAACGAGAGAACGTCCGATGTTCAATACATATTAAAATTCCGATTTCTCACATTTCCTAATTTTTTTATATATATTTCCACATTTCAGCTCGCCATCACTCCCTGCGAAAAAGTCGAGTCTGGCAAATCCTGACCATATTCAGCTGGGCGTTCAGCACATACCCAATTGTATTCACACTGGCCGGAATTTACTTCCAGTTTGACCCGTACTACCACATTTTGTCCATGCTCAACGTCACCCATCCCGCCCCGCACATCTTCAGATTCTACTTAATCTTCACAGCGCCCGCCGAACTCTGCCGATTCATCTCCTTCATGGTGCTCTTCTCAATTAGCACGTTGCACATGCTGCGGGACGCGCTCTTTACCGAACAGAATCGCAGCCCATTTCGGATCAGCGGGACGCTCGCGGAATGGCAGTACCGCCAAGTTCAAATCTTAGTCGTAAACTTGGAAACGTATATCGGAAATATTTGCCTAGTTGCGCAAGGTCTCGGTTTAGCGAATGGGGTGCTGTGCAATTTTGTAACTTTAAAATTCTATGCGACCCTGCCAATCTGGTTTTATGTCATATTCCCTTCCATCGCGGTTATGATTTTGGTCGTAATTCACGTAATGATGCCCTGCTTGCACAGTGTGCTAGATATTTCGCAAAATCTGTTGCAAATTTTGTCCCGGTTTACTATATGTCAGTCGAAGCAGGGGAGGAAGAAGTCGAGCAGGGTGGTCAAGTCGTTGAAAAGTGTTACCATTTCGCCAATGTTGGCAGAGTACAAGTTTTTCGTGTATAAGAGATGTACAAAAGGTACATATCTTGTAATTTTGGTGACACATACGATAAATTTGATACTTTCGGTAAGACAAGATGCGATCGAGTCGGCGGCACATTTGTTTTAAATAATTCGATAATTTGATGTAAAAACTATTGTGTTTAATATTTAGACATGTATTCATTTGCCATTGGATGAGAAATTCTTCAAAATTTTAGATTTTAGAAGTGGGCGATACTTGCATTTGTTCGAAAAACATATATACATAGGACCCCCCCCCCCTAAAACAGATCACATGCTTTCCACACAGTCCCTTATGATACATATGAGCGCAGTTTATTTATATATTTTATAACGCCCGTTCGATTATCGTGAATTTGCTCAAAATTATCATCTGCAAATCTGTTGTCGGAAAATATCGAGTTATTTACATTGGACTTATTAATTTTGTTATATACTTTAATTATTCACTCTATAATTTTCACAGAAATTCTTGCCGCAAAGCTTTATAAATTTTTCAAGTATTCACTAAATTTCGTTTTTTCTATCTTCCCACATAATTGCTTCCTCTTGTTCGGTAAGGAACCATGTATTGGGAGGCAGGTCGACCAATTTTGTTGTATGTGGTATAAAAAGTTCAGCCTTGATTGGCAACTGACTGAGGGCAGGAAATGTGCTAATCATTTGGACAATCACGTTCCTCTTTGCTAGGAATAATCACGTGTTAATAAAGTTGATTTGCAGAATCTCGCAAAATTTTAAAGTCCATGGTCAGCAGGTTTATCAGATAAAGTAAATCATTCCTATTATATTTTTAAATTTTAATACTATTATTATCAACATGGGCTATTGCTAGTGAGTACGTGCATTTAATAAACTACTGCATAACAGTATGTACATGTATAAAACGAATTTATGTAATCCATATCATGCGCGCATCATACCAAGTTTGATTCTATCTTCACCGGCATACAGGATATGTACATTACGTATGTGTGTCATTTCGCTTCGTATAAGGATTATAGCAATTGAGCGATGTATAATACCAATTAGGCCTATGCATATTATGCAGTGACGCAATTAATGGTCTTATAAAATATGTCTGCATTCATCAGCCGCATTTAAAACGAATTTCTTTCGGAAAACTGTTTTTCGGGGGAGATAAGTGGATAGGGTGCCATAAAAAGAATGGTAATGCGGAGTATGTACTACTAGCGGTACCGCAAAATCAAGGTTATAAACCAACACTGGGAAATCCTTAAGCCGGCCGAATAGTATTGAGTAAGAATTATAGGATTCGACAAAGGAATCCGCCAAGTATTTCAAAAGTGAAAATTATCTCTTACATTATGTTCCCCCATATGAAAATACTATGGTTTGACCAAAATTTAGGGGGTCAAAATTTTCCCCGGGGGGTGGGGGCATTATTGGATTTGAAAATGATGGAAAGTCGGCGCAAGATATCTCTGGAACAGGTGGATGAAAATTCAAAATTATTTTTTTGTTACACTCCTTGGATCAATACCCCCAGGTGTTTTTCGAATTACGTGAAAATTCCAACTTTCAGGGGTTTTCCGCAACGACGCAAAAATGACGTGAAAATTGCTATTTGTAGATCACTCAAAAAGTATGACGAAATGATCGTTGGTTAGATTTGCTTCAATCTCTGATATTGTGTAGACTTTTTGCAGACAAACAAACGTTAAATTACCCAAAAAGTCGAAACTGGCCTACGTGACCTTTTTTCGGGGCCCGAAAGGTCACAATGTCAAAGGTCACGGAGCCACATAAATGGGGTATTGTTGGAAAGGTCTAGACGAGTGGATTTAGAATATATATACTTTATAGGGTATAGGACCACTCCATGCAAATATAGAGCCGGGAGAATACTTTTGAGTTTTTCCCATTTGTGCTTCCGTGTTAGCTCCCAATCCACTACTGTGTTAAATTCTGGACAACTGCAGATTTTGGTTCTTTCCTCACTAGACTTGCAGGGGGTGGTCCCAGACCCCATAAAGTATATATATTCTGAATGTCTAAAGTATATATATACATGAAAACATGTATTTAAAACATTGGCGTCCTTAACCCTCTTTCGTATGTAGTACGGATTTTTAAATAAAATTTCTTTATAAGGTACAACGTTGATTTCATAATCACACTTGATAGCAAGCAATTAAACTTTAAAATCAGTTTTAAATTTTTGGGTTTTTGTTACGAAAAACACGAAAAGTCCACTTTTTAATATTGGTTGGTACAAAGAGAATTCAAAAATTTTGGAAGAAAAATACACATAAAAAATCAACTTTACCATAAAGTTTTGCACAAATACCTTTATTTGGAAATACTCTTTTTTTTGGAAATTTTTGTGTTAAATTTAGGTGTGTCAAGGTAATTTATACGGTACATATATTCGTGTATAGCTCGTTGTCAAACGAAAATAAAATATTACCAAAATGTTTGTACTTCGCCATTAAGAGGTTAAAAATGTATGCATATCTGTTTTTCTAATTTTACGTGTTTAATTTTTATTTGCGTATGTCGTATTCCAAAAAAGTGAGTAATTTGTGTAAATATTTCAACTCTAAAATTAGTCTTTTTTGCATCCCATTACTCATTATTTAGAAAGACCACAATTTCTGCGCTGTGAGAGTGGACTTTATCGACTTTGTGTTTCAACCCGCTAACGAAAATTAATGGTATCTGCGCCACGGAACATGTAACGATTCGTGGTTCCACCACAATTTCGGATGGGTTTACGACCTGTGGAAACCTCACCGGGCAGCACAGTACATGCACATTCATTAATTATCAAATATGTAATAAATTGGTTATAACTTGAAACTATTTTTTTGCGCAGTGTGCCTCAGCTTTCATGCGGTTGGATCCATTGAGATTGAAACATTGAGCAGTTTACCATCCGCAATTTGGGCGACACAAATTTCATGCAATTCTTCCTTATTGCGTAATTAATATATGTGTATTAGCATATTTGTACACACACTGTGGAATTATTTGTGCGTGTCATCTAATTTGCATATGTAATTCAACGCATTCGCGAGAGGCAGAGATTATTCTATGTCTCTATGAGATTATTGGAAAGCCGATATCGCCGAAAATTAGATAGTGAGATTTATGCAAATACGGTGATAATAAGTAGATAACAGTACAGTATGTAGTAATTTTCCGCTAATTATGACAAATTTTCAGCCCCAAACAAGTCGTGTCTTCAATACTTCAACGCCAATCATGGAATCGTGAAAAGTTTTGATTTTCCAACCCAACAACAGAGTAGTCAGCGATATACCGTTTGTGTGGGGGGATCCGACACCAAATCTATTACGGTAAGGAGAAAAACGTGGTTATAATTTTTTAATAGTCAGGCCATTGAAATAAGGTACATAACAATTAATTTCGAAATTTTTGAATCCCAACTGCTATTCGAACCTTCAACAATTTTTTGAGATTTTGTATCAAAAACTACATTTCACGATCCGTGAACGGAATTCCGAGGTCGACTCATCATATTTCCTATCCCGCCGAAAGATCAGTGAAATTGGTGTCGCAAAATTTGTCGGCGTTGACCTCTGAGCACGGTTATCTATTAAAAAAAATTTCGCATATGTAGATTTTAAATTTATCCACAGTGGCGACCCTGTTCTGCGAAAGAGACTAAGGGCCAGAACCCCTTCAGCATAGTCACCAATCCGTACGGACCCTCATCCAACCCGGACTTGTGGATTTGTCGCCCAGATCGCGACTGGGTTCAAGTCAACGGTGATAACCAAATGTGCAAGTCGGACGATTTTGAACAGAATTTTGGAATTGAATGTAAGTACGCATTAAAATATTCAATTTGACTCTGTCTCTACGAACGATCCGACCACTTTGGTAATATTTATTACCAAAGTGGTAGTGCTGCGTATGTATGTTTATGTGTATCATATGCCATTTTTACAAGAAATGCTTAATATTTAAAACCACATTTAAAACCGGCTAATGAACAATTGTTCATTAGCCGGTCGGTCCACGTCAATACCCACGATCGGGCGAGAGTCATGAGAGCGGAGATGTTGTCTCTCCACTCCGAGCGACACTACTGATGGTGGTGCTCACCAGCAGTGGGCGTAGCACGTACTAACTTTTTAAATGTCGACGCGGTCATAACTACATTTTTTTAGTCACATTTTTTTAACTCAGCGTTAAAAATAATCTTTACTGGTATGACATTTGAATTTTGTCGCTGAAAGTTGTGTTTACGCCTCTTGTTTTTTGATAATTTTTGGGAATATTCCCATACATAAGCTTGTATGTTTTAATGCGTGTCAGAAAACTCGATATAATTTTTTGCACCCTGTCGTGTGCGTCCCAATTTTTTTATGGTGGATTAGAAATTTAAAATTACGTTATAATTTATGAAATTTGGGTTGCACACGACAGGGTGCAAAAAGTTATAGCTGTTTGAAGTTACCATTACAAGATGGCTAGAATTCAAATTTTTCAAATTTTTTAAATTTTAGAATTTAGTTTATAGTGCCTACAACAACTTTTAGGTTTAGAAAAACCTTCCCAAAATTACGTGACACTCAGTGCATCAAACGGAAAATTTTTCTTAAATTTTTTACAAATTTAAATTCTCGGCCAATTTCTAACATAGAATTTTTATTTGTTCACTAATAACTTTATTTAAGTAGTATGTGTTTATGGTAAAATTAGCCCTAAAATCTGAGACGTGGCCCGCAACACATGATTGACATTGACGTGGACCGACCCCAATGAGACAATTCACGTACTTAGTTTTTGGGGTAACATTGTAAAATCCACAAATTCTGTAAATTTGTCTGTAACTTTTACAAAATTTTACGAATATTTCTAATAATTTTGGATTCTCTAAATATTGCAGTGTAATAATTTTTTAGTGTAACTGTAACACTTGACTGTTTTTGAAGATTTATATGTTGCTATGTGAACACTTAGGGCCCCACCCTGCGCAATTGCCCCAGGTGCCATCCCGAAAATGGGGGCCTGGCCCTACCTGATTGTTATGTTTGTTAGAAAATTATTTGCAATGCAAATTTCCACGAGACTTATATATGAATATATTTTTCGTACATTTGTACATACAGCCTACTTCGTCCCATTTTTGCTTAATGTGAACTTTAACGAAATCGAAAATCAGGACCTGCCCTGTCTCGAACAGATTTCGCAAGTACCAGAACCTTTGTGCACACCGGACCTCACAAATTTGCCTGTATGCATTATCGCCAATTACGACCAATGTTTCTGGAATTCCGCGGAAACACCCGGTTTCTGTGAATGCGACCCTAAACCGAGCGTCTTAATCGGCTTGGAAAGAGGTTTTTACAATACGGGATTTTGCCTCGAGTATGAGCAATGTCTTTAATGGGAAAACAGCATTTCAGATATTCTATATGAAACAATCTTGTGTAAATCGTGGATAAAAATATGTCTGATAATAATAAAAATATTTAAATTTATATTTAAACAATATATTTAGCTTGTACTGTTTATTTTCCATCAATTTATATTTATTTTCTAATGGAAGAAAAAAATCAAAATTCTATTCTAGTAACATTTTAAGTAAACGTAAAAAAATTATCGATGTTCAGGGACATTTAATAAAATCATTATCATCTCATAAAAAAACGCATGGCAATGAACACGTGTCAAAATCGCTATTTGAATACAAAGAAGAAGGGAAAGTTCAGAAACAAAAATTCAGACTCCAAACCCCCATCAATGGAATGTGGGGTAAGGTGAGACACTTCCAACAAATAAACAGCACCGTGTTCAAAAACCGCACACTTTGCCCTGACACATCACACATCGCATCTCGTCAGCAGGTATGTTTGTAAATAATTAATTAAGTAATTCTGTATTATGTATTACGTAGGTGGGTAGTACTACCCACCTACTTAATACATAAGTTAATCAATGCCGATTTTATAAAATCTTTAACAGATCATTCACCAAGAAGCACAAAATAACATAAATCAGTAAAAAAAAAGTTGTCCCTTATTAATTCCGAATATGGACATTGATAATGAGGTACATAGGCAACATTTCTAATTTGTTTTTGCAAAGTTGACAGAATTTAATTGAATTTCATTAATTAGGTCGGAATCCCTTTTCTGGATAGCCCGGTCGGCACTGCGCTGGAAGTGGTAAGAGAGTTACGCCAGTTTGATCTTTTTATCAGAATTTTATTATTATTTTTAAGAAATTTTGGTGTCACATGTTTGTATATTTCGCCCCCGAAGGAAATAAAGGACGTGCATATTGTGTATTTCGTCTTCAATAGTTTTGCTCTAAGTTAAATAACTTAAGTTTTTTCTCCTCTGATTTTTCAGCCGGACATCATCCTAAAACCGCCCAGCAATCTGAACCCTGACTATGCAAAGGTATGCTTCGACATGAAGATGGAAACTTACACCACGTTCTTCATCGATTTCCACGCCATTATCGCCAACTACGAATCCGCCATTGCCAACGCCATCAACGAAACCGGAGCCTTTGGTATCGTCTATAAAGACAAGTTCGAAAACCTGCTCATCGGATTGGCTGATCGCCCCAAGAACTTGAAGATGGGCGTGGTTCAAGACATCGACGAATTGACCACTTTCTGTCGAGCCGTCACTGCTGGGTGGCTTCTGTGGCCCGATTATTGGCTCGGATTGCAGAAGATTGTCGACTACTTGGCGAATGACGTCGTGATCGAGGACGTGAAACGAATGGATCGCGAATTTTTGTTGATTTTGAAGAAAATCGCGACGCACGAGGTATGGCCAGACGCATATGTACATACCTGTTCACTTTTTCATTCACTTGACTTATTAGAAAGTAGGAAATTCATTTTCATTCACTTGACTGATTAGAAAATATGAAATTAATTTTCATTCACTCATTCATTTTCATTTCCATGAAATGAACTTGAACGAAAATGACTGAACGTGAATGAAAATGTTCAGTTCAGTCGGAAATCGGGACGACTGACTTTTGAATGAAAACTAAATTTGTGAACAGGAATGGCCGAACGATCCCGTCCTTGGAGCCGGAATAGCGTCGCAAGCCAAGAAGATCGTTTTTCGATACAAATCGACCACTCCCGAGGACAAAGAGCTGCTTCATGTGAAAACCATGCCAACCGTTTGGTCTGCCGGCGTCACCCCGAAGGAGGACCATGTCGGGAAGAGGATCTGCGATGGAGTCGACTGTCTGGAAGTGGAGGGGAAAACGGCGACCTTTTCCCGCTGCGGGAAATGCAGGAAGGTCGCGTATCATTCGAAAGAGTGTCAGGGAAGGGCGTGGAAATCGGGGCATAGGAGGGAGTGCAAGCCTCCGGGGAAATAAAATTGTATTTCAATCTTTGTAAAATTGGGATTTGTTTAAAATTAATGAATAAAAAACGTCCCAGAATTTGGTGCATATGATGCAATTTATGAAAATCAAGGTGTTTTAATGAAATGACTAATTCGAAGGACGTATCATATCGAGAAATACATAAGTGCATGTCTCTGCCTCAGATTTCAGATTTATTAAAATCAGTTACGAGTTCATTTAGAATATCTTCCAAACAAATAAAATTCGTACAAAGTAATAAAAATGTAGATAAACGCACGTGTCGAACTTAAATATAAATAGATACAATCTTAAATAATAGTCAACTCATGAATTTCTACATATGTATGTTATCAAATTCTAATCCACCACAACCGGTAGAGAAAGAGTCCAATTAAAATAATTTTCCGGATCCCACTTCGCCTTACAGGTCACTAATCGGTCAAAATTCTCGGCATAATTCCGCTCAAAGTGATCATCCAAATCTAAATCCGGGTAGTTCTGGTACGTCTCACCCGAATCGAAGCTTCGTCCCGCCTCCCACAAACCGTACAACCAGTCCAAGTCCCCCCAGGGGTCGCCATACTGCGGAATAGCTTCCACATTCAGGTAAAAATTAAACAGAGCGTCACGATGAACGTACGCCGTCTCAGTCCGCCCCACCGCCGAAATTCGGCTACCTTCCGTACTAATCAGAATCCAGGCCCGGTTAAGCGGGATCTTTTGAATGAGGTCGTACAAGCCTTGAATCTCGTCCAAAGTGAGATTTCTCTTGACGAAGAAGGACTTCGTTTTAAGAAATCGCTCCACCGCCATTTCTTTCTTGAGGAAGAGGAGCCGCTTGAGTTGGACGGCTTCAAAGGCTTGGGGAGATGAGCCCACGGGGGGATAAGCGAAGGCGGGATCTTGGTTCAAAATGGGGTGGGAGATGCGGCCAATTTGAACGGTGGTGCCGTTCGAGAGGGGGAAATTGACGGGGGTGTAGTACAAATCGTAGGAGATGAAGTCCAGGTAGGTGGGGAATTTTACCGGGAGGATACGCGGTTTCGGGTCACTATGTCCTGATCCGAAGATAAGATCGATCCCGGCGAAAAAGTTGTCGGATGAGGCGGGGTTAATGGTGGAGTCTTGAATGTGGTATAAGCCGATTTCGAAGCCGGGGATGTAGTAGGGAAATTCGGAGGTGTAGTTCTCTAGAAAATAAATATGTGTGTAAAAATTATGAAACATTTTGGGGATTTGGATTTCTTGGAAATTTTGGGTCGGAAATTTTGGAAATATTATATTTGGAAATTGTGTAACAATTCTTTCAGTGCAGTACTTAGTAACATTCTAAAATCCGTGAATTTTGTAAACTGACAAACTTTTATAAATATTTCCAAGCAAGATTGGCGTCTGTTAATTTTGTACAATTTTATAAAATTATCTTACAAAACGCACGAATTTTGCAGGTTATCAAAGACTGCGTAATCTTAAAGCCAAATTAAACTATCTGTTAAAATATTTAAGAGATAGTTTTTAACTTAAAAACTATCCAAATTTAAACGACATAAAAAGGACGTTGAAGTCTTTCCAAAAATGGATAAAATTCCTTATTCCAAATTTTAAAACCCATTCCAACTAAAGTTATGTAATACCCCCCAAAGAAAAAAAACTCACCATGACCAATCCCGCTTACAAGTAGGATATTCGGCTCGTTAACCCTCGCCCATTCGACCCACTCTTGCAAATCATTCATCGCCGTTACAAACTCCTTCAGATGTGCATACCGGATCGACACGAAGGTAACATTGATATTCGAAGCGTCGAAAGTTTTCATCTTCAGCGAGGTCACCATCCCAATAAAACCCGGTCCGACGCCCCTCAACGCCCAGAAAAGGTCCGAATTAGTGACCTCATTCGCCACCACGGCGTCCCCGGCAGACGTCACCATTTCAAACTCGACCACACTGTCGGTCGCGAGACCATACATGGCGTCCATATAGCCGACCCCGCCACCAAGCGCGTTGCCCCCGATGGCCACGGTGAGACACATGCCGGCGGGAATGCCTCGTTTTCCCGCCATCCAGAGTTTCGCGTAGACCGTGGCGAGCAGCGCGCCGGGCTGGATTTCCGCCGTGATCCCGTCGTCCAGCAGGGTCACGGAGGTCATAAGGCGGAAATCGACTATAATTGTGGAGTTGGAACCGTACGAGAGTGATTCGTAGGAATGTCCCCCGCTGTTTGGGACGAGCGGGATGTGGTTCGCGAGACCACACCGGACCATATTTTGCACGTCGGAGGTGCACGTGGGGAGGAAGTAGGCGGGAGGGTAGACCTTTTCGTGGCGGGTGTTCCATTGGTGGTTGACGACTTCGTAGTAGGTCGGGTGCGAGAGGGGGTCGATGAGGTAGGTGTAGGGGTCACTGCCCAGGGAAGAGAGACAATCTCGAAGGAGGGGGAGGTTTATGGGGGCTGGCTGTGAAAAGGGAAAGAAAATTAAAAAATAATGAGTGGTTTAATTGGTTTAAATATCTTGGGTATATCCTGAGTTTGAAAGTAGTATTTCAGATTTTGGGAAATTTTCGTAAAATTGGTTATTGAGACTTTGCAAAAATTGGTTTTAAAATAAGTTCTAAGTCGGATTAGAAAAAATTGGAAAATATAACCCTTTCCCAAAATTGAGGTTTTCCATTATATGAATGTAAAACTTTTCATAAAACACAGGTTTTTAGCAAAAATTTATAACCCGGTTTTTGTCAATAATTTAAAAGGGTTGGTAATAAGTTGTAAAAATCTAAACTAGTATTCGCAAAAATCGAAACCCGTTATTAAATCTTATCCTACATACTCACTTCGCATCTTTGATTAGTAGTGGATCCCTTATGTGGGAAAATGTGGTCCTGACGATGAGACGCTCCAGCTACGTAAAAAAATCAAACTTCTGAAATTAACGTACATTGAAATTTTGAATTGAAATTTATAAAATTCTTCCCAGCCTTAATTTATTCGCGTACCAAAAGTTAGGACAGAACTATACAAGATTAAGACGAACAAATTCGATGCTATCTTCTTAACATTAAAAGCCATTCCGAGTTTTTTTAGAAATATTGTACAAGTAGTTTCGTGGCGTGTGTATGTATGTATGTTTGGAACAAGACTGAAGCATTTTTCTGGAATACTAGCATCTTCTATACATTTCGAAGGTCTATTTTTACAATTTTTAAGGGACCCTGTCATAAAATGTGGCATAAAGTAAGATATACGTACTTGTGTGCATGCATATGTAAAACACGCGGTGAGCCCTTCACAGTGAAGGGTATACGCAGAAATGTAGGTCGCATTACACAAAAAGGGTAAAAATCCTTTGTGGAATTCTTGAGCTCGAGTACATAAAGTGGAAAATCACTAAATGTGCCATGGAAGGGCTCATTGTCTTCTGAAAAACGACCAGAAATGGATATTAATCCGTCTCATAAACTTTGGAATTTTTTAAAGTGCACGCATTTGCTTAAAGTAATATGTATTGGGTTGGAATAGTTAAAATATTTATGTACATATGTATGTAAGTATGCATTTAATATGTTACCAAAATTAGGGTTTAGGTATATCAAATTAACTACGTATGTATATTTGCTATCGAGTGACACTAATTTTTTTCAAAACTCGGAGAGTATACGCCGGAAGACGTCCATTGTTATTAGATTTTGCCTTATTTTTTTATCAATTACTCGGTACTCCGGCGTCCGAAATTTCCGACCGAAATTTGCGCTTCCGATCAAAAACTTCCGCTTCTGCTGCCCGGAAGCTATTTCCGACAGCACCTCCATAAATTCGACGTTGCCTCCGCGGGACGACAAGACATACATACATACATACATTTTGTAAGCAAATACATATGTACATATGCATCATACAATGTATGATGTATATGTACATAATGTATTTGTTTATATATGTATGACATACATACACATATATTTTGACACTCACGGGGGCATTTGAATGTCAAATATACTCTTGTATGAATGAACATATTTACACATGAAATGCTGCCCAAAAATTAGATTCTGTAGAGGTAGTATTTTATTTATTGTACGAATGAACAGGTACAATGGAATTGCATAAATCATTTGCATGCATAAATCTCAATATGCCCATTTTGTTCATAACGATCATTCTTGCTGAATAAACTCTTTGTCTCTCACTAATGCGTTAAAACAAAAATATTATGCAAATGAGAATGACTGCAATCACTCTCGACCTAAAAATTATTTTATCCGCAAATATCTCAATTTCGAGTATGTTACAGTCTGTAACTTACAGAATATGTATGTAACTCCACTTCCATAAAGTAAACCAGTAGCCGCGCGCAGTTGAAAAGAACCAGGTTCGTAAGCAGAAATACAAATCTCGTCAGGAGGTAATACTTTAAATAATTAATTACTACTTCTCCTTTTGTGGAATTTAATTAATAACGAATTTATAAAATCTTAAACAGATCATTTACAGACTGAGTAAGCACACAATAATAAAAAGTTGTTTCGTCGACATGGGTGATGTTAATGCGGTACATACATTTCTATTATTTCTAAATTTATGTTCTTAAACTTAAATTTAATTGTATTAATTCGTTAATGAATTAGATTGACACCTCTGAGCTGAATAGGGAGGTCGGCACGGTGCTGAAAACGGTAATGGTTTGTTTTCCTGTAATATTAATGAAATTACACCTTGTGCATGAATTTTGGCTTTAGAATGCTTTCCACTTTACCTTGTCCAATTGTAAATAAAATGTGCATTTATTTGTTCATTATTATAATTAAACTTGTGTAATTAATTAATCTTCTATATTGTTCGTTAAAAAAATCGAATAAAATCCGAAAATTTTTCTAAATTTAAATTTTTCTCATATCTGCCAGATAACCTCTCAGATTTAATTTTAATTATGTTTTTTTCTCTGCCATGCACACAAACTCTGCCAGATAACTGCTCGCATTTTTTGTTTAAACGGAAAGCAGCAAACCTAACTAATTTTGTAATTTTTCTCCAATTTTTCAGCCGTACCATCTCACCGAAACGGATCGTCACCTGCCCCCAGAATTCGCCAAGATCTGTTTCGACCTCAAGGTGCAAAAGTACACCGTCATCCTCGTCAAATTCCACGAGGTGATCGCCAACTACGAGGCTTGCATTATCCAAGCCGCCACGAAAACCGGAGGCATTGGTTTCGTCTACAAGGGAAAGTATGAAAACCTGCTCGAAGGATTACAAGATCGTCCCAAAGACCTAAAAATGGACGTGGTTGAAGGTTACGACGAGCTGGCCACCTTCTGCCAGGCGGTCATGGTCGGGTGGCGTCTTTGGCCCGATTATTGGGTCGGATTGCAGAAAATTGTCGACTATTTGGCGAATGACGTCCTGGTTGAAGACGTGAAACGGATGGAACGCCCATTCGTGTTGATTTTGAAGGAAATCGCGCTTCACGAGGTATGGCTGAACGTAGACCTGTTCACTTTCATTCATTTGACTGATTATGATAGTGAATGAACATGAATTTTTCATTCATTTGAGTAGAAATTTCACTATTTCACTCATTTGAGTGAAGGATAGTGAATGAAAAAGAATTTCCTACCACTTAAATGAAAATAACTGAAGAATTCCGTCATTTCAAATGAGTGACTGTGAATGAAAGGAGTTTTCACTTCTTTCATGTTCACCCTATGCTTAATACATGAGCCGACATAAGAAGTAAAATGAAATGAAATGAATTTGAACTAAAATGACTGAACGTGAATGAAAATATTCAGTCGGAAATCAGGATGACTAACGTTCAGGGTATTCCGACCTGGGTTTTAATGGGTTGGGTTTTATTGGGTTGTAATGGGTTTTAATCGAGTTTTACCTTAAAACTATATTCTAAAAGTTAAATACATCTCCTATACGTTAGAAGACGTTATCTCAATTCATTCTAAAGCAGTTTATTTCATTACTATCATAATAGATGAAAGTTCGGAGCAACAATTGACTCCATTCTTTAGCATCACAGATTTCAAGTGTTGTAAAACAAAAATAATTTCCGAATAGATACAAATTCCGAATAATTTTTGTTAAATTATTACTTAAAACTATTAAAACCCAATAAAACCCATTTAAACCCAATAAAACCCAATAAAACCCATTAAAACCCAAATAAAACCCAATTAACATGGTAAAACCCATTAAAACCCATGGGTTTTATAATTTTTGATTAAAACCCTGGGTTTTTCCGAACCCTGCTAACGTTTGAATAAAAACTTAATTTTTGAACAGATGTGGCCGACCGATCCCGTCCTCGGCGCCGGGATAGCGTCTCAAGCTAAGAAAATCGTTTTTCGGTACAAATCCACCTCTCCCGAAGTTACGACGCTTCTTCACGTCAAAACCATGCTGACCGTTTGGTCTGCCGGCGTCACTCCGAAGGGGGATCATGTCGGGAAGAGGATTTGCGACGGGGTCGGCTGTCTGGAAGTGGAGGGGAAAACGGTGACGTTTCCCCACTGCGTGAAATGTAAGGTGGAGGTCTATCATTCTAAAAGGTGTCAAAAGAAGGCGTGGCAAGCGGGACATAAAAAGGAGTGTAATCCTCCGGGGTAAAATAAGATTGGTAAAATGGTTAAATAAATAAATTGGATTTCAGTTTTATTTACATTATGTACGTTTAGAATGTGTGAATAAATACATCCTATGGGATGATAAATTTTTGAAATTAGTGTATTCTTAGTGGAATAATTGATCAATTTAAGTAGTCATTAGTGCGTAATATTAATAAATTTGAGGTGTCTGCACAGCCGAAGAAATGATTTTGCATGGGGGCGACAAGTTTCAAAATAATGAGGAAGTTACCGGCGCATGCTAACATTTTTATCCCCATGCTGGAAACGGTCATATTTATAAATGTGTTGGGGAACATTTATATATTCGTCGGAGCGATGGCGTGTTTAGGGGCCGTCCATAAATTACGTAACGCAAGAGGGGGGGAGGGGGGGTCATGGGAAGTGCGTTACGAATTGTTATGAAGGGGGTGGGGGGTATAAAAAATTTGTTACGTAACACATTTAATAAACTCGACTAAAATTCGCCAAATAGGATACGCCGAGCATATTGAATTCATGTCATCCAAAGGGTTTTGTACGCATGTAAATATACATTTTTCATTAGTTTTCCAGGTGTAAATTGAGAAAAGGTTGCATTACAGTGGGGAATTTTAGGCGGAACCGGTCAAGAAAGGGGGGGGTAACGAGTCCATCGTTCAATTCTGTTACCAAGAAATATACCAAAAAATCTAGTTTATTTTTACATAGATATGTACAACCAGATCAATTCATTTGCTTCATTTTGAAATATTTAAGTGCAAAGTTGTCACAAATTTTCTAGCTCAATGCAAAAAAGTTTGCGGTCAAAAGTTTGACCTTAAATATCTCAGAATGGAGTAACCGAAATAACCTGGTTATACAGGTAAAAATAAACTGGATTTTTGGCTCTATTTTGTGGTAACAGAATGAGAGATACCCCCCTTTCCTTTCATCGGTGCGGCCCCAAAATTCCCCACAATGCATTGCGAATGCTAAGTAAATCACCTGCGGTGAAATCAAATTTATGTTACGTTACGAAGGGGGAGGGGGGCGGGTAGTCGAGAAGCGTTACGATGCCGTTACGAGAGGGGAGGGGGGGTCTAAAAAATGACGATTTTTGCGTTACGTAATTTATGGACGGCCCCTTATGTATGTCGCCATTGTTTTATATTTTCAATGCAGTTGACTTTTCCTTGCAATTGACCTCTTTCCCGTGCAAATGAATGCTAAAATTTTAAATTTCTCTTCATTCTGTCCCTACTCATGCGACTTGCCAGCAACTATCCAAGTTTGGTCCCATTCTGGAAATCTTCCTCGAGTTCACCTGAATTTGGTAAATTTACATGTTTAGCCAAATTCATACATATTTCTCAAAGGTTTCCAAAGAGATGGTGACGACCATGAGATTGCGGAATTTCATCTTTGCATATATTTACTCTTACAGAAATGATCTTGACGCTGAATTTGCTCGTTCTCGCGTCCATTCTGGCCCAAGGACAGGGGGCCTGTACGTGTCTCCCTGCAGACAGAGTGGCTGCGACGGTCGGACCCTCAACTCGCTAATACATAAAATTTGGCCTCGAATTTGATGTACGCCCCGATCTCATATGTAATATGTGACACAGAACGGAAGCTGGTACCGCTTGGTATCAAAATTATACCGGTCCGTCAAAACTCCCTACCGGTATGGTAAAAATTTCATACACTCTCACCAATTTCGTGACACGATTGATACCGGTGGAGGTACTAAATATGCAATTTTACCGCGTGGTAACGCTATTCTTATGTCATAATAAGTTGTTTTCTGAGGGTAAGAAATTACCCACGGGGCTGGTAATATTTTTATTACTAGAGCGTTGACAGTAGGGGTTGAGAAGGATTTAGCCTCTGTATGTACATATGTTATATACCCTTCGGTGATAAATTATTACCGAATCGGGAAAATTGCATAATACTTCCGCCGGTTACATTCGTACCAAAAAATTATTGAGAGTAAGGTTAAAATTATCACTGAAAAGTTATAAGTACCACGTTGATGGAGTCGCATACATATGTATGAATACCGCTTGGTGTTATCTTAATACTTGATTTCTAAGAGTGTGGAGCTTGAAGGGGCGCCAAATTTAAATGTTTTCTCCGCAATTGTGTAGGAATATGAGGGGAAGGAGGTCCACTTTTGCGGGCGCAGCTAATCGGGGACACCTGCAAGGACGGGAAGAAAGATATCGTCTACAAATGCACGGCCCCCGACCAGCCTGCCGTCGAAGTGTTCAGATGTCCCAAACGTTGCAACAGTATAACTGATGTCGGCGCGGGGCCAAAGAGTACCAGGGTCAGCTGCGGATTTCAATCATTCTCATCGGCATAGGTGACAAATTCCAGTGATGGTAGAAAGTCAGATGGAGAATTACTTTATACTTATTGTTATTCTTTAGAAAATAAAATCCAAAATTTGTATCCTTCCTAATTGAATTTCGTATAATTTATCTCATCAAAGAACGCTATTTTTAAAGGCAAGTGGGGGTGGATTTGGGTGGGGGTGGGGGTGGAATTATAAATGCCGCAAAATTTCTGGGTTACAGATTCACAAAATGATCATAAAAATGCAAGTGTCGCAATTTGATAATCGAATTATTTGTGCTAGCTAGTCACCTCATTTGCATATGTTGACGCTTTCGTGAGAGGCATAGAGTTTGTTAAATATGGAAACTCCGTATCGTAGAAAATGGGCATAGTGAGATTTATGCAAATGAGGAGGCACGCCTAGAAAGAGGATCGTACATACATAATTCGACCAGAGAGCATAATATGCTCTATATATATTATACATACATCAAATATAAAACTATGTATGCAGAGGCAACCCATCCAGTCCATTTCATCGCTATGATTCTGCCAACACTTATGTACAGCCCGAATGTTCAATTGGCCGGCTTATCAATTTGTGATAACAGTATATAGATAACAAACTCTTCTCCGCGACACACATACGCATTTCATTCCTGTCCTCTAAAACATCTCGAAAAATATTCTGTGCAGAAAAATTTACATACGTAATACCATGGCCACCGCCACAGATTTTCTAGATACCGTAACAAAGTACACATCCTACCTGGGCCATGGTTCCTACGGATTTGTAGTAAAGGCAGAGCACAAAGACAAAACTTGCACCTGCATAAAATTCATTTATCCGACAGAAGACGAAAAGTTATTACTTCAAACTCAGCGGGAGCGCAGTTTAACAATCAAACTTCCGGAACATCGACACATTGTCACGATTAAGAATTCCATTGACAAGCGAGATTTTAATCCGACGTTTTCAGCCTTTGCCCGAAAGAAGTTAAGGGCAAATGGGAGGACAAACTAGCAAAATTAAAAGAATTGAGATGGACTTGTATTCAGATGGAGCTCTGTGGAAAGAATTTATCAGACTGGCTACGCCACCCGGGAATAACAATTGACTCAATATTCATCCAACTAAAGCAAATTAAAATTATTGAAGGTATAGTTTCCGGTTTGAAATTTCTACACAGCAATAAAATTATTCATCGCAATTTGAAGCCCGCCAATATTATGTTCCACTCGAAGTATGCTCCCCATAAAAATAGGAGATTTTGGTCAGTGTCGCACACTACTCAATAATGACAACCATACTTTGACTAAAAGTAGCATTGGAACTCGTGTATATAGGGCGCCGGAAGTTTTAAGTGGAAAATATTCCTATCAGTCTGATTTGTTTTCGCTGGGATTAATAATTTGGGAGGTTGTGGATTTAATTAATGAGAGTGAAATTAGTAGTCTATTTGACAGACTAATTTCGGATCGAGCAACCCAACTAGTCAAGCAAGAGCATCCTCTAATCGGAAAAATTGGCTTCGAGCTCGTTGTCAATTTAGTGAAAAGAAATATTACGGAAAGATATAAAACCATGGAGGACGTTGAGAAAATAATTGACAATTGGAAATCGGTACAAATCATGGATAAAGCAGTAACATGCCGCACTGGAGAAGATTTGGAACTGTGCTTGTCATTTCCCTCCCAGAATTGTATCATACTCTTGGAAGAAGGTGATTTTCAAGGTCATTTCATCGTTTCACACGACAACGTAAGAATCCTGGGACAAGGAGTACACAAAACGAGGATTAAGTCATCATTCAGTTTCGATATTTGTGGAAATGACTGCTCAATTTCGAATTTGTCAATATCGCCAACCAACACCTTGGACTTTTCCCTTAACATTAAGGGGTCACGTAACAGATTGGAAAGCATTATTGCCCGTGGGATTAATGTGAGCGGCAATGAATGCACCTTAACTAATATAAATGTTCATAATGTCGTCCGTGGAATTCAAATTTGTGGAAGTCATAACCATATTTATTATGTAAACTTTACAAATATTGCGGATCAATATATTGCGCTGGGCGATAATTCAGAGAACTGTACAGTTTCTGGCATGTCAATTAAGGATAGTGGAAAATTTGTCTTAGAGCGTGGAACCAGTCGTCGAGTAGTAACAGATGATATAAACAATCCCAACCAACGTGGCGAAAGCATTGCAGAAGGTAAATTTTTTGCGATTAAGGAATTCGAAAGCGGACGATTTTGTAAAGCTGGTTGTCGAGTTTGGTGTTCTCAAGCCGATTTTTTACTAAATATACTTAATTAAAAATTTAATATATTTATAATCACGTATAAAATACAAAAATTGGGAGAGTAATTTCTAGAACCAGTATTTCAGAATTAATTGTTTTGTACAACAAGAAATATTAAATACCCTACGGTACCCCAGCAAAAGTTTAAAACCCTCAAAAGTGGTTCGGATCTTAATTGTAAGTTTTTGCATACATATGTATACAGATGAGGCTCAGAAAGATTGTGGTTAGGTGGGTTCGGTTCCTATTTTGTAAAATGCCAAAAATGTAAAAGGTCATATTTTTGTTTACTTAGAAGGTTATTTCTCAGATACCACTAGTAATTGAATTGATTAGTAGTTTTATTTTGTGTTTTGATAGGCCAACTCTTTGCTTCTGTACGACTTTTTAAGAACAAAGTTAGTTATTTTTGAATAAACTGAATTTGAAAAGTTTAACATTGCATTTATGGAAGTATTTAGCAAAATCGTTAAAATTCGCCCTTGTAAAAAATTAAAAACTTGTTCAAAAAATCCTATAGATGCGAGCAAGATGTCGAAATGTTTAGGATGAGTAGGACTATTAACATGAAAATAGCTACGTATATAATTTTCAAGCTAAATGAAATGACGAAATAATCGGTCTATATACGCATCTGCAACTTGACAACCCAAGTAAATACACAAAAAAATATTGAAATGACGCACATTGCATTATGTATTAGTCGGGGACGTGTTACAATATTCCCAGTGGGTGTAAGCCCTTGAAATGTATGCAAATTTTGGTTCAAGGGAACAAAATGAATGCGTCCAAAAAATGTTTACCGACCGCACTCCTTGTTGGGGAGTTACTCCCCAGGGGGTGTGGCTCAGAACTTTTTATATTTTCGGAATCAACACCCCGTTCTGACTCTACGTAAATTCAAAGCTTTGTGGAAAATAACCCTGGTTATTTTTCAAACTAGAAGTCCTCCGATTTTGGAAGCCTAATTTAAAACAATTTATTTCACGGTACATATTTTATTGTTTTCAGCCTCAAAGGATACTTCCGACCTGTTCAAAAATATTGACGCCAAAATTTCCGAGCTGCACAAAACTGCTATAGTCAAATACAGGAATGGATTTAAAGAAAGACAAATCCATGCTCAAAGCGAGGAGGAACTGAAGAAAACACACGAAACCGTGTCATCCATTGTTTTAGACGAGTTTGAACACAGTTTTGTAGAAATCGGAGATATGCAAAGGTTCAGGCAGCAGAAAGTTGCTTTACAATCCGAACTCCAAGATTTGCATAGAAAATATTTGAACGATTTCCTTGCACGTGACGCGAAGACTAGACACGAAATTAACAAAATCTTGGAAAATTACAAGACCCAGGTACAATCTGGATTGGATCCATTTTATTGCGTCTCGGATTCAAAATTGAAAGCTCTTCATGAACTCGCTTTCTCCGAAGCGCTAAAACAATATCAAAAATCGATTCAGGTGACAAAATCTTCAAACTCAAATAACAACCTCTATGATAATCTCCTCAGACGAAAACTGGACGAGACCTTTAAATTATTCGAGAGTGAAAATATCGCCAAAAATACAATTGCGGGCCTTAACGTGATTGGAATCTTGAATGAACCTGCAGCCGCAGCAATTGCATACGGTTTGAATTACACGGACGACGAGTCAAGAAATATCTTGGTGTATGACTTGGGTGGTGGTGTCTTTGATGTTTCGGTTTTGACGGTGAAAGAGTGTGATATCAATGTTCGAGCAGTTGGAGGAGATAACCACTTGGGAGGAGAAGATTTCGATACGAACATGCTCACCCATTGTGTCCAAGAGTTTCAAAAGGCGCACAATATCCAGCTTGACAAGGTTGGGAATGAACGTGATAGAAATTCACGACTTCGACGAATCAGAGCAAAATGTGAAAAAGCAAAGATTAGTCTTTCGTCTTCGCAAACAATTATAATTTCTATTGATCGAATTTATGAAGACTACCATTTGCAAGTGGAAATTACAAGACGGAAGTTTAATGAATTGAATGAACACTTGTTTAAAAAAACAATAACAATAGTTACGAAAGCATTAGAAGATGCCAAAATGGAGGCAGAAGCAATAGATGACATTGTTCTTGTTGGAGTGTCCACAAAGATTCCCAGAGTTCGGGAAATTCTGCAGGTATATTTCAAGGGGAAAAAGTTTCATTTTGCGATCAATCCGAAAGAAGTGGTGGTAAGTACATGTGTGTGCACATTAAATTGTGTTTGTAATATTGCTAATGAAAATTTTGACAAGTTTGGTTGAATTTATGTAAAAACTTGTAGGGATTTTATCTCAATTTTAAATTTTGGAATTTGTAAAATTTTGTCTAGGCACGGGGAGCTGCTATTGTGGCGGCGATGAAAAGTGCTGAGAATTTAAAGGAACCTGGAAAAATTTAGGTAATCATCATAATTAATTACATATCAAATTCTACACAATTACATGTGAACGTTATTTGCATATGGAAATAAATGTAATCTTCCAGACTTTAATACACCATAAATTTACCTATTAACCTGCACTTGTAATTGGTTCGATTGAATTATGATTTCTTTTGGAGGGAAATTTTTGTTATCCTCACTGCGACCATCATTCTAGCAAAAAATTCCCTTGAATACGATATTAAATTCAAAACTCCATCTACATATGTAATAGCAACCAATTAAATTTCCATGATTTCCTATAAAAGACCAATACATATTTGTTCAACCAGTTTCCAAGTTTTGAATTTTTTGCCGAAAATAACGTAAAATCCACTTCCTAACGTTGGTCGGTATAGGGAAAATTTCAAAATTTTAGAAGAAAAATATGGAAAAATTCCACTTTTTACCATCCAGTTTTCCACAAAATGCCAAAGAAACACTCGTATTTTGAGAAATTTTGAGAAATCTGAATTTTTTTCAAATATGCGATATGGCGTATTTGGTTCTCAAGGGGCTTCCGTCATGGTACTTGATGGTACATTATACGATGAATTTGGGCACGGAGGGGATTTTAAAATAATACGAGATATGTATGACGTATTTGGTCTAAATGAGGTTAAGGTTACAATTCACTTTAATTTTGTTTGTATGTGCTTGCAGGACAAATAAGGAAGCAAAGGTTGTAATACGATACCAACGACACCACGATTAACTTTTTCTCTCTATAAATTGTGCATAAATAGTAAATTCTGACTTTAATTAAATAAATGTAGTACTAATTATTGTGTCAGTGTAGCTTGGCAATGTTGAATTTACATTATGTCATACCTGGTTGGGAAAACGAATACCGAATGCACATGAATATGTATGGCACGCACAAATTTATTCGGCACTGTTGAGAAAAATGTAATCAAGTTACAAATAAATTACTAATATCGATGTAGTTCTGTAATCAATTTTATTGTTAATTGTTATGTCATGCATGCAATGGCTCCGCTCTACGCATGGATTTAGATAACAACAATGTTACAAGTTTAACAAATTATTAAATTTTAGGTAATAAAGTTACAAATCTTGATATACTTATTTAGATAATGCAGAATTAATAATAAGGCATATGTATTTATTATTTCAATGTTACAAAAGTTTACTAAAGAGTTATATTATTAGTGAACTTGTTACATAGATACATAGGTTCTCAGTATAAATAATTTTGACATTTTAATTCATACTGACACGATTTCTACTTTTATGCATTTGCTCAATGACGATCTATTAAAATTTCTCCATCGTCAATAAATAAGATGTTTATCCTCAATTGGTCAACATTTCACGGAGTCCTCGGTCAAATCCGTAAAGTTACAAGTTTTGCACACTTTTAAAAAATATTAGATTCCAAATTTTTGTGAACTTTCTAGTCTTCCATTTTGTCAAAGTTTATAAATTATTTTGCAAAATTTACGAATTTTACAATGTTACCAAGGGCTACATGAATTGCATTATCAATGATTTACACAAATATTTCCATCTTCACTGCTGTTGTGGTGGGGCACATACCTTCTTATGCCCCCCTTTCCACGCCTTAACCTGACACTCTTTCGAATGATAAGCTGCCTTCTTGCATTTCCCACATCGCAAAAATTTCACCTCGTCCGTCTCAATTTCTAAGCAATCAATCCCTTCACAAATTTTCTTGTCGACTCCTTCCCCCAGCGACAACCCGGTCATAATTCCTTCAAGAGGTCGGCCCTCCTCTGATTTGTACCGGATCAAGATTTTCTTCGCCTGGGCAGATAACGCGGGTCCTGAAAAAGCGTAAACAATCATTTTGGTTAGATTATAAATAAATTGTTAGGGAACTTCCATAAATTATGTCTCGTAAAAATTACGATTTTTCAGACCCTCCCTCCCACACCCTCTTTTAACGTATGGCGTAAATGGAGCTGTCACGCAAAACGTTTACCCACCGAGTGTGCAAAAAGACGTCTTTTTGGAAAAAACGTCATGCCGCATTCATTCTCGCGTTACAAAATTTATGGACGGCCCCTTACTTAGTTAAATTAATTTCTTTACTCAATATTTTTTTAGTGTTACTTGATGTAAACTAGTCAGAAAATTCTACTGAAGAAACGATTACCTGACGCGGGACAATTTCGCCACCCGTCTTTTAACGCGATTTCCTTCAACGTAGCCAAAAACAGGGTGTCCACCCGTTTCACGTCTTCGATCAGGGTTTCGTCCGCCAGATAGTTGAGCATAAGCTGCAGCCCGACCCAGTAATCGGGCCAGAGACGCCATCCCAGCGTGACGGCGGTGCAGAACGTGGCGAGTTCGTCGATGTCGCGGAGGAAGCCCATGAGGAGGTGGGTGGGACGGTCGTGCAGGGCGAAGAGGTGCTCTTCATACTTCTCGACGACGAAGGCGGCTCGATCGCGGTATGAGAGGGCGACCACGGAGGGGACCATGGCTTCGAAGGTGGGAATCGCATTGTTGAATTTTATTAAGGCGGTAGTGTATTTTTGGGTGTTTAGGGTGAAGCATTCCAGGTCGTCGTCCGAGTCGGGGTCGGCCATAGTGGGGCTGAAAAAATTGAGGAAATTGGTGGAGGAAAAATGAAAAATGGTTTTTAAAAATCAAATTTTTGTACGGATATCTCCGGGAATTTATGTAAATTAGCTATTGTGATAATTGTGCATATTTTAATTGGATACGCGTTATAAGCCAAGATTAGATATTATTTAGTGGTTACAAACTACAAATTTTGGTTGGCAATGAATGGTTTTGAAATTAGATTTAGATGGTGGCATTAGATTTTCAGAAGCACTTTCACACAGATGTATGTATGCATCTAATAGATGTATGTATGCATCTATCTATGTATATATCAACCTAATAAGTATTTTTGTGTTAGTGAACTACAGATATACATATTGACAGGAATTAATTGAAAGCGCATAATTTGCATGCAACTTTGCTGGTACCAAATTTGTGTAAAATTTGCTTAAAATGTAAATCGGCACGGTACAACTGAACACTTACATATTAATTGTCAGTGATTAATAAAATGTAAGAATGTGCAAATACCTGTTCGTTATTTGATTATTTTGGGGGGCTATTCTATAAATTGCTCGCACTCAACAATTGTTTTCTTCCTTAAACGGTAAAACAACAGCTTAAAATTGGTGATCCCGGTAAAGATCAAGTATGTAAAATGTAAAAGTACAGCTGATGGGGAGAGATGTGGATATGTAATATTTGCATCCCAGCAATGGCATACAACTCTTGACAGTCATCCTCTTTTTGCCCGAATGCACCCGATATTACGTTACAAATCTTACGCATAATAATTTCGGACCGTGCGCTAAGCATGTACATAAGCACGTTTCGGTTAATTTCAGATTTACCGGCTCATGATGGCGTATGCTAGTTTATCAAATTAACCTCGAAAAACGCTTAACTCAAATCGGTCGCACACTTTATGCACGCTCCGTCGTTGATGAAAGAATGACAAATTGTCATTGTTAATCTGATGCGATTTTCATGATGTTAATGTACCTCATCGGATAATATCGTGATTGAAGAGAATTCACAACAACATGGACGTGGTTTTTCTATCACAAATCGGTCTGACCAACATAGTTTTCCAGATTTTTTCATAGAATTTCGAAAATTCAGTATATCCCTATATGACATTATATGTTTATAAATATTTATTATAAATATTTATTTGGTTAATGTAACGAAATGCTCATAATTATTGAAAAATCAAGGATTCCAATTTGTCAAATACATATTGGAAAACATTGCGTAAGTACAAATTCTTGCTACAGTTTGTAATATGCCCTCCATTCAATGAAGTCTTCCATGAGAGTCATCAACCTTATTTTAGGCCGACCTTAATATGTACATACCCAGTTCTGTATGTACGCAAATTCGTGCTATTTTCTTTGTTCATTTATATAAAAAGAGTGTGATTCATGAAATATAAGTTACATATGTACATACATACATACTTGATGACTACACGTACACTGCAAAAAATATCGTCACCAGATTTACACCGCGCGGTGTCTATATGTGGCTACACCGCTTTGGTGTAAAATCAACACGGTTGGTGTAAAAAAGTTTTGACACCAAAACGGTGACAATTCAGCACCGCTCCACACCTGTATTGCTACCAGTTGGGTGATATTGCGTGGTGTTGATTTTTCACTAACCGGTGACATTTTCTGTGCAAATTTGGTGTTATTGAAATAAAATCACATTAAATTATATATTTCACTTTATATATTTGTTTATTATATGAACATTTTCATAAATCTAAATACAACTTGTTATTATTGGCATACAAATTAATTGAAAATGATGTCTTAAAATAACATACATACCGCCCAATTTACAATTAGTTTATATTTCCACGGCGTCATGAATTACTAAACTACTTATATTAATTAATTTAAACGTTTCTTGTACCGGGGCAATTTTATAAGCAAACGTTTCGAGACAAAAATATTGTACTTTCGAAGGATTAATTAGAATTAAAGAAGAATTATCTTCTAGTACAATTAACTCGGAAATTAAACCGAACTGGGGAAAAATTGGTCCTATTTCATAATATACAACAAAATTGCATCTATAATCATAACCCCCGAACCAAACTTGGTTTGTTGTAAAAATTGAGGTCTCATCATCAAAATCTTCGCAGCTTTCAAATCCCCATAATAACTCAAGTTTACCAGACTCTTTATTGATAAATTTAAGGAGTGAAGGGGGTTTGCATAAACTTTTCGTCTTATCTATGATGCATTGGGAGAGAGACGGCCAAGTGTCAAGGAAGTTGGTTTCTGAATCAGGATGTAGAAGAGAAGGGCAGTTTACCTAAATGAAAAATTAAGTTTGTTGGTTAGTCAAAATATCCAATATTTAACGGTAAAATTATTTTTAAATAGTACCAAGAAATCACATTCGCCAAACTTATTGTAGGCCTTTAGAATGGACAGCTCGTTGGTAGAACGAAGTAGATTCCTATGTGGTAGCGTTGCAGTCATCAAAGCTTCAATTTCCTGCACCTCAGCCTTAGAGGATAGGCCGTTTAATTTCAAATACAACAAACAACAAACAAATCTTCGAAACTTTGGCGATCCTGGTCGAGACTTTTGTTGACCGTGGCCCCAGCCGGTGCCCCTGAACGAGAGTTCCTTATTTTTTCCTTTCAAGTTCCCGTGAATCAAGCGAAGCCTTGCCTCAATCAGGCCGGAGCGATTAGTGTCATCGTAGAGTAAATCCTGCAACGAATACAAACTGATTATTTTGATTCTAAAAAATTGACATTTTCAAAATTTCTGACGATTCCTTGAGTACTCGACGAGAATCCCCGACACGGCAATATTTCCACAATTGCTAAAACACGAAGTTTCTAGTCCTTTGTAGGCGGAGTCTCGCTGAAATTAAAACAAAATATTAATTATGTAGGTAATTAAGTAATATATTAACTGAGTGTTTTATGGAGAAAAATCTGTTTTATAAATTAACCCTTTATACTGAACAAGTTTTTCAACAAATTCCTTAATTAAGTAGGAAGAAGAACTGGAATCAACGAAACCATTTTTGTTGCAATCGGAAACGACGGCAGAAAGTTGTTGATTTTCTTCCAGAAAATTGTTCAGCACCTAGAACAAGAAATCAATTAATTTTAAAAATACTCTATAAATTTATGTTTCCTCGCTCACCTGTTTGAATAAATTCCCGTCCTGTTCACTATGGAAAATTGAAGTCGAGGTTGAGCTAACATCTAGGAAAAGGGAAATATTAAACAACTAAAAATTGATGTAAAAGCTGTGTGACTTTTGTATTACTTACAAGATCACGACTTCAAATGTTGTCGCTCCTGTGTCTTCTCCTTTCACATAGAAGATAAGATTGAGGGTGGTGGCCTGTTCGAGAAGAATTTGCAGGACTTCTTCATCCACCTCGCCTGCTTCGTCTTGAAGGGACAATTCTGCCTCCTCCGGCAGCAAGAACTTTGTCCTCACTAAAAAATAAATAATTTGTTGGAACACTAAAAAGTCGACGAATTACTACATAATTCAAAGAACATTTATTGACAAATCAACTTACCCATATTCATAAAATCGTGATAACCAGTAGTTTCACAAACAATTAATTTTTTACCTCTCCCAGAATTAAAAATTCTCACTAATTTCGTCATGCTGATAGTTTAGATGGTGATGGCAGCAGAAATGATGGCGGTGTGAGAAGCACGGGGGAGTAAAATAAAAACGTTGTCTATTGTCACCAAAACGGTGATGAATTTACACCGCCAGTGAAATTATTTACACCGTTTCTTGGTAAGTCGGTGCAACCACAGCTTGGTGTAATTCTATCCCCGCGGGGTGGTGAGCATTGGGGTGAGATGCTACCAGATTGGGGATAATCATTCTCACCAAGAGTTCGGTGTAAATTTATCCTTAGTTTTTACACCAGATTTTTTGCAGTGTATGTGTATATTGATACTGACTTAAAATATGCGTATGTATATGTTGATTCATTCGTTAGGTACGGTACATGCTTTATTGATTGGCCAACATAGTCAAGAACCATTTCTTGTATAAACATTTTCCTATATACATACTTACATGCATACATATTTACAATCTATACATACGTACATACATACTGTGTAAATACTTTAAGATAATAGACTTGCTTTGTCTGCATGTTTAAAGTCCAACTTACTTAATTGAAATGAAACAAAGTGTCATACATAAAATAAAATCCAATTTTACACCATGTCCATATGCAAATGAGTTACAGAAGTCCGGATGGATTAATAACTGGCTGGATTCGTGCTGAAAATGCATTTTAACGTGAACTCATTTTCGTAATGAAAGACTTCCGCTTGGGTATAAAATAAATTGATAGATGTTTAATTTGTCGCATTAAATTTATCATAATCGTATTAATCTTCGGTCGCCAAATTGATCAGTTACGTTTAAAATAAATTTCTACGTAGATATATATAATTCGTTTTTTGTGTTTTCACATTTTTTGAAATGGTAGCTCCAGGCGTGGGAAAATTTTTCTTGAATGCGATTTTATCAGCATTATTATCTTCATTTGGTAACAATTTGAACCACGATTTAAGGTAATTAACATTAAATGGAATTCATGTGGGCATACAATAGTCTGAGCGTTAAAATAAGACGCCATTTTTACATGCAAAGTAAATGAGTTCAGAAGTGGCATTTTATTGTTTACACTCATACATACACCAAAATCTAAATTATCGAGGCAATTCACGCAGGCTTTAGCAACTTGAAAAATTTCTAACTTATGGAAACTTGCAAACTTTTAATAAATTTTACAAACATCGTTAATGAAAATTAGATAGCTTACAAATCTTTCTATGTAAACTTGCTCCGATTATGGGGATCTTTTTATTGTATAAAAGTTCGTAATCTTATTTTATAAAACGTACAGATTTTATAAGTTACTAATGACTGCAAGAATTGCGTATCTCATTAATTTTTTGTATGCACATACATAAATGTGTACGATATTGCTATTTTTATTTAGCAGTACGGCGGAAACATGGCTGGTTTGCAGAAATTCATTCCAATTCAATGCGACTTATTGCGACAACTTTGATCACAAAATGAACCATGGATTGTCCAAGTTATCGGAAAATATTGACCAAATGCAAGGACGAATTGGTGAACTTGAACGTGAAGTGGATCTCGCCAGGAGCCTCAAAAGAATTGGAGGGTTCAATCCCCCTGATCCTGCCGAGGTGCAAAAAGAAATTGATCAACTTAAACAAGAAATCATAGATTTGCAAACGAAATTGAATGATATCGACAAAAGTGCGGATATTGCGACCCTTGATGCACAAATGGCGGCAATCAAGCAATCCATCTCAGATCTCACGCAACGATTGGATACTTTGTGGAAAGAAGGTTAGCTCTTAATTTAAGGTGGAATAAGTCCGTCATAGATTTTTAATCTCACTCAACCCCTATTAGATGTCTATAACTGCAACTTTCTAATATGACATCAATTACATGAGTTTTGAGATAAATACAACTTTTAATGGTTTAATTTATTAATTAATTTAATTAATTAATTTAATTAATTAATTAATTTTATTTATTTATTTAATTAATTAATTAATTAATTAAATTAATTAAATTAATTAATTAATATTAATTTTTGGTACTAGCAAACTATCGATGTAAAAATATAAGCAATTCATTAACCATTTTTTCCAGAATAAATTTCTAATAAAAACCAATTCTGTAATTTTTTCGAATTTTCATATTACCAAAAATTAATTGTACATTAAAGAATCAAAGGTTGAAATTATATCTGAAAACTCATGAAATTGATATCATTTTAGAAATTTGTATTGAAAGATATTGAATAGGGTAAAGTGAGATTAAAAATCTATTCTATAATCAAATTGTCATCCTATGTAACCTTAATTCATGTTGCATATTAATACATAATATCCAACATGAATAATACGATATTATTCGGTATACGAACCGTTTCACACTATCTGGCCAACAAAGTTATCTCAAATATTTATTTTTTATCCAGGCCAAGATCAATTTAAAGCCCAAATTCAAACCCTGACCGACGCCTTGAACAACGTTGTAGCATCAATTGCTTCCATCAACTTGGAAATAGCTCAAATCGAACAGGACCTCGAGGAGTACAAGATCGTAAATATTGTAGCCGATATTGTAAATTGGCCCGACGAGGGGACCGCGTATCGATATGAAATGGGCTCTTTTAAAGCTGATAAGGCTACCGTCATGTCCACAATCATTTCGCTAGCGTATGTTGACGTAGTGGACAAGGGAGACGCATACTTCGTCAAGATATTGAGATTCTTGAGCCTCCTGCAGGACGTAAATGTACGAACTTCACGCTAAAGACATGTTTTTTTGTATTTTTTACGCGAATTTTTGAGAACGCAGTTCGTGTGTGCCTACAGATATTATACATTCATGGAAAATATCGAATAATTAGTTATGAAAATATGCTCTTCATGCTTACCACGAAGCATTTCACGCAGTCCTTGGTAAAATTGGTAAATTTTGTAAAATAATTTTGCAAAGTTGAACGAATTAAAAATACCCCCGTGATTTTAGTAAATCTATAAAAATTCCTAAGCTAATTTCCTTGGAAATATTTGTAAACACTTCAAATTTTATGGATTTTACGAAGTTACCAAAGCCTGCGTGAGTTACCCCTAAATGAGTTTGCCATTCATAGATAAATATATTTTGTTAATTTGATTGTTCTATATTGTACTTTTTATGCACATAGTTAAGTACCTTCCAATTTAATTCGTAATACCAAAGAAAGACGGTGTTTTATTCAGTAATCATATGCGTGTAGTAATTGTCAGTATATTCAAATTTCAAATTTTCTATTTTTGTATCCCCAGAAACTTGTTGGCGCTCAAGCCTTGTACTTCACCATCTTAACAAATAATCACTACTACGATAAACCACACCCCATCCTTTGTGTGAACATGCTAAGCCAACTTCTACAATCCGACCAATCCGATGTCGTTGCGGCAGCATCAAAATTCCTGAAAACCTTTGTTCCTCCCATTCTTTACGGCTTGGTGGTGGAACGGGCTCCCAACAATGGACAAGAATGCATTGAGAGTTGCCAGATCGTACAACAAGGTGGACAAGACGGCCAATACGAATTTTCACCCCCAGAACACAGCTTGTAAGAAATTGAGCATACTTAATAGGAAATCTCACACTTTGACATACATAGAAATCCAGTATTAAAATAATACCACGCGATAATTATGCATGACCTTACCTATGTAAGTGGTATGATTGATAGGTGATACTGTTTAGTAACTTTTCGATAAAAAAGTTTTACCATATCTATAGCCAATTATGACGGACCTGTATAATTTTAATATCAAGCGGTGCTACTTTACTAGCGAGAAATATCAATACCTTCCTCTAGATTTCGAACAGTGCACTTTTCTAAGTTCGTGCTTGTTTAAAATTTAGTAATGAATTTAATAAATTCGTTCTGATATATTTTCAGCGACCTGGACTATGACTTTGGAAATAATGAGTTCAATGAGACGGCCGTCCTTCCCAAGCGATGCGCCCCTGCGTCTGGGGGACTTAAATATGTGGGTAGCACTAAGGCAAATCTGCTGCGAGGATGCTTTGGTATTCAAAGAGGAAGCAAACTTGCCTTTGAATGGCTGATGGTTCAATTCCATAATGACTGGGATACTGAACAACTGCCGAGTAATGACTGTTACACGATCCAGTCCCCGCAAGTGTTAGAAGATGGAGACAACTGGTCCCTGTTTGGTAAAACGGTACTTTGTAGGACACCTTAAAAATCGAGGCACCTTAATAAAAAAGCTTGAATGTAGCTACATAATTGTTTATATCGACACAGTTTACTTTATTTATCGTAGATTGAATAATGTATTTTACATAATAATGCGATGATTTATTTTACTGAACGGATCCGCTCTTACCGTATGCATTCACCATTTGATATTTATCTACATAATACAAGTTTAGATGCTCTTATAATAATATGTATGTATGTACAGTGTAAAAATGTTACTAATTATAGCTGCGTTAAAATTACGTTCCACCATTTCAGAACCAATGAAGTGCTTCAATGGAACCTTTCGTTAGGCTACACCGGAACTGTTTAGCGAGTTGTCAAAAATCGAACCAAAAATTAGGAACCACACCACGCTTAACGTCCTTACTGCTTATCGTATCGTCTTAGTTTATAAATTTATTAATTCATCCCAGAGAAATCTAAAGTAGCGAAATTCTATAAAATTATGAGCAGACTATGTACTTGATTACTTGTACTATCTACATATATATGTAGATAAATACATATTCTTTGTCCTTGGGTGGGTTGGAGTAGTTTCATTACGGTTTTCTTTAGACAATAAACCTTACAAATTTGAAACCCCGGATTGGAAATAAATTGCTAAGGTATGTAAGTGTCTTTAAATAAATACGCACGTAACTAAATACAATTTCATTATGACTTTCCGCCAAATATGTCCAAACCAATTCAATAAAACTTGGTGAATGCATACATTCTTAATTTGAGTCTTGATGAGAAACCAGGGAAGACGTATGCCGGTAGGAAAACCAGATTCGGATCGGATACCCATATCGGATATACATACAAAATATGTACAAATATAGGGGATATATACGCCGCCCATCGAACTGCACCGTTAGCTTATTTTAAATGTTAAATTATTTAAATCAGAAATAAGAGTCATAATGATTGAAATTAGGGTCCAGCGTAATTCTTGTCGCCTTCAAAAATTCAGAACACCATGGTGTTCTCAGGATTTTAGTAATTTTTAAAATTCCCCTTATTCCAGATATTTCATCGATAGGGAATTTACGTCCTTAAAATTTTCATAGGGTTTACAATCCGAGTATTCATGTTCCCAGGGTACACGGTCATCAAAAAGTGGCGGTGAAACCGTCCCACCCTCTCTCTTAAGAAACCAGCAATTTTAGTTAAGTTACATATCTATGAATGTATCCTTAAAATTTATTACTTTTAATTTAGCCCTGTTTTTAATTATTTTTGTTATGTGAATTTGTACACTCTTAAAAATTTTGTATTGCAATTGTTACCGGCGGAAGTTCCATGAAATTCCACCGCTTCGGTTAAATAATTTATTCCCGAAGGTTAACATACGAATATACAGAACAGGCTAAATCCTTCTTAGCCCTCAATGTCAACGCTGTGGCGTTAAAAGTATTACAAACACGGGCGGTAATCCCTCAGAATGAAACTTGGTACTATAGCGTTACCACGCGGTAGCGTCGCATAATATATTTGCGGTAACAATTGTCAATTGTATCACGAAATTATTGAAAGTGTATAAATATGTAACTTAAAAAACTGGTATTACATCATTACGGACTGGAATACATGCTTATGTGACCCTACAGGTCATAACGGTCATTACCGTTTATTTAGTAATGTTGCGGTAATGCAAAATTTCCCCAGTCAGAAACAAACTACTACCAACTCGTTAGTCATTGCCAAATCAATACCTGTACAGAATAGGTACATATATGACTATCAAATTTTTAACAGTGTATGTATGCATTGGACATGTAATAAATATTATGTACATATGTATGTCTCTGCTCGACTTTGCACTAATTTATTACTTATGTACATAAAAACCAAATTGGTTTCTGATAAGGAGGATATATGTACGTAACAGGCAGTAATATGTATAGCTTAGTTCGGGCATGTGCGTAGATGTACATATTTATTTATTTCCGAAAAATGTAATTTTATAAAAACATACCTACTTCTCTAAATAAATATTTAGTAACTAAAAGAACCAAAGAACCAAGTATTTATCCACGCTTAGAAATCCTGTATTAAGATAATACCAAGTGGTATTCATATATGACTCTACCGGAGTGATATGTACATATATGTACATATCACTTAGCAATATATTGCGAAGTGATACCCTGTAGTAATATCTCGGTATTAAAGTACCAATTTTTTACGGACCAATGTATGTAATTTTAATACCAAGTGGTAGCAACATTAATCCCGAGAAATCAATACCTGCCTGACGATACTAGATTTCTAACAGAGCAGTCAAATTCTCAACGATGCCGAAATCGAAAAGAAAAGTTCCCCTCATCTCGACCCAGCTCCTGGAAGTGTATTCGTCCACGTTTGACACGCCCTTTTTCGAACAGCGCCCCATCGCTTGGAGCGCATCGAAGGAGCGATTCACTATACGCGACCCGTTGTCCTGTAAATGGTACTGGTTCAACGTTTTCTTCGTCTGCATCGGGATGAACGGCAGTTTCACCGTGGCCATCTTAACGCGACAAATGATTAACGACGATGAAAATTCAACCTGGATGGGGATCATGTTCCCCTTGTTTGGCTTCATGATGGCGGGTGTTTTCGATTTTATGTTACTGACAACCTATTACGCCCAGGACGTGGGGTACCTCTTGGTGAATTTGATCAGATTGGAGCGTCGAATACTAAGAGGTAATTAAATTCTTACCAGAGGTGGGATTACCTTGGTTAAGGATTATAAATCCTGGATTGTTAATTAATCCATAATCAATGACATTTAAAAAGAATTAATTCTACTCCATAATTCTGATTTTTTGATAATTAGAAGTCATTAATCCGTAATCGCGATTATGGATTACTAATCCAGATTAACTTAGTATTGACGCAGTTTATGATATATGCACCGAGTACATTTACATGAGCAACTTGAGACTTATATGAATGTGATATACATATTTCAGAATCCCTTCCACACATTCGGAACAGCGTTTCCCGCCATAGAAATCTCATCCTCTCCTTAAAAGCCCAGACCCGTCCTGTCATAATTTTCGCCATTTTCTTCTCCGCCCTTGGCGTCATCTTAAAAATGTGTCCCCATGGTTTCCTCCTGGATCAGTGGTACGAGCAGTATTTAGCCACTCATCCCATCGCGCGCTGGACACTCCGGTTCCTCAGCTTCCTCACCATGACGATCGCAACAATCGAAATGGTCCAAATGACCGCCATGCTTGTCGCGTTCGTAACAACACTGATCTTCACCTGGGAAAGAATTGAAAACCTGACGAGCCAATTGCCCACCGAAACTGGGTCCCAGTTTGCCTCAGTCGTCACCAATTTCCGGCAACTCCACGTGATCAGCAAGGTTGGGCGGGATTACTTGATGTGCATCAGTTTAATAATGGAATTTGTGGTGTCCGTCATGGCATCCGGGTTGACATACGTGACGATCAAGCTTTACGGAAAAATGCCAACGGTCGCCTGGCTCATGGCGTCGTATGTGGTCGTGGTCATATTTTGCGTGACGTATTTCCTGCTCAGGGCGCTGGAGGGGGTGAACACGAAGTGTGTCGAGGGGTTAGGAAATTTGAGGGGGGCTCGAGTTCGAAACACGCTGGAGAGAAGGATGGTCAATGCAGTGCCGGTTTTTGCCATACCGTGTGGACTGCCGGGGTATAAATTGTTTCAGGTTGAGGATGGGTATAAGTTGGACTTTTATGCTAAGGTGTTGGACAACACGTGGAATTTGTTGTTGTCGTTTCCTAACCCGTAGAACAGTTTAAGAAGGGGGAGTGGTCGTAATTTAGTTAGAATTTAAAATAGGAAGGGTAAAATTAGTTATGGAGTACGAATGGTGTAAAATTTAGCACGCAGATGGAAATAATTAGTACAAGTAGTTGGGTAAAATTGCGTACGCATAAAAAAGGTAGAAACAAAGTAAATTCACGGAAGACCAATATCAGCATCTCTGACACTGTATCTCAGAAAATTATTACGAAAGAACCAAGGATATTTCAGAGAAAGCTTAAAGAAGCTTATTCATGAACTCATCTGATCTACTACGGTGCCCAACACTTGCGAATTTGTTTGAAATTCGGTCCTTTGCTTATGATATCAACAAATTATGTAATCAAAAATCGCAAATTTCTAGACCTGTGTGCCCTTGACATGTCTCAAGGGCATCATATTAATGGAGTCTTGGACCCCCCCCTCCTCCTTCTAATGCAACATAATTTATGGGGGTTCCCCAGTTCCGAATGTAAATATGCTCGTATATAGAAATTACAAAAATTGATGCACTATCTTGTTACTTACTATGGCGCGGCATCTCATTTGCATAAATCTCACTATGCCCATTTTCGGTGATACAAGCCTGCCATGTTGAATAAACTCTGTCTCTTGAGAATGCGTCAAAATGCAAATGAGGTGACTACTAACTAGCACGAATAATTTGACTATACGTGTTTTCAAATTAATTTGTATAATTTATAGCTAGTGTCATTCTTTATTAGCAATAAATAGCATGTCCTCAGAATCCATGCATTCTTTATTTTAATTCAAACAAATGAAATACATACTCTAAAAAACTTTAAGGCTATGCAGATGTACGGGTAACTTCATACACGGCTCCGGGTAACTTGACACACATGGAGTATTTTAAATCCAGCTGACTTTCTGGAAGCCGGTTGCAAGGATTTAGACGTAAACCGCGTAATTTCCTATAATTGCAGGTCTCTAAAATTAAAACGGACCAATCTCCTCGCAAATCAAAGATAAGTCGTGGGAAAAAATCTAAACCGGAAGAACCCTGCACAGCCCCACGAGGTATGTTCTCCCAGTACAAGCCATGTGCTGCAAACGTATTTACTATAAAGAAAAGTATGCATGTATGTAAAATTGGGACGAGTAATATGCATACAAATTACGAAATTTCCCTATTTTTTTAGACTTCATCAATAATCACGAAAATGGAATAGACCTTAACGCAGATATTCCTCCTCCAAATTTTGTTACTTTTAAATTCAATGTAGATGACAAAGAACCATTCCCATTTCCTCCAGTAGAAGAGGCAGGTTTGGACCCTCTTGCATTTCACGAGGATGAAACGTTCGACAATAATCCTATCGCTGACAACAACCAGGAAATTCAAGTGAGTCGAAAAATGCAAATTCTTGAATTAGTAACAAGTACATACACACTTCAACACGTTTTGTACTTTTTTCTAGGGGAATGAACTACGCCGTATGACAGTCAACAGTGGATGAATCCGAGGGAAACAGTTAACTCCTCAACCTTCAATTTTGTGTAATTTTAAGAAATTTAAATATTTTAAGAAATTTAAATTCAATCTGACACGGGTAATTGTACAGTAATTTGTGTTATTATTTTTGCACAATCTTGTATCGATCTCTGCTTTCATCCGTCTCAAAGCAAGTTTTTTTTCGTTTTTTAATTGCTTCCATCGACAAACAAAATTAGTTTTAATAAAATTGATATATAAGTAAATGCTGTAATAAATACATAATTCAGGATATACAGATATTCATTGATAACAAGAACTTTTTATTATTTCCGTAAATATTTTCAATATATTTGCACAACTAGTTAACAATATGTATGTATTTATCAGTAAAACGTGTCGAGAGAACAATTACGTAATTATGTAGACAAAAAAGAGGTAGAAATGTGACAAAGTTTGATAACAAATCCTTACTTTATGTATAACGTGAGCAGACCTTCATCTTCATAAATACGTACTTATCATAACAAGATACCCAGTTTCGCTTCTTTTCCACACGTGAATATGTAATATGTAAATTTATCTAATTAATTAAAATTGTTACATATGGAAATGTGAAACATTAAAATTTAATTAATTAATTTCTTAAATATTTATGTATAGAACCCTTGTTTTTTTGATTGAGGTGATGATTGCCTTCCACGCTGGGAATAATGTGGTAACAAACTTGGTGTAGATTCGGGTTTCAAGCGGTAACAAGAATTGGGTACGAATTTCAAATATTCGCAGGTTTTAGCTGTGAAAAAAATTACTACTGGAAATTGTGTTTTTGCATCAATAATTTCTTGCAGGGATTAAAAAAATGCAAAAAATAAGCGCCATCTAGCGAAAAATCGTTGCAGTATACAATGGGTGAACCGTTTATAAACTGGATTATTTTTGGCATGTGGCAACAAATTTGAATTTCGCGCCCAATTATTTCCTACCCCTCTCTACCAAAAAATATACCAATTCTGCCCCCAAACTATTCCCAGCGAGCTACATAATTTCATTTTTAAATATTTATTTCTTGAGTTAAACCCAATACTGATTTTTAGGTGGGTGATGTTTTCTCAGCGTGCCCCCAGCCGTGGGGGGAAGGAGGCTGGGCGTGTTGGTGGACCGCGTCATGGTCGAGCAGTTGGAGGGGTGGAGGGTGGAGAAGGCCATTTCCTGCGGGAGGTCGAGTGGGGGTGGCAGGTTGCCATAGGAAAAACCGTACTGCTCGGGGTGCGGCTCGATCTCGAGGATGCCGAAAGTATCACAAATTGGGGTGGGGTGCTGGTGGTGGGAGTGGTTGTCGTGTGCGGTTGCGCAGAGGGGGGTCACCCTGCACTGCGGGAGGGATGGGGTGGGGGTATCGTTTCGAAGGTTGGAGGACGTCCACGACCCAGTGTCGGACCCTGGACCACCACCCCCGCGAGATAAGGAGACCTTGTTACGCGGGGAGAGCGTGGACATCATTAGAGGCCTGGGGAAAAGTGAGAAAGGAATAATAGATTATATTCGATGGTGGTAAAGGAAGATTGTTTCAAGCGAAGAGATTTTTATATTAGCGAATTATTCGGATGGACCAGAATTTTAAGGTCTTGTTGAACTTGTAATTTAGCAAAAAGTTGTATGAAATTATTGCGGGGTATGCAGTACGAGTTCGCACTTTGACATGGCTACACAATTTTGAAGTAAATAATTTGCGAACTCTTGGAGATGCGCAGGTTCGAAAATTATTAATATGTATGTATGTACAAGCCAAAATTGTTTGCGAACTTTCGAACTTTTTTTCTTATGCTGCTAATGATGCGAAAACGTAATGAATATCCCCATTATTTGTAGCATTAATATATGTTACTCAAGATGAATTAGTAAGATTAAGATTCGCAAAAATGAGCAAGATTGCAAAACAAGCTTTAATTCTATGTATGTAGAACTTTTATTTAAAACAAACTGTGTTGAATTAAGTTTATTATATAACAATAATTCTGCCAACGTTAAAACTTCAATGAAACAAAGCCAAGTCCCAATTCGCAAAAATGTGAGAAATGTTTGCCGCACAAGCTATTTGTGTATGCATGTAAATTCTTTCGCAAAAATATTAGTCTTTCTTAGCTTGATATCAAAAATTATTTCAAGCAAGTGAAAATCACAACTTACTCACTTGACACCCTTTCAATGCTGAAAGGACGCAAGAGTGGAAGAAGAAAAATACAAATTTGTATAATACAAAATCACGTGACACTTAATTAATTATGCAAAAATCATGTCTCTGTACTCACCTCAAGCCGGCACTCTCATCACAATCCATGCTGGGATCGGGATGTGCAAAAGCGTCAATTATTCCTCCCCCACCGTTTTTTCCGCTACTTCCATTTACTGCGGATCCACTATTACCGCCATTCTGTCTTCCCGCCCCGTTTTGACCACGTGGCTTATTCTTCTTTGAGCAAGTGCACCTAATTCCTAACACGACGACGAGGCTGAGACTCATAACTCCCGCGATTATGAGGCCGATTAGGACCAGCGAGTCCCTCGTGAGATGGGGCGTGACGAGATATCTAAAAATTTGGCGGGATTAAAATTTTTATTCACCTAGCAATTACTCTAAAAGCTTACGTGATGTCTCGCATCCTGCCCCCGCTGCCACTCCTTTTTGTGGCGGGATCGGTCGAACCGTCCGAAATAATCTCGGTATGCCCCTTATCCGGATCCACGAAAAAGGGCGTTCTCAGCGGAAACTTGGCTATCCCAAGGGCCGGCTGAACCCCAGGTGCGATCAGTTTAAAGAGAAATTCATCCCATTCTGCCCCGCCAGAGATGCGCGGGAAAATTTCATTTGAAGCTATATTTCCCCCGCCATGGGGGATGTAGAGTAGGAGACCGCGTCGCACGTCGTCATGGCTCCACCGACCGGCGGGACGACTACCGCCGCCACCACCACCGGCGGAATTTCGCGGTTCTTGAATTTTTACCAGGCGACCATGTTTCGGCGGGAGAAGTAATTCATAAACCGGGTTTGATCCCGTTACCCCGGCGAGCGGGGAAGCGTCCAGCAGCGCGAGTGAGAGGGTGGTTGAATGATCGGGGGAAACTGAGAAAGTGTCGGGAGCTATAAGCCCGCCAACGGCGAATCCATGCACGAACGAGCGAACTTCCAGGACTCGTTTAATCAGCGGGACAGCCACGACGGGAAGGAGGAAGTGAGCGGTAGATGGACGTGATCGGGAAGAAAGTATGGGTGGGCTGTCGAATGAGGTGGGAAAGTAGGCGGCAATTTCGAAGGAATCGTTCGTAACGGAAATGTCGGTAACGTGGTAGCTCAGGTCGCCTGGAAATATGCAAATAGAGCGATTAAGAATTACGCATTTAATTAGGGGAAATTTGTAATTTTGATTGAAAAATCGCCCCACGAAATAACCCACACCCATTTGTAAATTCACGTAAAATGTACAAGCAAATAATCCTGCAATTCACGCAGTCATTGGTAACTAATAAATTCCGGGCGTTTTGTAAAATAATTTTAAAAACATTTACAACATAAAAAAAATAAGTTCACAAAAAATACAAATATTTCTAAGGAAAATTTGATTGTAAATTTTTGTGAACTTATTTTTTTTATGTTGTAAATGTTTTTAAAATTATTTTACAAAACGCCCGGAATTTATTAGTTACCAATGACTGCGTGAATTTTGTAAGTTTACAGAATTTGTAGATTCTACAATGTTATCAAATTGCGTGAATTGCGTCAGTAAATTACAGGAAATGAGAGAAAAATTCATGTCCTTAGATCATTTATGTACTACCAGTGGTACATACACTGCCCGGAACAATTATCCGGCAGGGTTTTGCATAGTTATATCTCGTACAAATGATGAGATAACAATTTGGTATTTTGCATGGTTATGGCCAATCGCATTTGTGGGAAGTTTGGGCCCCTATTTTGAAACAGTGCCAACAAGGTCAAAGGTTATGATTTTTTGACCTCAAACCCCAAAAGTCACCTACCTTAAAGAAATTTTTTTCTTGGTGTTTTTATTTTTATAAAGAAAGCGCAACTCATTGTGAGCATTTTGATATGCATATCGCTTCAGCGCGATTTTTGTAACGCCCACAGTGATTTTTTGAAAAGTGCAGTTTTGAAAATTTGTCCCATAAGCGCAATGTTATAACTTTTCAAAACTTTCCAAAACTGCACTTTTCAAAAAATCACTGTGGGCGTTAAAAAAATCGCACTGAAGCGATATGCATATCAAAATGCTCACAATGAGTTGCGCTTTCTTTATAAAAATAAAAACACCAAGAAAAAAATTTCTTTAACCACTTCACCCCTGAGAGACGCATATTTTCATACCTTTCACCCCTAGCAACATGGAATTTTTACTTCCCTTGACCCCGACATTTTCACCTACTGCATGACGTTAATTACTAGGAGATGAATAGAAAAATGGTGTTCCCACCGGAATTATTCTGGACAGTTTTTTATGAAAGTTGATGCGAATAACCATTTGGGATCGGATTTTGAGTTGTAATTTGCATTTGTGCATTTTTTCGAGCACTAAAGTTTATAGCCGAAAATAGCCAACACGCCGAATTTTAAAAGTGATTGTAAATGCATAGAAAGTTAAACAAACATTTAGTAATACTTACATAATAGTACGTAACTTTGCAAAAATCGATTATCGCGCCTCAAGCGCCCCAAAAGCCGATGTGTGTAGGAAAATTAAACTTCGCAAATATTGCTTTCAATTCGTTACATAGGCTATAATTAATTTATTGGTTACACTAAAATGTGTAAAAATTGTTTCTTGTGCATCTAGCTTGCATAAAATTTACGCACACTTTGGACAGGAAGACCAAAAGTTCTTAAAATGAGTTTGAATTGACAGCAGCGGGAATGAATAATTATAGCATCAACTTTTCTAAGCCAGACTTTAACGCATTTGGTGAATAGAACTCAATCTTAAACGGGAAAATTAAATGCTATTAATTCCAGGCAGTCGCTTAATTTTCCCGCCCAAAGAGATTTCACCAGCTCCAGATGCGTAATGATTAATTTTGAAGTATTTTGTCATACTGGCAATATTATTTTTAGCCTATAATATTAATTTCATACAATCGAACGTTTAGTTTTCCGGCCAAAAACGCCCGTTGGTGCGTTCCAAATCCGAGAAAAACAATTTCTCTAATCTTATCTGATAGCGCTGTTGAAATAGGTGACGAAAATCCCATCCAACAGGAATTTTCAAAACTGGGCGTGTTGGCTGGAAATAGCCACTTGGCTATAAATTGTTTCTACCATCATTTATAACATTGATTCCGAAGGAGAAATTTATCTTCCCGTCCAAAAAAGGGTTATTGTCTCAAAACTATACTTTCCTGGACTTGGAAGGGCAATGACCTAATTTTTTTCTAATACGACACATAGTCGTATGCCGGCGTGAACGGAAACTACGCCACATAGTCGTATCCGTTGTCAAGGGTCAATACGACACATCGTCGTATTCCGGTGCCAAGGGAACTTACGCCACATGGTCGTATTCGGTGTAAAGGTCAAATACGCCACATAGTCGTTATAGGGGCGAAGTGGTTAAGGTAGGTGACTTTTGGGGTTTGAGGTCAAAAAATCATAACCTTTGACCTTGTTGGCACTGTTTCAAAATAGGGGCCCAAACTTCCCACAAATGCGATTGGCCATAACCATGCAAAATACCAAATTGTTATCTCATCATTTGTACGAGATATAACTATGCAAAACCCTGCCGGATAATTGTTCCGGGCAGTGTAGCTCACAAAAATTCCAAAATAATTTCGCAAAATTTGAAGCAATTAAAGTTCGCGAAATATTCGAAAGTTTACATAAAGACTGACCCGTTGCGAGTTGATGATGCGTAAAGGTCAGGACTGGTCGTGCCGCCCCGACGAGGAGCACCTTTCCATGCAGCGGTGGCCTCGTGACATTGTACACCAACCCGTCGACCAGACCGTTGGTGTGAAGGGGAAAGTGGGTCGGCGCCATGGCTGCGGTTAGAGCGCCCTGCAGGACGCGCAGACTTGGCGGACTGAGCGGTGTGACGGTCAAGGGTTGGACGGGGATGGAAAGGAAGGCGACCAAAGGCCCGTGCTCACCATCGGTCACTTCAACCGAGAGAAGGACAGGTGATAGGGGACCAGAATGTAGCAAGATTACGCAACCGGCGTCAATATCAGCCTGGAAAGGAAATAAGCGAATTTTAATTGAGCATGGCTGTTCATGGGTTCCAGTATCGTAATCTTACAAAGCTGGCTAGTCATATTTGTTAACTTTAACATCAATTTTAAATTATGGAGTGACAGACTCCTGAAAATTTGTAGTTGAAATGTAAATATTATTTTTACCAATTTGTAAAAAACTATACCAACGAAAGTTTTGACTTACAGCAGTTAACAACATTACAAATTTACAAAGGTTACTAATCAACCGATAGAATTTGGTACACAGTTGTCATTCCTTTAAAAATTTGAATGACATTTTAATCTTATCAAGACACCAGTTCCCACGGGGATTTATAAACTTGTAAGAGACGGGAATATTTTGCAAGGTTTACAGTACCGATGTGAATACAATTTTTGTTTAAGTGAGAAATTTGCATACTTGTGTAAAACGTTCCGCGTTTGGCAGATTGTTGAGCAATTCTGAATCCGGGGGTGGGATCGATGGTGACAACGTATTTGGCCCGGGTGGTAAAATTGTCACTTTTCCATGAGACAAACGCACAATCTTGTAGGTCAATTGGGACGAGGGTGTGTCCGGGTCAGAGACGAGGAGGTCCGCTCGAGTCAACTTTCTCCAATGGGCCTGAAATTAAAAATCAAATTATAATCATTTTTGTTAACAAAATTTCAACCGATGTCATAAGGTACGTAGAACTTTGTAACTGTGCAAACTAAGCATTTTAATTTCGTAACGCATTTACGAAGTTAAAAAATCTTAAACCCAAAGTTAGGTTGAACAAGACATGCAAATTTCGGTCTCACAAACTGGCGAATTTTAACAATTATCAAATTCACGCAGTTATTGATAGGTTTTAACAAATAATTTTACAAAGTTTCACAAAATTCGAAGACGCCCTTGATCTGAGGAAGGGTACACAAATTTGTAAGCTTATTTTCTTTCGAAATATTTCTAAACTTCCGTAAAATGTTTGTAAGTTTACAAAATGTACAGATTTTACTATGTTACCAATGACTGCGTGAATTACGCCAATATTTGAAAATTACTTACGGATTTTACAAAGTTAATTTGGCTGACGTGACAAAAAGTAAGCAGCAATTTATGTACCTGAACGACGGGTAAGGGGACCGCCTTGCTTGGCACGAGGGCCGGTGGTTGGTCATTAATCGGCGTGACGACGATGGGCAATGTTACGTTAAGAAGGAATGTGGATGACGGCGATGTCGTCAAACTTGTCGAATTCGACATGACGAGCCAAAGTGAGAATGTGACTGCATCCGAGGTGGATTCCGAGTCGTCATGGAGGTACGACAGGTATCCAGACGTAGCCAGAAGTGGGGGCAGAAGGGGGGCCCCAGGTCGTAGGCGGGTCTCCTCAGACTCAACTAACCACCCGTGTCGAGGAACTTCGGTGACTTGAAGGCGCAATGAGGGCAGCCCACCAGCCCAAACGTTACCTGAGAAGATAAATTATATAATTTGACATAATTATAAAAATCTTAGTTTTCGTATTAATCTAATTTCAAAATAAAATTTTTCAAATTTCAAACGCAGGTAAAAAAAACTTGCATATTACAGGTAAATATTTTTATTCCAAAATTATGTTCTAGATAAGTATAAATTTCTTAACGGTTGATTTATATAATCCACAAAGATATGCCCAGTAGCTTGTAAAGTTCGTTTGCAATCGTTGATAAATTAGCAAAGATGTGAAAATCATGTGCAAATTTCTCATAATTAAAAAAGACCGAAAACGTCTAATCATTGCTAATTGTGTAATTATTAATTATACTAAAATTATCATTATCTATGTAATGCACGCAAATGACATGAATTTACCCAGATTATTGAGTTACAAAAATCCGAGTGAATCGACTCACCTCATTTTTTTAAGCTTAATGGATGAACACATTCAGCAATAAACTTAACCAAGTAGAAAATAAATGAGGTGTGGCAAAGTATTTAAAGCGGATCTTGATCTATCCAGTACTTAAATAGTGATTGGTGCAATTAAATAAGCCCAAACGTACGTAATTTGATACAGGGTGCAATTTAGTACACTAATTACAATACAATTTTCTCCTTAAACATCAATATCCTGCATAAAGTTTGTCATCCATTTAGTAGGAAGAAAGCATATCATCTCGGGTCAAAATCCTGTCGAAATCGACTACATCCCTTACGCACGGGTAGCTCCTGTGTGTGTGTAATTGATGTACGTCGTGTGGTGACCATCTGTCAAGTGTGCAATTATGGGTAGTAAATGATGAAAGGTGGTCGTCCCGGTGGTGGTGAGAGGAAGGTAAATAACGAGAGTGGGGAGTGAAAGTGCTCGGAGAAAGTTGAGCAAACAAGTCGACCAAGCAATAAGCTCACTTGGATATGAGATGCACGCAGTAATTGTGTCTACAATATTAGATTTTTCTACGGTGACTTGTTTGTCCATCAACGTGACACTTTTCTGTGTCAATTTTTCCTTGATTGATGTCACAACGCGAAGTTTTTTCGCGAAAAAATGAAAGAGTAAGAGATCTCGGGGATGTGTAGACAGGGTTTCATAAAAATGCCATCGGAGGAAGGTTTTCACGGAGTAATCTAATGTTTCTAATTGTTTTTTAAAATCAGGGTATAATGTTTTGTAAATTTTACTAATGTGTCTGTCAAAAATTTCAGTTACAAAATCGCTTCAAAATCTATGCAATGTGGTAACGATTATTTAGAAAAATCGGCCATAAATGAATAGAAAATGGTGTGAAATATATCCTTATGCTGCGAAAAAGTTAATAATTTGAATATTTTTTGCACAATTTTTGCGCAGGTTTTCCCACAAAGAACTGTGCGCATTTTTTCCCACAAGTTTTTACGAAGAGTATACAAAACATGCATAACTTTTCTTAATTTACGTCGTAAAGTACACAAACACATCAACTTGGGGAAGAATTTAAAATTACTATGACACTTGCATAACTCAATTTGTAAATGATTTCATACATATATTTCTAATTTAAAATCAGATCATTTTCCAGATTCCCTAAAAATACGATAACAAATGTGTAGGTTTTTCTAATAAAAACCCATTAAACATGAGCTCCTTAATACTACCGAAACCCTGCCCATACTTCATCCCTGCTTTCACTTTCACTTAAAAAAACTCGACTTTCTCTCCTCTCTTGATCAACGCCCACTCCATATCGACATTTTGGTAAAAGTGTCAATTTCATCTTTTTCCTGCATCTATATTTACATTCACTCACCGGAATGTTGCGCCGCGATGAATTCCTCAACAGCGGAAAGGTTTAGATTTCGCTCCGTTATAGGAACCGCTCCGCCTTCTTTGACCTCCACACCGACCACACCCACGTACCGGTCAAGCCCTCCGACGGCAGCCCCGCTCACGGAAATGTCCACGTCCAGCCAAATGTTGGGAAGGGGGTCGGCATATCTGAAACAATTTTAAAAGTCAGATTTGTGTTCAGGAAAGAGGGAACAATTTTATTCTGTTTTTGGGCGTGGGAATGAAGGATCTAAAGATTTCAAAAAATTTGAAAAACTATAAAATTTATAGACTTCTAAAATTTATAAAGCACGAAAAACTAGAGTATGAATACTTTCAGAAGTCTGATATAGTAAAGCAGGTATTAATTTCTCGGTATCAAATTTGCTACCGCTTGGTATTAAAATTACGCCGGTCCGTCAAAATTTGCTACCCATATAGTAAAACTTTAATACCGAGCTATTGCTAGACAGTGTTACTTACATTTTTGTAGACCCATGTATGTATAAATTAAATACCGCTTGGTATTATTTTAACACTCGATTTCAAAGAGTACAGATGCTCATTATTATCCAGGCAACTTCTATTTCCTCATTATTTTATCAAGATGTTTATAACATTTTCTAAATTTTATCATGATTTATTCCCATTTTTCTCAATTTTCCCAGAAAACTTGGCACCCTGAAATTTCCTACCCAAGTAAATTACAACACTTCAACACGAGCACATCTGTTCTCTCGACGGAGGCGAGGCCACAAATGAAATAACTTTGTTTAATGACATGTAGTCTTATTGTCACTAAACTGCCTCATAAATCAGACATAACGACCTCCAGTCAAACATGTAGTGCAAACAGGGGTCATCATTACCAAAATACAAATACAGCCGTGAAAAGGAGAAATATTTTGCAAAGGAGGAGGAGGCGGAGGCCGAGGTCGTTTAATTTTGGGAAAGCGACATTAAAATGAAATGTATAGCTGGGTAATGAAATGAGCACCATTAAATTTCCAGGATCGATTCTACATTATGTTTTGTTTGATGGAGAAAATGACATGGTTTGGGGATAGCAGGGCCGGAAGTAGGAGGGGCTGGGGAGGATGGGAAATGTGCAAAATTAGTATGTATGTACAAAAAACCTGTGCGTAAATTCAGCACAATTTGTAGTTTGAAGTAGAATAAACTCGGATTACAATTCTGCAAAACATTTGTAACCGTATATGCAAATTCCATAATTTTTAAAAATTCGCTAGATATTTATTTGCAGAAAATATATTCGTAAAATTGGCAAATTTTTGAATTCGCCAGAATAAACTCCGACAATTCAGTCTAACATTCGTGACAATCTAAAATCCATGATTTACAAGAATTGCGAAGATTACAATCCACTTTTTGTTCAGATCGCAAGATTTTCCTATTTTCTGATACAGATTTTATATAAAAAAGGTGGACAAAAGTAAAAACTTTTTGCGTAGTAAACACTTGAATAAATTGCTGCTTTCTAATTGTCCAAATTTTTTTGCACAGTTAACGTGGACCATGTGGGGGCCCATTACACAGCCATCGACCCGCCACTGGTTAATGGTCTATGGGGATGAGGAAAGTGTCGTAAAATCGGATCTGTCATTCTCGTCCAGATACCCGGGTAGATAGACAGGTAGACTAATTCGGTATAATAGGAAAGGGACACTTTCCCCCGAATTTTGTCTCCTCTCGATTTTAAGACGTCTTACCAATCTTACAAAATAAATCCCCCGGGGATTATTTGCTTACTTGGAGGAGGCAATAAGTCGAATCCTGTCCTTGTCTCCGCCACTCTTGCTGTGTTCGTACAGCACGGATCCCGAGGAAATGTTGGCTTGCGAAAATACCGAAACTTCAGCATAGTGACCGTGACCCATGTCTAGCATGATGGAGCCAAAATTGGGGAGTGAGCTGACCTAAAAATCAAATTATTAGAGTGTAAAATAATGATGGTAAATACGTTACGGTAAAAGTGGGACGAAGTGGAAAGACTTATAAAGAAAATGGTTTGCATAAAAGAAAGTTTGCAATATTTGTGAAAGTCGTTCGTGGTGTTCCTATTGAAAAACGAGTTTAATTAGTATGTTCCAATTAGTCGGAATTAAATATCGGCTGGTGAAAGAAAGTTGTCAGTCTGGGATGGATATCTTTGAATAGGTTTACAAAATAAGGATGTAAAATGTCTGATATTTGCCGTACTCATGGTCCAATCATCGAGTTATTTCGCGTATGAACAGATTAGAAAATTATTTGCTATGTAAATAAATAAGTTATTAAAACTTTTTGAATTTGAATACGGAAATATCACGATTTTTTAGAAAAAAACGTTTCTGTAACATTTGGGAAGTTATTTACATGCATTTATGTTCAATTTTGCAAGTTTGTCGAGCTATGCCTAGATTTGCATGAATATGCAAAATTTGATAATACAGTTCAAAGTTGTAGATTTTATAGTTATTTAAATAGTTTGTAAATATTTTGATAAAAATTTAAATAGTATCGTCCAATTTAAATGGATTTCATTAAAATAGAGACATTTGCTAATCTGTCTTTAATAAATAATTGGTTTCTGAAAATGATGTGAAATTTATTTTTTATACAAAATTCCTTACTTGGAAATGAACCTCCTTCCCGTCAGACGACGTCACATGCACATTTTTCCCCGTAAGTGGAGCCCTTGTAAAGGGGAAGACCGGCAGTGGAGCTTGACCATCGACCATGGTCAGATTTGGTTTCCTCACGACAACTTTGAAAGTCTCCTTTCCCGCTTCATTAAGTCCGTCCGACACTTCAAAATCGAATGCGGCTTGTTTGAGGTCAACCCCTTTGTGGGTGAAGAGGATCAGGGAGGCGTTCAGCTGTGCCTGTGTGAAGTTTGTGATGGGGTCGTCAGGTCGAGAGGTCAAGGCGGGAAACCCGCCCCGACTCCCGACCACGTAGAACATGAGTTGACCTTCTTTCGTGTCGGCATCGGTGGCGGCTGGGGAATGGTCAGAAAATTAAATAAATATAGAAACGTTTAGAATAAAAACGCAAAATTTAATAGAAAAATTTAAAACTTTGTCGAATTTTATGATTTAAAAAAAATGTATATAAATAACTGGAATTTGTATAAACTTACCCAACTCAGCATTAGTCAATTTCATCGCGTCACCCTGCCACACCCAGCCGCCCGTGTTATTCACCACGACTGGAACCTGCAAATTTGGTAAAAAATGAATATTTACTTTCATACAAAACTAGAGGAGCCACTAAATGCAGCCATAAAATTGTATGTAACAAGGTTACGAAATGGTTGCTACCATTCATAACTTGATATTTATTACGCAGTCATTGGTAACTCGTAAATTCCGTTCATTTTGTAAAATTATTTTGCAAACGTAATTATACAAACTAAAAAGATGTCCTTGAAATAAGCAGGTTGATAAATATTTGTGAGCTAATTTTCCTCATAAATTTTTGTAAAAATTTATAGGCTTATTGAATTTGCTGATTTTACAAAGTTATCAAGGATTGTGTAGACAGTATCATTACTTAGAAATTACTTTAAACTCTTGTTCTAACCTGATCGTTCGTCGACATGATAGAAATTCCCACTTTGTATGGCGGACTGACGTATCTTGTCCCACCCACGACGGCCACCGCACTCACGGTGAAAGCGTCTTCTTGCGTTTCTGAACCATCGTGCGTGTACTGAAGGGCCGTCCCTTCCGCGAGGGTTGAATAAGGAAGCGGACTCGTCGGCAGGGGTAGCTCAGGGCGTGGGAGGAGTCCCAATTTGCCATGCCCGGGTAATTCCAGAATTCTCAATTCGACTAGCTTTCCCCTAAAGAAGGGCGCCCTGGCTTGAATATGGGTCGCGTTCAGGAGCACGGATGAACCTTCGAGGAGTGAAATTGGTTTAGCAGAGGTTAACCATAGCGTCCCCGGGATGACGGTGAAAGCCAGTGTCAACGCGGGCAGAGAGGAGACGCCATTCGTCACGGTGAAAGTCATCGAATCTGTGAAAGTGTTCGGGGTGGAGTGCACGTATCGGAGCCGGCCTAAAGAAAGAATTATAAATTAATCAATGAAAATAATGGAAATTTAGGAATAAAAATAACTATTCCCAATTTTAAAACTGGAAAGCTAAAGCTAAAGGTAAAGTTTGTTATATTTTTTATTATTCGTCTCCCAAATAAGAAGATGCAACAGGTTCTTGGTTAGTACAGAAAGTTCGTCATTTCGTAATTTGGCATTCATGTTTTTACTTGTCAAGTTTTGGCGTTTAAATGGGTAACTATTTAGAAATATGCCTGTAAAATTTCAGTTACCTTCATTAAGCGTGGTTTGGTCCCACATCACGACTGGTGAAAGATCTTCAGAGTCTTCTGAAAAATATGAATAGTGATTTTGTAAGATTGTGGATTGTAAAAAATGAAACACATTTCCTTGTGATGCTGAGAATCATAAATTAATCGTCACTATGTGCTAAAAATTTGCAAGTTGTAAATCGGTGCGATATTTAAAATAATTTTATAGTCAAAAGGTTATTGCATTTTCCAAGTTATCTCACTTTCTTGTTAAAAAAACTAGTAGAGTGAAATCCTTTATTAAAACCCAATTTCATAAAATTATGCAAATATTTAAAAAAACTGACCATGTGAAGGGGACGGATCAATGGCGAGATAACCATGGACCGGTTGTCGAACCAGCGTGTAGACAATGTCAGCCGGAGGAATGTGTGGATTCGTTATGTGGAGAAAGTTTTGCGAAATAATGGCTGAGCTGTTTTCGCCAACAGTTACACTACGATTTGCTCCCACCTAATGGTTAAACAAGAATTTAATTGCAAACCAGTTTTTTTTAAATAAATTATTACATACTATGTACGAACAAACTGGGAACAAAATCACCACTAATAACTTACAACAAGCGGGGCCCAGTAGACTTGCGGATAAATGGCAACGTCCACCTGTCCATTCGCCTCAGCACCACCGACATCCACTTGGAAGTGAAAAGTGTCCCGTCCCATGTGCATATCGCCCCCACCCCCGTCGGCCCCACCTGTCGTGACATATACGACATCTCCCGTTGACATTTCTCCCAGAGAAAATTCCGACCGGGGTGAACCTCCAACCAAAAGTTGTCCATTGCTCGGTCCGTCCGCGACTCTGACCTCGATTTCGCTCATTTCGATATCCACATTGGTCTCGATCCGGATAGAATCCGGGGTCAGCGGGGTGTTCGCACCACGTCGCGCGATAAGGGTCGAACTCTTGCCAAGTTTCACCCATGGTGGGCCTGATCGGATTTCGAGACTTTCTAAAAATGTAAAAAAATGAAGTATTTTAAAAATAATATTTAGCGTAATTATTTTAAATCGGATTATCGAAGTGTGCAAAACGCATTCTGTCTTTCATCATAAATGAGAAGATTTTCGTTTTTTCTTAAATTTTGCATACTTTCGTATGCAAAATGTGTGTGTCTTATATGTACATCCATGCTTTCGTTTAAAATCGGTTTTTGGAGCATGAATTGTGTTTCAAAGTCCTAAGTTCTGAATAACAGCTTTCTCTTTACTTTAGAAAAATTCAATACATTTCTATAACTCTACCATTAATTATTCTTCTGGTAAATTATCCCCAAAATAAAAATTATTGATGCCCACACTTTCTCCAAAAAAATATGTACAAGTCACTCCCTAACTTTATGACTTTTCCCGTCTCAGAAAATTATTCAAATTGTTCCCGTAATTCTATTCCCACTCGGGTAATGCCCTCATCCCGGATGAAATTGAATTTAACCTGCATCTCCATGAATTCAATTTGTATTGAAATTTTCTCCCGGGTTAGATAAGTGTCCACTTTTCGGAGAGAAAGCATTCCAAGGACTCGGTTCCCACAAAGGCGTGATTATCACACGTCCTCGCCCCGATGTCAATGATCTTTCTGCACGTTAAGGAATTTTTGCATACGCCGAGAGAACGCCCATAAACATAACGAGCAAGGTGAAAGTCGTCCCAGATAGTTTCTTATTGTATTAAATCACTCCGGAGGGAAATTCACCTTTATGGCTGGTTGTGAAAAATAAGGACGAAAGTGGAGGAGAAAGTCGGAAAAGACTTTATAACCGGGATAAAATAGCCCGTGTGAGTGTGATGGGTTGGAAGAAATTATTTGAATGGGCCTTTTCATGTTTATTTATGTTGGAGAAAGTCGACACGAAGTAAAAATAACAGAAAAAGTTGGCAGGCACTTGGAAATTGTGTTTTATTCGGGAGTGAATTAAATGAGAAAAAAGAGAAAGCATAGGTTTTGCAAAAAATATAAATAAATACGGAGAAAGCTGGCACATATTTTGTAAAATTGCGTAATGTTCGATTGAATTAAATGTGTAGACAACTTATAAAAAATAGAAAGCTTATCAGACCAGATGAGATTAAAAAAATATAAATAAATACAGAAGCTGGCACATATTTTGTAAAATTGTGTAATATTCTTTTCAATCTTTTCTCTTCTTAATCTGACCCGAACGTCCATCAATATCCGAAATGTGGAGAGAAAGTTGACGAGGAATTTCTGATAAATATGTATGTATCGTGAAAAAATTCCTTTGGCACCTACCCGACTTTGACATTTGGTTGGAGAAAGCATTATGTACGAGGACGATGATGATGATGATGACTGCTACTCTTATTATAGTTCACCGCTCAGAGGGAAGAGAAAGCAGTCACATATCAGACACAACGACCCATTCAAGCGGCACTAATCCATGCCGCGTTTATGTAGTAGGCAGAAATAGAGAAAGTGGAGAAAGCAGCCAAAAATCTGTCAAGGCTTCTCCGCATCCATCAGAGTTTCTTATGTAATGTGGTGTTTTTTTCTAGGGTAGAAATCGTCATGTGTTTTTTGTGGTTTTAATTTTTTTATACGTATTGTTTGCTTGACCGAAATTGCGAAGTTGGCGGAAATTGCGTGATAGGGTAAAATGTGTGAAAATTGGTTGGGTGAAAGCCGTGAACATGCGAATTTTTAAAAGTGGAAAAACTTAAATAATTTTGCGTAAAAGACATTTTTTTAATTTCTAGACTTTCAAAGTTTCTTAAATAGAAAAGTCTACTCGACTTTCTTCTCCATTTGAGCACAATTCCAAATTTAGTTTACTACTCACAGTTTAATAGAAAATTATCCTCAAATTTACGAAAAACTGCTAAAAACACACATTTGATTTCAAAAAGAACCGCCATGTCTTGAACCCTGTCCCAAAAACTGCCTGAATGAAAGTGAAAGCCATGTCTTGGACGACTTTTCTCAGAAACCGAACAATACGAAAGGAAACAGTTGAGAAGAGAGAAAGTGAAGAAAGGAAAGGAAATAAAGGAAAAGCCTGCTAAATTGCATTCTTGCTCAGTCACCTTGCAATTTCTTAGACTTTCTCCCTTTGCCAAGATTCCGTCAACCCAATCAAGCCTGACTTTCCCCAAAAGCCCGACTTTCTCTCCTCTCCCATATAAATTAGTGAAAGTCAACCTCTTCTGCTTACCGTTGATGACAAACTTGCCATCCGTGACCCAGTAAGATAATCGCCCTTGGGTTACGGACACGCCGTCTTGCCGCCAAATTAAGCGCCCCCCATCGATGTCGGCTTGCGTCCAGGAGAAAACCGGGGCTCGGGAGGAGACCGAGTAAAGTTGTCCGATTCCCGGTGGTGTGGCTCCTTTTGAGGTGTATTGAAGCCCGGCACGTTCCCCGTCCCAGTCGCCGTCGAGGTAGTCGAGCACGGCGGGGGTGAGGACGCGTGACCCACCGGAAGTGATGTGAAGCAGGTGGGAGGCGGTAGGAGAGAGGGCGGGTGGATGGTTGTTGACACCTGGAAAATGAATGGAGACAGGTCAAATTAGGGTAGTCGAAATATTTTAAAAATTAAGGTAAGAAATCGAGTACTTAAACTTCAAAAAATATAAAATTCTTAAAGACTTGTTTTCTAAACCATTTAAAATATTAGCTGCTGTTCGCGCAAAAAATAAACAAATTTCGTTTAATTTGTCTGACTTGAATGCTTCCTTTTTGTGTCATGTGAACAAACTCTGCCAGATAACCTGTCAGATTTTTTATCTTTAGTTTTTTGAACCTACAGCTACTAAATTGGTAACGAAATATCGCCCCAGTTTCGGTACTTTTTGTTCATTTCCGATTCATTGATTGCCGTGCATCTGTAGAAAATGACTTCTGAATTTTATTTACCAAAATCTAGACACTTTGCTTTCTCCCGCCCTAAACTGTACACATATTCCAAAATTATTTCACCAAAAACTTTCACCTTTTACAATAATGTCCAACGAGAGTGCTAGCAGTGCCGGGGGTGTAGCTGACCATGCCACGAGGGAGACCTTATCACGGGGAGATTCCGATCCATCATGCGTATAGAAGAGACGACCCCGGTCGAGATCAGATGAGGTGAAGGTTGATAATGCCGTGAGCAGGGTGGGTGTCGTGGTGGGTGTGCCAGGCAATGGGGCCCGTTCGAGCCGTCCATGCAAAGGAGACGTGGTCAAGTTGAAGTACAGCGTTTCAGACTCGGAGGCGATCCGAATTCGGAGAATTTTCGACGACAAGCTTTCACGTCCACCTGGAGAAAGTTGAACAAATAAATGAAATTTATATAACATAAAATTTTGGAAATTAAAAAAATTAAATTATGAAACAATTTGATTTGAGATTGAAATTTTGTAAATGTGACTCGAATTCGAAATACTTTCGACGAGAAAGTTTCACGTCCACCTAAAGTGAAAGTTGGATAAGCAACAATTTTGTACAGTTTTTTTTTATTTTCAGAAATTTGATTAGGGGATTGGAATTTTGTAAATGTTGCGAATTTTTTGGTAGATAAAGTGCTACTTGTGCGATAAACTGTAATCTGATGAAGAATGGGGAAAGTCAAGTCGTGGGAAAAATTCGTTCTCTTTACGTAAAGAATTGATGACTGGGGACGAAATAAGGGTTAAACTTGTGCCATCAATCGTCATCAATTTACTTGCGAGATAGTCATTTCCCGCGTGACTGGAGAAGATCAAGGGAAAGAATTAGAAAGCAAGAAAAAACAAGACATTTGTTTGAATTATGGGGTCGTTGAGACAATATTTGATCGATTTTTTGACCCATATTCGCGCTAAAATCGGTCACATTCTTTTTGCAGGGTCCATCAATACTTAAATATGAAATGGTAGTCCGTGCCGTACGGGTTTTACTCTATATTTTTATTGTATAGAAACTTTTCCACATTCGTGTTACACAAAGTATTCGTTTAAGAATGCATAGTTTCAATCGGAATTATGTAACCCATTGAACTTTTCGGCTTCGTAATGTTTGCAAGATTATGGGAACGTGAATTTGTACCGTATATTTTGGTTTTGGAAAACTTTTCATCTGATAAACCTGCATTTTTACAAATTATGTTTTTCAAAAAATTGTATGTAAAGGTACGTGGATTCAATCGGATTTTCTTGTGTAGCTCAGGTATTTAACTTTTTGGCTTCGTTATTAATGCAATATTACGAGAACGTAAAATGAATTAATAACTCGTAAATTTAAGTATTTTCAAAATTTCCGTACTAACCTTCTTGCACAATTAGCGGCTTGATGCTCAACCCGGCCGGCTTTCTCCGCGTAATGTGGGCAATTTCACACTTGAACGGTCCCTCCGTCACGCTGGAGTCCAAATGAGTCGCTGTCACGTTGTAAGTGAAAGCATCGTTCAGCGCGGAATACGGCGTCCACTTGAACGAATACACGACACGACCTTCAAGTCCATCTGCCTGCGTCCAGAACTGGATTGGTCTCCCGGAAACGGGGGAACCCGGAGGGGGTGTGATGTATCCTAAAGTCGGGGGTGTCACGAGGGTGTAACTTATCGCGGTGTTGGGTAAGGAAAGAGGCGTCGTGGTAAATTGTAGTCGAACTGGGGCTGAACTCGTCTCGTTCAAAGTGATGATTTCCACAAGGGATGAAGGGATCAGTTTGAGGGGGAGGATGCGAAATCGAAAACGAAACTCGGTCGGCATCTTGGTCTCGGCGAGGGCGACGTGAAAACTGAATTCGTCCTCGGATCCGCGATCGCTAAGGAAAAAGAGGGAGAACGTGGGGTTAGGATTATTGAATTTTTTGAAATTTTGGGGGTAAACTGTGCAGCCTTTGTTCAAATTTTTTGAATGTGAGGTGAAAACTAGAGGACATTATAATAAATCCAATTGTTAACTCGGAAACATTGTTAAATTTTATCTAAAAAGTTAGTAAAAAGTAGAATTTGAACTCTAATTTGACAGGATTTCCAGAACTTTCAAAATTTTTCTACAATTTTCACTCTACATTTTGGATTCATGTTTTCACGGGTTGCAAGTTTTTTTTACTAACTCATAAAATTTTGACGCAATGTAAAAAAACATATATGTGGAGAAAGCCATCATTCCCTAATTAACATATCTAAAAAATATTGACCCATCTACTTCTTCCTTTGACGCCACTTTGACCAAAGTTAGTGCCACTTTCACTCTCCTATCGGCACTCATCACCTCGCGGGCCACTTAACACGTCAAATCCTCCCTTTTGGCAAACTCCTCACTACTCATCCCCTCAGCATTTTTGCACAGAAGGGTGTCACCGCCAGAAGAAGACAAAATCTACACCCGCCGCTGTCTCGTCTGCTCTGCCCCGACAGATAAGAAATAGATCCCGGCCCAAATGGGAAAACAGAAACGGGGCAAATTTCACGGCTCATGTGGCGCAAGGAGAAAGTCCTTCCGTGCCAAAACCATGTCAAGATGGAGGAGAAAGCGAAATAAAAAGGGCTGGCTAAGCAGAAGAGCGTGAGAAGTGAAAAGTCTTTCGAAAAGAGGAAGAAAAAACGATGTGCTGAGAGCGGCATGATGACTGAGACATAAAATAATGTGAAAAAATACTCAACACGGGAGGAGAAAGTTAGGAGGAGAGAAAGTGTTTTCATCGCTTGGAGAGAATTTTTGTATTATAGACATGAAATACAAGGAATTAAATATGGAGGATAAACTGTTTATGTGCAAAAGTCGAGGGGATTGTAAACATGGACTTGCTGAAAGTGCACGAAATAGCATGTAGGAAAATGCAACAATATGTATTAATTTATTTTTGGGCATTTTATATATTATTTTAGGAAAAAACGGAGAAAGTTTGGAATTCATTGCGCGTGGGATGATAATACTTGCATTTTAGACGATGAAAATTGATTAGGTTGTGGAAACTTGAACGATAATCGGCGAAAGTATTCTGCAAATTATGGAATATTAATGGATACTAAACATGAAATTGCTGAAAGTGCACGAAATATATATCATGATACGTAAAAATAGAACAATATGGGTTAATCTATGTATATGCTTTCTGGAATTTTTCTGCACTTTTGCGAAAAAAATGGTGAAAGTTTATCATTTTATAGCGAGTGGGAAGAAAGTACTTGCATTTTACAAGATGAAAATTGATTAGGTTGTGCATAATTGTACAATAAACCTAGAAAATGCTTATTTTTTCAAATTGTGGAAAATTCTGTTGGAAACGGAAATATTTACCGAATCGTTCTGGTTACATGTCATCTAATTACATGTATTTTCATGAGATCTCACGGACTTTTATTAAATTTAATCTTACTGCACCTTATTTTTGTTAGTTGGTTTATACATATATCTACATCGTCCACTTTAAAATTACGAACCTTGCCCGCTGCAAGAGAAACCGTAGCCGGCCCGCCATTAAATGAGCCTGGGTGAAAGTGTCGGTTCCACTCCACTGTCCGTTACTCCTCCTTAGCTGAAGGGCTCCCGCTTTTGGTGCAGATACCACGTGATACTCCAAAACCAATCCTTGATCTCCCGCGTTTGAGGTGAAGCTTAAATTGGCTGCAGAAATGGGAACCGCCGTTCCAGAAACGGAGGCAACATCAAGTCCCGTATTTATTTCGGGAGCGATTCTTAGTGGAAATGTTTCCACGCGTAGGACAGCAGTTCCTGAGGTTGAGGATCCGTCGGTGACACGAAGCGCTAATTTTGAAGATGAGCCGCCACCATCTTGATACCTGTGGGAGAAAAGAAAAATAATATAATTAAGATTGTGATGGCGGGAAAGATTGTGTCACTTTGGCCATTGTGGTTAATTGATGTCTGCCCAGCAACTACTTAGCAAGACGACATGTTTAGATCCTAAACAAAAAAATTCCTAAACTTTGGGATTTTTTTTCAATGGGCGTACTCATGGCAACGCTTTCATTACAAGCGAGTTAAGCATATCAAGGTAATTTGCCCCGTTCTAAAAAAACTTGGTAAATTTGGAAAATCTGTTATCCTATTCAATCTTAGAATTTTTTTAAACTAACATTCTCCAGGGATTCGGATCATTTTATTGGAAAGTTATTTATTTCTCAAACTAATAAAGTATTTTATAATGAGATGTGAAATTTAAAGTCAAAATCTGCAAGCTTATTAGTTTTTGCTAAAAAAATGCGAACATCTGGAAACTGCGTGATTATGTAAAAATACAAATTTATTTTTTCTAATGACATTTTTTTAAATCAGTTTTGTCATTTTAAAAGTTAATCATGTTTATTCCTCTGACAGCAAATTTTTAATTTCTCAAATTTTGCAAAATGTGCATTTGTTTAAATTCATTAAGCGCACAAAAAACTTGTTTTAAGTTCGCATGTTTTACATTAAAAAACCTGCTCTCAAGCTTTAAATCCCAGTTACGCCCCTGGCTTTTGATAACGGGACGGGGTGGGTGTGAGTCTGGTGGCATTTCCACTTCTGTGTCGGAGATGAGATCGAGGCGAGATTAGAGAGTGATGAAAAGAGGCTATAAAAGCCGACTTGCTTTCTCCACTTTCACCACATACACAGTCAGCGTGGGATAAGTGATGACTTCATCATGTTCATATCTTCGCCAGTGCCATGGTGAGAGCTACCAGGAGAAGGAGAGCAGATGGAAAATGGCTCATAAACAGGGACGAACTGCCACACAACTCGTCCCGGCGAGGTGGCTTTCACCCGTATGGAAAACATGTTACGATCGACTTTCACTCTACGCATTAACGTGGCAGCAGGGTTCGGAAGGAATGTGTGGCTTTTGTGTTCAAGGTGCAAGGTAGGAGGTCAATTGTTCTTTATGAATTTGGTAAGGATAAGGTACGATAAGGTTTGACGCAAATGTGGGGAAAGTGGATTTACAAAATTTCTTAGTTTTGTAAATTTGTCAAAATTAAGGAAAAGTTATAAAAATAGAATTTTTCACGTTTACAAATCGTTCAGAAAAATGCATTTTTATAATTCGTTCGGGTTTACTCAGCAATTTTTTTAATTTTAGTTATCGTCCCAAAATTCCGGAAGTTATTCACATCATTTTAAAATCTCTTATATGTTTCTATCAAAAATGAAAATTTTTATAACATGCAGAAACAGAAGTTTCCCATATTTCTAATCGTTTTTGACCTGCATAAATTATAAGTGGTCCTATAATAAAATCAGCTTTCTTTGTACACTTGAAAAAATTGGTTTCTAATTTTACGTAAATTTATGCACCACTAAAAATTCGAAAAAATTGGTACAAATATCCGCCACAAAATTCACTATGTTCTGAACCCTGTTCATCGTACATCACACTCCTCTCCGAGTTTTGTTATTCTAGGAGAAAGTGAGCCGGGCAAGCTAATGGGTTCCCAACGAGCCCTCTCTTCCTCTACAGAGATTCAGATTAGGGAAAAGTTGTTAATTGTTTTGCCTGCGTAAAATGATTAGGACTTTCTCCAATACATTCTCATCATCTCATCGAGTTAGCTGGTCCTATCTCCCGGGAAGAAGCTGGATTATTCCCACCTCAACACTTTTCATTACTTTTGTCTCCCTTCCTCCATTAAAAGTTTGTTGCGTAATTTTATTTCAAAACAATGCTTCAAATCTCATTTTATTTCATTATCTCTCCCAGGTGGGTTTCCTGAAGGGATGGGCAAGTTAGTTTAGTAATCCCTCGTGTGAAGTGGGCTTTTGAATGCGGAGAAAGTTGGGGGAAGGATATTTTAAGGAAATATTTTGTGTCTATGTCCGTCCGTAGGTTTGTCGGTTTTTTATGATTTTTGAAATTTTGCTTATCAAAATTTGATACACAATAATTTGCGAACATTTGTTTTCTTAATTGTTGGAATGGCAAAAATTTATTTTGACAAAGATTTAAAAAATAAATTTTATACAAATTTGTCAAAATTTTTTAATGAAAATTCTTAAATTTTGTCTTTTAATAGCCGTTAATTTTCTGTACTTTTTTACAGAGAAAGTGTGTTTTCATACCCCTTGATTTAATCACTGGTTTATTTCGCAGGTCAAATGTAAAAAATCGAAATCGACAAAAAATTTTCAATATAAGCCTAATATAACTGACAAAATTGAGTAACAATGGTTCAAATTTTTGTTAAACATCTGTAAACGAATTTTTTGAAAATTTTATAAAATCTCATGCACAAAATTTCGAATTTGTGCCGAACTCCACCACACTACCATTAGTTACCAATTAGCCGTTTTAATGTGCTAAGCCGCTGGTCTGGCTGTCTGAATTAATGGGTAGTCTGGCCACCTCATAAAATGTATACTACCGCCACATTCCTACATTCGTTTACACATTCCGGAGAGAAAGTCAGTTTGCCTTAGACTTTATTATTGGTTTCTCCTCTTGGACAAAAGGAAAATCTAAATCTTGTTGGATTTTAGAGAAGAGGAAGAGAATGGAATTAGAAATGCAAATCCTTCGAGAAAAGTTGTTTACTCGACTTTTCACTCGGAGGAGAAAGTCTTCCCGTGATCCGGACAAGATTTATCTTCATTTGTAAATAGAAAAGAGAAAGTCGTGACAATGGGCGAAACGAGAGGAAATGCAATGTCAACTGCAGCATTGAGGAGAAAGCACTTAATTGCAGTAGTGGCAGGAGTAGTAGCGGAGAGAAAAATTGTTGTGCTTTCACAACTTTTTAGTACTTTTTGGGACGAGTAAGTAAGTGCTTATGAAAGTCAGTTTGTCTGTCAGTCTGGCTCGTCTGTAAAACTAGAGCAGCTCATGCAAATTTTTGATGAAGATTTTCTCAAATTTTTCTATGCTGAATTCTGAGAAGTATTTTAGAAAGCAAGACTTTGATGGAGAAAGTATTTTAGAAAAATTGGTGCCGAAAATAGATAAAATTCAGCCGAAATATTGGTGTTTTTAAAAATCATTGTTCGGGAATTATTTTATTTTTTACTAACCAAACACGATTTGAGAGAAGATCGCCCTGTGTAAAGTTGCGGATTGCTTTCCCCACAGCACTGTCAAGCTCGAGATGTCCTCCACGCTCGGCTCCGGTTGAGATGAGAGTGAAAGTCTGAAAAAATTACGAATTAAGCTAAAACTAAAACCAAGAATTTCGAAATTCTTTTTGATTTTAGTTCTATAAAATTAAAATTTTTGTAAATCAGTAAGTAAACCCAATAAACTACGCAACTCTCCCCTAAGATTGGTATCACTCCATTTTGTATTGATTTGTTAAACAATTTTCTGCCAGACTACACAATTTACTTGGTTACAAACACCCGAGTGAACCGTAACTCATGTACATTTCACCCCTTTTGTTCTTCACTTTTAACCCAAGAACAAGAAAAAAATAATGCACTCACCAGTTCTTCCGGAGGTGTGTCAGGATCTAGCGAACTCACTACGTCCGCGCTCAGTCGAACTTTTGTCCCCTGAAAAAATGTCATCATTTATCTCTCTACTTTATTATTTTAAACTGAAAGTTGGACACTTTTAAAAGAATAAAGAAGAACAATGGCAGCGTCGCGAAAAAAAGAAAGCAGAAAAAATGTCCATGGAATAATTTATTGTTACTCTCTCCCAAACAAAAGTTCTTCTTCACTCTGATGGTACTTGATCTACCCGAGGAATGAATTATCCAAGAGAAAGTAAACTAAAGGTGGGAACGCAAACCATGTTCAACCCAGATTATTTTTTGACCAGGTAAGTTTGAGAGAATTACTCGTTAGGAACAGCATTTAGTGCGGGATTTGTGCAGATGCGAAAATTTCAGTAAGCTATGGGCGCCACAAATTCGTGAAAAAGCTGAACTGCTACCGTAGATTCTGCTGGAAAACCGAATGTTTTCGCGAACTTGTGGCGCCTAAAACTTGCTGAATTTTTCGAATCTGCCCAAGTTCCACACGAAATGTTGTTTCTAACAAGTTACTCTATCAAACTAGCATGCCCAAAAAATAATACGGGCTGAACATGGTTCGCGCCCCCACCGTAAGACGGGGAAAGCAGCAGGATTACTTACCTCCGCCAAACGTAACACACCGCCCGGCACAAGTCTTATTTCTGGTGGATCGTTGACAGCCGTGACTTCGATGGGAAGACTGACCAGGCGTTCGTCCTAGCAAGAAAAAAAGAGAAAGTTATTTCATGAAAGTGCCCACAATCCATCATTGACCAGGACCAGACCAGTGTCACCCAACGAACCAATTAAGCAGCTGGTCAACATACATATTTACCAAAGGGAAGGGAAGGGAAAATGCTATCTATACAAAATTGGAGAAAGTAGCAGACTCCTTTTTGGAGGGGAGAAAGTTGACATTTTTTATATGGAGACGGAGACAACGTAATCCTTGGAAGAAGGGAGGGAGGGAAAGGTAATTTGGTGCAGGAAATGAGAGAAAAGCCGGTCTTCGTGGTGAGGAGACACGATCTCTTGGAGACGAGATCTGATTGATTGCTTTCTCCACGAAGAAACGAGGATGGGATGCAGTTTGTGAGGTTCTTCTTTTTTCTGGGGTCAGTGTGGGGCAATTTATTGGCAAATATTTCAAAAATGTGGTGATATTTTTGGGTACCCAGTTTATTTTACATATTGCACATCATTTTACCTCGTTTGTGGAGAAGGGGGAGATGTAAAGTGTACTAAATATGATATACTGGATGTACCATTAGGTACGTATGTGGGAAGGAAGGGGGAGATGTCGACACATCTTTCAGGGGATAATATCTTGTCGGATTTTGTTTTCTTGGGCGTAACGACCCTGCCACGTGCGTGGAAGGAAGGAGAAGAGGTAAAAGTCTCCATAAAATGGAGCTAATGGGTCGCCAGAAGTAAACAAAGTGAGACATTTGCAAGAATAGGGGAAAAAAGGACGAGGTGTAGTTTTTTCAATGGGGTGCAGCCCAAGCTACTGGCTGCATAGAATATGTACATTGTACATAGCCGGTTAATAGAAATCTATAATGCAGTTTTCGAAATTCTGGTAAATATAATTCTTGAATTTTTTATTTAAATCTATACAAACCTTTTTTGCCAATCCGATCGTTAACTCTTGCATAGTGTACAAATTTTCCACAATATTCGTAAGTTTAACAACATTTACAGGGTCAGGCGCGTAAGATATAACGCTTTTGGCCTTGAATAACCCCGGAACGGTTTGTCGTAGCGGGTCAAAATTTTGAACCGACGAGCATGTTATCCTCATATAGCCGTGTGCAAAAATTCAACTCTCTACTTTCAAAAATGCCTCCCCCACAGTCGCCAGAAGGTGAGAGAGTCATTTCGGCTTGTTCTAAAAAAAATTTCGTCGGTGTTTGCAAAAAAAAATATTTAAATTTTCTGTTGAGGAATTGGAGTGAGTGATTGGTGACAATTGACGAAGAACTATTTTCCCTACAAGTCACTAATTGGGTTCGAAGAGCTTACTACACGACAAATGCCGAAAAAAAATTCAAGAAATTTGGTGGTTTTCAGTGAGGAGAACTTTTTCAAACATTTTATGGTTGTGGGTGCAATGTCCGGTCGTGGTATCCTCCCACTTATCAAAGTCCCCCAAAAAGTGAACGTATCTGCAAAGTATGATGTGGACCGTGTTTTGAAACCACTTTTAGAATAACATTTTCCTAAATTGTACGGTAGAAAAATAAACAAGGTGATTTTTCATCATGACTCAGCGACTTCGAAAACAACAACGTTGATTCAAGATAATGCAAACGACCTTGAACCTAGAATGGGGATAAAAATCATTTCGAATAGTGAAATACCTGTAAAATCCCCCGATATAAGTCAAATGGACTTATTTGATTCGAATACTTGAAAACAATATTTTTTCTGCGGAGACCGAATTTTTTAGACGGAGTTTGGAACGAGTTGAAATGACTGTCTCACCTTCTGGGGGCTGTGGGGGAGGCATTTTCGAAAGTAGAGAGTTGAATTTTTGCACACGGCTATTTGAGGATAACATGCTCGTCGGTTCAAAATTTTGACCCGCTACGACAAACCGTTCCGGGGTTATTCAAGGCCAAAATCGTTATATTTTAAGCGCCTGACCCTACTGTATTTGCAGTTGAAATGGAGTTTATGGGCTTAAATATGAATTTTAAATTTTTGTGCAAAATTATTTAAATCAATTTATTCAAAAAAATGTCGTTCAAATTTTTTGAGGTAATTATTTTTTATGTACATTAGCTGTACAAATTTCTCTGATAAGACACACAGATCCGTTGGCTACATCAGTCACTACTTTCCCCACAAATATTTAATAGAAACTCTCCATCTCACCTGTAAGTAAGCTGGGAGTAAGAATCCCGCATTTGGCAAGAGTTGAAGAACCAGCTCCACCCCGTCGCGACTGCTTTCTTGTCCATTATGCCAGTAGCGGACACGACCCGCACCAAGATCTAGGAGGGAAAAGGCGTCCTTTCCCCCACCACCACCACCCCCTTTCGTCACCTCAATTCTACCCTCTTCAGGGCCGTTGCGAATCCGAAAGAGGACACCGCTCTCGCGAATCCCAAATTTTGCTAAGTCCAGCGTCACGGCCAAGTGGCGCGGGGTTATGAGGGTCGAATCACCCTCGGCGACTTGGAGCGGGATGACGCGCATTATTTCAAGCTCGCCGACCTTAAGTTAAAACGGTGAAAAATGCGGGATTAAAAAAAATATTGATGAACATATACCAATTGGTACACCCAAAATAAGTAACTTGAGGATAAATCGTCATCCGCGGAGGTACTACGTATAGTGCTCTATTTTTGGGTAGTGATTAGGGCGACGCTAGATCACTAATGGCGAATACCTAATTCAAAAACTCATGAAGCAAACACACATGAAAGCGGAAGTTTTAAAAAATTAATTTTTTAATTTTAATTTTAACTGCGTCATGCTTGTTTGGCGCATGAGTTTTGGATTTATTTCTCGTTGCTGACAAAACCTAGAGTGTAAATTATGGCGTTTTTTTCGCACTCACCTCAGTCCGTGTGGTGAGGCGGAATAGAGACCGGGAAATGGTGACGGTGTCGGGCGCCTGTGTGGGTGGTTGTGTCTTCTTCGCGGACGCACCGCCACAGCTTGTTGAGATATTTGAGGTCACATCGGCCTGGGGGAGACCGACGCCTTTCGAGTCGATGATAAGCTCTTTGATACAGCCCTTGAAAAAATAAAAATATAATAAGAATTTTAGGGTTGCCCCGGGTACCGGGTAGCTACCCGGTACCCGGCATACCCGGCCTGTTTTGGGATACCCGGTACCCGGCCGGGTATATTTAGGTACCCGGTCTACCCGGCCGGGTAATTTAAATATTCAATTTTCTTACTTAAAATGCAAAATTATACAAAAAATATAATCCGATGGATTTCAAAATTTTGTGCTTGATATAAAATAATATATTTGGAGAGAATGGGTACAACCTCGGCCAACACTTATTTGGAAATTACCATATAAATTTTAAAATTACTTTGAGCGCACTCACGTCAACGAGTTATCAATCAATGAATTTGCATATCTTGCACATAAAACACGACTTGCGAAGTTTTTAGAATTCTACAAGATTTCTCAAAGCTTTTGCTAAAAAGCTATATTTTTTTCGCAACACTGTTTCGCAGACTCATCTTCAGGATCATCACCGACAGAAATTTCGAACATCCGTGACATCAAAATGGACTTATTTGATTTGCAAGACTTTCGAAGTGCTATCTTGCAAATCGATTCGCAGGATATCGATAGTCTCGCAAAATTTGTTTTGTGAGGTGATACGAATCCCGTCAAGAAATAACTTTTTTAAGCCTAACAAGTTTGCTAAATGATTGCGATGGTGTCGTGAGTACGCTCTTTGTGTGTCCAACATGATTCTTGGATTTCTGTAATATCCACATTCTAGCTCGAATTATTAGCTTGCGAAGTTGACATTTTTACCATATGCATATTGGACAAAGATATAGGAAACAAGTTCAAAGATAGGCTACTTCGGTCACCTAGTTGACCTGTGGGTGCCGTATTGGTGGATTGGGGGAGCAAAGTGTAACCATAGAGAAGGTGACCCACCAATTAAAAAAAAATATTACTTTCATCTGAAATTTGGTATGGAGGTTGAAAATGAAGTCTGCACTGTAGAAATGTAACTTTTAATTTTTAAAGCTTATAAAATTGTTGCAAACTCAAGAAAAAGTAGAAAAATTCCCGTTATTTTTAAAATATATATGTTCCCCGGTACCCGGCCGGGTAGCCGGGTACCCGGCAAAAATTTTAGGCCGAGTACCGGGTAGTAGCACTACCCGGGGCAACCCTATTAAGAATTATACTTTCTAAATTTTTAATTTGTGCAGTTCCGAAAATACGTCTCTGATTATATACATACATACATAAATGTATAAAATTCGCAACATAAAGCCGATTTGTAATAAAGCTATAAAAATCTACAAATTCGCAGTAATGTAAATGTGCAGTATACGTTAATAAAATTACAGATATAAAACTACAAATTAATCTCTACTTACCCTGAAACTTGTGTCGATAAGTCCTTGTCCCCTCAGTTTTACCTTTCTACTTTCCTCCACCCCTATATAGAGGAGCTCAGATACGTCCAAATGTCTTGAACTGGCTCCCCTCGCACCCCCCTCGGCCGCCAGAGATTCAACTAATTTAGAAAAATTAACAGCAATTATTGGTCATTCTAGAGAAATAAATCATTCTAATTTTTGCAAACATTACTATGGTCTATGGGGGTACTCACAAAAATTTTGGCAAATTGATCATATACGAATTAAGATACATATTTACGTAAATTAATATGTATGCTACGCGAGATTTGGCATATTTCTTAAGAATAATTTTTGAAAAACGATGGGATAGTAAATAGAGTTCGAAAATTTGGACAGCAACTGAGCATTTCTTATGTCTCAGGATTATAAATTTTCCAAAGTCATTATTTTCGCAGAATTCATAAGAACTAAATAAAAACAGAATAACTCCATGGTTTTCATCGATTAGCGAAATTTGCGAAACCATATTTTGCAGATGCCCTCACAAACAACAAATTGTTCGAGCCCCGCGAATTTGCACGTTTCCTTGAGTACGCCCATTGTTGCATAAATGTGCAACTTTCTTAACTAAAACTAAATTGCAATTTTAATAGTGCCCATCCGTCTTACCGTTTTCATTCCCAACCCGCAGCGTGATGGAATAGGGCGACACCTGAAATGCATATTTCATACATAATTTCCAAATTTATTAATCTCATAAAATTCCTCATTCCCTCCCGCCGCCTCGTTCCTTAGGTCGCTTGGTTGGTAGGTATCCAGATAATGGAGAAAATCTCCTTCCTTCTCCGCGATGATCACCGTGATCATTATGCTAATCCTACCCCCGCCTCATTTCACTTTCTCTCCCCGGAAATTATGGCACTTCTTCATACAAAACTTGTCCCCAATTTCATTAAGACTGACACCCCGTAATCTGGCCGATTCATAACCTCCCGCCATAATTTACTTTCACTTTTTAATGCCCCAAACTTACCTGGACGGTAATCCGGACCCAGGGAGTCGATATGAGGGAGATATTCGTGGTTGAAACGATCTGGAGCGGACCCCCGCCCATTTCCGCGACAAGTCGCACATTACCCCGTCTCACTTCTAGCCCAAGATAGTCTGGGCGGGAGGAGAGGCCGGAAGCGTAGAGGATCAGGCCATCAACGAGGTCCGGGCTGGGGGAAAGTGAGAGGGAGAAAGTCGTCCCGCCACGGGGCAGCGCGAGCCGCGTGATGAGATAGGAGTTTGTTGAAGTGAGGGAAAATGGATCGCCGGCTGTAGCGTCGAATTCGTCGGAGCAGTTCCACGTGATACCCGCCGATTGGGCGAGGGCGGGATGGGAGATGGATTTGGCGAGGAGATCTTCCCCGTTGTATGTCACGTCCGCCATGCAGCCCCGGAAGGAGGGGAGGTTGCCGAGAAAGATTTCGTTGAAGGTGGCCAGTCCGCCGAGCCAGACGCCGAAGTGGATGTTCAACTCGTGAAAGCGGGAGGGCAGGTTTCCCCTGGGGAAGTGAAGATGAGAAAGTTAGTAAGTAATAGATATTAATTTTTTTTAAATAAGCAGTGGTGCCAAATTTAGAAGAAAATCTCTAAATGAGATATTTATAATGATTTATATATGTTCAAATGAACCAAATTCTTTATCTTGCAAAGATTATGAAATTAACTAAGAATTCAAATAGTTCATTGAGTTACACAGGTCGTGGGTGACATATTCTAAAAAACTTCAAAAGTTTATTCGGTTACAAAGAGCGGCTTGAATACTGTCCTATTCAAATTCTCATAAACTAATCACCAGTAAATTTTGCAGCTGGCCAATTTACTTAAAACGTAGTCGTCCTCATTTCCTTGGGAAGAGTAACTTTTAAAAATATGTCGAATGCATAAGTATAAGTTAGGAATTTTAAGAATTTTCACGCCTTGCAAAAAATTTGCAAACGCCCAGAATTTTCTGAATATTCGTCGGTTGAAGTGGAATTTTGCAATCTTCCCAAAACAATTTTTAGAAAGCTTTCGCATACATAACAAGCAGATAAGCGCAGTCTCTCTATTTAATAAATGTTCAATTCAAGGAGATATCAAAATTTCTAGAAAAAAAAATCCTGCTTTGTGTTTCCAAAAAAATTATGGCTTAACCTCAATCTTCCCTTAACAGTGGTAATAATATACATACATGTACATGCATACATACGCCACTGCTACCCCGCAAAGAAGATTGTGCCACGAGAGAGGCCTAGAGAAGAGATAAATTAGGCTATTGAATGAATGAATAGCTTCGGGAGAAATATGGGGATGAATAAATCACGGATAAATCAAGAAATACTTTATGCCGGACTAGATTTCCGCTGTTTGTTGTTCCCGGCCTTTGCGGAACTGGGATTTGGTTACGCTGCCAATTTCCAATTCTGCATCGCACTGAATTTCATGATTCCAGTGTGTGGTTGCTGCCCCACTTTACTTTACTTTGGGGAAAGCAGGCCTCATTTCGTAGGCGGGACATGTTTCCTGCTCCCTAATAAGTGGAGGATGGATATGATGCAAAACAGGGCTTTATTTATTTACTAAGGAGTTCCTCTCGTACTTTTCGTTTTTTTGGTTTAGTTTGAGGGCAAAATTGGAAAAATGGAGGAAAGTGTATTTAACTAAGTTTCCTTGAGAGGAAAAAACAGGGTTTCGGATTTTTGGAAATATTTTTTTTGCGTAAAAATGTGATTTTTTTATTTGGGGTTAGGGTTACACTTTTATCTCTGAGGTACAATTTATAGCATGCCGCTCAAAAATACCACCCGCAAGAAATGATTGCAAGAAATTGCCTACATATGTTTTTTGAAAGAAATGCAAGAAATAAACGCCATTAAGCCGATAATTTGTATAATTAGCACTCATACAACGGGTAAACTACCAATTGATATCCAGTTCTTACATTTCTTAAACCTTACATTTCTTGCAGTTTCTTGCAGTACAGTGCAGGAAATGTTAAAAAGTGCCAAAAATCAAATACTGTTAATTCCATTTTTTTGATTTTCTCTCATTTTAAACACACAGCTTTTCCTACAGCAATACACTACTAATATTTCACTATGGTTTTAATTCTTCACATGTGCAAGAAAGCCTAAAACCACACTAATCTCCCGCTAATCAAAATTCAAAACGGGACACATCCAAAGATAAGCTTGCTTATTCCATCCCCAACTCGAGAACCCCTGATTTAAACAAGAACGGTAAGATTGACGTTGGGAGGGGAAAGAGCGATACATCGTGAAAATTACGAGTCACGCCACGTGTCACTAATTAGGGGACTAATTGACAAAGTGTGGCCCTCTTTTGCATGCCTGAAATGATGAGGGAATACGAAATGAGGATTGTTTAAGGAAAAATAAAAATACGTAAAGGCGGATTCATTATTTAGCAAGGGACTGACAGACATAAATCATGTCGGGAAGGGTAAGGAGAAAGATGCGAGTCACGTATTTGTTGGTGGTATTTTTTAAGTAATGGTAACAGTAATGATGTTATTTTTGTAAAAAAAGAGGATTTTAGTATTTCGGGATACATTTTTTGTAAAGTGGAATTTTTATACATAATTGTGCGTATGGTGAAAGTTTAAATTTAAAATATGGAAATTTTGGGGCAACTTCAAATTTTAATTTCCCGCATTCATGTTTATCGCTAAGACGAACTTGAATGTTAATAACTGCGCAAATAATTTACAATTTTTTGTAAACAATGCAAAAGTTAAGACACGTTTAGCTTTTTAAATTGTGGAGTAAGTTTCAAACTTTTAACTTCGTAATCTTTGCAACTTTATAAATAAAATTTCAGGATTTTTTACGAACATGTGTTACACGATACTAAAATAGTAATAGATTTTGAAAAACCATTACCCATTATTCTTAAATTTAAAAATTCCTGAAATTTTAACCTCCCCTAAACACTTTCACTAATAAATTCATATTTTCACCCACCTTGTAACATGTTGATCCACCTGCATCGTCAAGGCTGACCCCCTCCTCGTCACATTAATGGTATGCCAGGCCATATCGTTCAGCAGGAAGGGGGCCTCTGACCCAATCTCCGTCTCCCCCGCGCCCAAATTAATATGCACCTTCAACCTTCCCGCGTCCAACACGAGCAGACAGTAGTCCGTCCTTCCCGCCGCGAGAAACAGCATCGAGTCCAATCTGGCCGTCCGCAGACGAAAATAGATATCCGAGGACGACTTGGCCTCCACAATCTTCACCGAAACATGCGAACTCCCAAAGAAGGAAACTGCGAAAAAAAAGAAGAGAAAGTAATCAAATTTTGCCCAAATTGAAACCAGGCAGCAGCAGATTCGATGCGATCCGATTGGGAAATTAAATGAGAGATCTTATTTCGACGAGAGCGAAACTATTTATTTTTCCCCACGCATATTATTCCCCTCACGAACGAAGACTTTCACTGGGAGAAAGCACCCAGCGCAAAACCGCACACACCAAATATGTCAAGAATGAACAATGAATTACTCAAATGTCGGGTCGGGAGAAAGGCTGAGTCCACAACTTATTTGCACTTGACTTGACTTGGCGAATATTGGGGTTCAAGTGGCGCTGAAAGTATTGCTTTCTCCGCACCCACCTGACCCGTCATCTTTGCAAGGAAGGGAAAGGCGAAGAATTGAATTTTATTAGTAACCCGCCATAAATCTTTACAGATAGGGAGATCTCTACGAAGCCCGGGTAATTTGGCAAGAATGCTGTTAGAACTTTCTCCTCCCGAGGAAAACATTGTTCCGAGAGGAGAAAGCAAACCAGCTAATCGTGATTGGGTGAGAATGGGAAGGAAATCTGGGCAAATTGTGGCATTGTTTTGCCCGAAGAATTCGACGTGGATTGTTCAATGTGGCGGAGAGAAAGCTGGTGATATGTATGCGTACGTAGAAGAGAAAGCAGGTCCCTTTTTCCTCTCTCCTGTAAGTACCCCACGGGCGCAAGATGACTTTTGGCAGGAGGAAAAGCTAGCTCTCATTATTTTCCGGGCCATGAAATACCACATACTTTTTCCAGGTGGGGGAAGGGAAAGGGCTGCATCTGCCCAGAATGTGAAATGAGAGACCGAGTCGCGCTGAGCGCATACAAATCCCTGCAATCAAGCCAAATCCAGATTATATGAGTTGTCGTCAAAGCAGCAAGACTTTCACTGGAAATTCATCATCTACACAATTTCCGGTCGGCATGGCAACTCCACCACAATAACAACACAGTCTCATTTATTTCCACGCGGGGAAACATTAAGCAAAATAATCTGAGAGGTGAGAAGTAAGAGAAAAAATGGTCTCCCGCACTAATGGATGAGACGGGGAGAGAGTGGGAAATATGATGGATAGCTTTCTCCACGAAGCGTCGCGTCAAATAATCATCTCCGCTGAAGAAAAAAGAGAAGAAGATGGGCCGCTTTCTCCACACAAGTTTTACTTAACTTTATGAAAAAAACCGGTAATCGAATAATTTCCGAGATGAGAAAAAAAATACTCGCTTTCACTTTCAACAGGTCCCCTTAATTTCATGGCCTCCTCGTTAAAGACCTCTTAAAGATAAGGACGCGTTAATTACAAATTGTTGGTAATTAAACAGAGGAAGAGAGAAAGCAGCTAATTTGCTCATGAAAGAGAAAGTGGAAAATAATCGCTATTTTCAGAAGAAAACGATGACAATGACGAGCTCAGAACAGAGTTCGCCCCATTAGTTTGCCCAATGCGGGAAGACAATGCAATGCATACCCCTCCGATCTAACTTTCTCCTTAAGCAGGATAGATGGATGAAAAGAGGAGAAAGCAAGCAGGAAATAAAGTGATGGTCGTCATATCGTAAAATGGGCGTAAAACGGAGTCAAATAACATTTCATGGGAAATGTTCCCATTTCTGGGAGAGAAAGCCTTTCTCCTCTCCGACCGGTTAGTTTTACAACATTGTCTGCATACGTACGTAACAGGATTTTGTAGCAGGGCGGAAATAATATGATGGCATGCGTACGTACGTACGCGGGCAGTAGGATCAAATGAAGACGGATAAAGAAAGCTCGTGCCGATGGGGGAAAGTAAGCAAGGAGAATAAAAGATGGAGAAAGTGGTGGAAGGGAATATTTTTTTGAGGAAATGGGATTACCGATTTGAATGAAACGGTCGAATAAATGTCGTTGGGACAAGTTTCTTTTCTGGAGGATTTGGATTGATTGATTTTAATTGGCGATTTCCGAACGCAATTTGGTGAATGGGAAATGAGGCGTTCTTTGTGCGGGGTGTAGGTATGATGTCGTAAGAATATATTACCGGGAGGGGGATATGCTTACCAATGCGGTAATGAAGGTCTTGCATGGATGATTGGTGCTTATTTACCGTGAAGTATAAATTTGACTGTGGTCAATATTCCGAAACTATTGGATTCACTGCCGTGGTGACAGCGATTGTTACCAAATAACTTATAAATATTTATAAACATTTTTCCACGGGCAAATACTTCAAAGTTTCTGAAACATATCATATCAAAAATCGGACGGTATATCAACTTAAGCTTTGAATTTTCGCACAAAAAAGTCTGACAATTTCTTATGATTTGACCCAAAAATGAAACAATCTCCATTCTAGCTGAGCTACCGCCAAAAGGCACGCTTTGCCCCTAGTAGACCTCCCTCGTTACCGAATTATGTATTTCCACAATATAAATCCTTTATTTCCAAATCGTGTTGATGTTTTTGAATTCGTGTTTAAATGGATTTGTGTTTGATTCTCAGACTTTCTTTCTTTCAAGAGCCAGAGATCTCTCTTTCAAGCCACGTTAACAGACAAAACAATAAAGGCGTAGATAGCTAATACATAGATACATATGTTTGGGTATAAATAAAGGGTTGCACTGCACTTTAAATGTATCCATCCATCGGGTCGTTATTTAGTTAAAAAGAGCAGAGTGAAGTGTGTGCGTAGAGCTTCTTTATCAGATCTTTGTCCTGTTACACATGGCTGGCTGGGTGGGTGGCTGGCTAACTTTGAACAGATGCAGGCACACGGACTCTTGTCTTCTTCTTCTCCCTCGTAACACACCATTAAGCAGCAAAGAGGAGTAGACAAAAATTAGGGAAAAGAAGAAGAAAAAGAAGAGGAAAACACAATAGTAACGGGTTCATGGTGATGCATAAAATAGAACAAAAACAAAAAAAGTACAGAACAGGAAAGCCATTTGTTCTTCGAGTGAAACAATGAGATTTTGAGATTAGTAGATAAGACTGAGAGATGAGCCTGATTTGGTTGAGGGGAATATATTGTGGAAAAATGGGGTAAAGTTTCTGAAATTTTGGGAATACTAGGTTTGATTTGGTTTAAAAATTTGAAGTATTTGCCAAGCTGGGGACTAGCTTTTTTGAATTTAGTCTTAGGATTAGCTTATTAAAATGCATTAATAATTAGTTTATTCGAATTCGGTGGTAAATAAATATGCAATTTAAATTCTGTGCTAAATTACGAAATTTATATGCTTAGAATTATAAAATCTGTTACAACGACTTGGTAACAGATTGATCCCATATTACGTATTCAGAGATAATGACGATAATCCGCAAATTAAGTGTTTAAGCGACGATTGTTAAACTCATCATAAATCCTAAAACCCCGAATAAAATTATGAAATCCAAATTTTACCAGAAATTGGAAAGCAGACAATCCCCAAGAATTTAACAGGACGAGATTCATGCCCTCGGTTACGTACACTTGAAATTTTCCTCGCTTCCTGCCTAGTCTGCCCGGCCACTCAACTTTGTAACTGGAATTGGCTGGAATTGCAACGGACTTGATTTGCATAGAATCGTCGAGACTTTCTCCCATTTTGGCCGAGTGGAATCGTGTGAGTGAAAGTGACTGAGTGAGTGTGGAACTTGTCCCTGTGGACGAGTTGGAAATAAAATCTTGCTCATTTTCATAAAAATAACGATTCCCCCTCCATCACGCACAGCACAGCTTTCACTCTCGCAGAGAGAACTTTAACTCCACTAGTGAAATTACTGCAGTGTTGTTTTCCATTTTGTACGTCGCGAAAATGCGACAATGTCCAGTCCAGTTTTGTAAATCTGGGCAACGTTAATGATAAGATCGCCCATCTGGGTCGCGCCATTGGATGGCCAACAATTTGTACGGATTTTTTTGCAAAGAACAAAAAATTCTTTCGGGTAGAAATCTGGTTTGGTCAAGAAAGTCAAAACAAATCTCGCCATCATTACGAACCTAACGTTTAAATGATGCCTCATACAAGAACCCTTTACCCCCATCGTTTTCCTATCATGCCCCTAAATGACGAAAAACTGGGTCCACATGTGGCACCAGAATAGAAAATACAACGGGTGACCAATTGATACATTAAATTTGAAGTGTTTTCCCTCCCTACTTTCTCTTTCCCGAGAATTGTTTCCCTCCAGAAAAGAAGAAGTTGGGTTCGTTTGTTTTGTCTTTCTCCGTCCTTTCCCCGGATTCCATGCCATGTTTATGAAGAGTCTCCTGGGACCAATAACGCCCGCCCTTATCTTGCCAACGCAGCAGAGAAATATGTACGGGCCTTCATTTCATTTCACCCAGCACAATTTACCCGGCCAGTGGATAACTATTTCGTCCCGACGAAAATTTTGAGTTTAAATGTGCAAAGTTAAATTTAAACAGGTGAAAGTGTCCGGACAAGAGGAAAGAGAAAGTTTTGTGCGTCCGAGAATAAGAAAAAATCGGAACAAAAGGAAGAAGCCTTCTTCTACATAATATGCATCATTCAGTCTATGAAACAAAGGGCGGGTTGTCTGTTGGAGAAAGTTTGTTTTGTTTTGGAAGACCAACTTTTACAATGGGATGGATGGATGGGTGGATGGCTGGTCGAATGGGTAGATTGAGGACGGGAGTGGCTTCATCTTCATGATTTCGTCCCTCTGGGGAGACCTGCTTTAGAGAGAGAAAGCGATGAATTTGTTCAAGTTTAAAGGAGAATTGGGAATGTTGGAAAGTTGGTGGATGGGCTGGTTTGTGTGTGCGAGGATGAATGAATGCGATATGTATGTGTGCAAGGGGATAATGTGAAATTGATCGAGAATGAATATTTGAGAATTTGAGCTCTCTCTTGCCGGATGCGAGCTGGCAGTGATAATGGAATATTGGAGGGATTAGGAATGAAGGGTTAGAGGGAGGGGGCGTGCAGAGGGGATGGGATGGATGAAAGTTGGATAACGTGAGAAAATTGAGGGTAGATAAGAAGAGAAAGTTATTA